ACTCCGCCACGAGCCGCCGCTCGTGCGCGAACCACTCGTTCCTATCGCACGGTCGCCCTCGTTCGTCGTGGACGTGCGCGAGCGCCGCGGACGCCGCGAACGGGTCCAGTTGCTGTTGCGCCGGGACGATGGCGCCGCCGCCGCCGCCGCCGCCGAACGCGGACCCCCCCGGCGTCGACGTCGCGCCGCCCGGCGTCTGCACCACGTACGGCGCCGCGGTCGCGCCGCTCGCGGCCGCGGTCGGGAACGTCCCCGGCGCGGGTTTCTTCAAGATCTCAACGAGCCTGCCGACGAGCGTGGCGCCGCCGCCGCCGTCGCCTCTCAGGAGATCGCGCACGAAGGTCTCAACGAACGACGCGAGCGCGGGTTCGCGCGGCGCCGCGAGCTCCGGGGTGGAGACCGCGCGGAGGAGCCGCAGCAGCGACTCCACCGCGCGCTGTCGCTCGCGGAGGTAGATCCCCGCGGCCGCGCGCGCGCAGTCGTCCGGGGGATGCCCGCGCTCGACCGCGGCGACGAGCAGCTCGACGCACGCCACCTCGTTCAGATCCAGCGCGTCGCTGCGGGGGACGCGGGGTGGATTGGATGTTTGAGGACGGGTTCGCGCGGCGCGCGGCGGGGGCGGGGGACGATCGTCCGTCAGTCGCGACGTCGCGAGGGTTGGCGCGGGGGGAGGGATCGCGCGCGGGGGAGGGAGGGGCGCGGGCGCGCGGATCGTCGAGTCGCGCGCGGCGGCCGCGAGGGCGGCGGCGACGGGACGGCGGATGTTTTCAAAAAAAGCGCGCCGAGGGAGTTGGCACGCCGCCGCCGCCGCCGCCGCGCGGACGAGATCGACGGGATCGACGGGATCGACGCGCACCTGAGCGTGAGCGCGTTCTCGATGTCTGTCCCGTCCAATCGGATGCTCTTCCCGCCTCGCAACTCCACCGTCGTCGTTCTCACCGCCGCGCGATCTTCCGCGCGGCGAGGCGGGTACGCGAGCGCGTTCGCGAGGATGCCTCGCGCGGCTTTGAACGCGACGCGGCACTCCTCGACGTCGACGTCGCTCGGCGGCGTCTCGGCGTCCAAGAGACGGACCGCGCGGTGCAGCGCGACGGACTCCGCGGTCGCGGCCATCGTGCGCGCGGGTGCGGGGGAGGTGACGCCGCCCGACCCCGTGCGCGCGGAGCACTGTGCGCGCACCCGGGGGCTGCTGGGAGCTGGACGCGCTGCTGGGAGAGAAGAAGGTGGCGGGCGTCTTATTTCGGTTCGAGCGTCGGTGAAACTCGTTTTTTCAAAGCACAAAAACATTTTCTTTGACCCCGTCTTTGCTTTCGAAGATCGAAATCGAGCTCCTTTCAAGCGTCGGCTCGATTTCAGCCTCCCTGCCGCTAAAAACATTTCTCCCGCAAGCGCAGAAAGAGCCTTTCCCCGGCGACTCGTTCGCCCTCTTCAACGCGCGCCGTAGCACGCACGCGGTAAGCAACGCGAGATGGTGAAATACGCTCGCGAGCCCGAGGGCGACGCCACGAAGTCGTGCAAAGCGCGCGGCTCCGACCTGCGCACGCACTTCAAGAACATGCGCGAGACCGCCATGGCCATCAAGAAGATGGATTTGACGTCCGCGAAGACGTACCTCGAGGAGGTCATCGCGATGCGCCGGTGCGTCGTCTTCCGCCGCTTCTGCGGCGGCGTCGGCCGCACCGCGCAGGCGAAGAACGAGGGGTCCACGAACGGGCAGGGTCGGTGGCCGAAGAAGTCCGCCGAGATGCTCCTCGGCATCCTTAAGAACGCGGAGTCGAACGCGGAGGTGCGTCTCGCGGCGTATTTTTCCTCGCGACGTGGTTTTTCCTCTCAACGGCGCTCGCGGCCGCGCGGATGCGCGCCGCGCCGCGCCGCGTCGACCGTCGCCTCCGCGCCGCGCCCCGTCGTGCCGCGTCATCACGGCGTCCTCGACGCGCCCCGCGCGTCGACGACGGCAGATCCGCGACGCTCGCGCCGCCGCGCCGCGTCGCGCGCGCCGTGATCGACGCGAGGGTTTCCTAGGGTTTCGCCGTCGCGAGCTCCCGTCCGCGGTCTCTTTTTTCTCTCCCTCGTCGGCCCAGCCCTGACGACCTCCCTCCTCCTCTCCCTCGTCGCTCAGGTGAAGGGACTGGACCCCGAGGCGCTCGCGATCACGCACATCCAGGTCAACCGCGCGATCCAGCAGCGCCGCCGCACGTACCGCGCGCACGGTCGTATCAACCCGTACATGAGCTCGCCGTGCCACGTCGAGGTGATCCTATCGGAGAAGACGGAGCCGGTGAAGCGCGAGGAGGACGTGCGCGGGCCGAGGGTCACGTCGAAGCAGGCCGCGCGCCTTCGCATCCGCAACGGCTCCACGAACGCGTGAGCAGCGCTGAAGCGGGTCAAAAGCGAAGAGGGTGTGGGGGGTTGGTCGACGAGACGGCGAGAGAGGGTGGAGGCTCGCGCGACGGCGTCGTTTAGGACGCGTCGGCGACGCGGCGGCGACGACTGTTAGAGTCGCGCGCCGCCGCGGAAGATGCGAATGATGTAACGACACGCGAGCCGCTATCGTTATCGTTTTCGTCTTCGTCTCTTTTCGCGACGCCTCGTTGCACTACGCGTACCCGCTCACTATGATACACGTACGCGTCTATAAAAATAAACTGGGGCAAAACACGATGTCGCGCTTCACCATCTCGCGGCAGCTCTCAAACTTTTCTCGCAGCTCCGCGTCTCCGACGTTCTGACACGCCGTCGCCAGCTGCCGCATCACCTCCTCCATCCTCCGAATCGCGCGCACCACGCTCCCCTCGTGCAAGCTCGTCATCTTCATCAGGTCCACGAACGACGTCCCCGTGCTCCACGCGCGCGTCAGATCCATCAGATCCGGCCGGAACGAATCCGCGTACGCGGCGACGTCCATCTCAAGCTTGCACTCCGCGACGTGCCTCCCGACCGCGCGCGCCACCTCTCGTATCCTCGCGTGCGCGTCCTTGCACGCGGGCGAGAGCTTGATTTCCTGGATATCCGGCCCAGCCTCGCGCCAGACGAGCGCGCTGATCGCGGCGCAGCAGAGCTCCGCGGGGAGCTCTTTGAACGCGCCGTCGAAGACGAGTTCGGTCGTCACCAGAGCGTCCGCGGTGGTCATCTCGCACGCGACGCGGCCTTTCGTGAGGACGACGCCGTCGTCGTCGACGTGCCCGAGGCGTTTCAGCACGCGTAAGCGCTGCTTGAGCTCGTCGCGGAAGCACAGGCCCGCCGCGGCTTTCGCCTCCTTCTTCGCGATCTTGTGCCGCAACGACAGGTCGCGTCGCTTCGCGTGCGACGCCACCTTTTCGGTCAAGTCCGGGTCGTCGCGCAGCGCGTGCGCGCTCAGCATTCCCTCCAGCGCGGTGATCCGCCGCGTCAGCTTCTTGAACGACTCGTGCGTGATCTTCATGTCGCTCTCCGGGTCGAGAAAAGGAACGCCGTCTTTGGGTCGTTCCATACAAAGCGATGTCGGGGTGGAGTTCAAAGGCGTCAGATGGAGTTGAAAGGCATCGAGGTCGGGGATTGAAACCGAGGGATGGGCGGAGAGATGCGCCGGCAAAAGTCTCTAAGGATCGGCGTTCACCACGCGAACGCGGTCGTATGGGGACCAGTGTATAGAACGCACCTTTAAACGCGTCCCGCTTGAACATCTCGACGACGCTCTTTTGCACCCTCGCGCGCGCGTCGCTCGGTCGCATGTCCTTCGGGAGGTACACCCTGACGCTCGACAGGCGGTCGATCTGCGACACGCGCAGTGGCACGACTCTCGGCTCTCGCGTCGGGGTTATCGTCGACCGGATATCCACGATCTTCCACCGTCTCTTCGCTCCTGCGGCGCTTCCCATCTCGTCGTCTCGTCGCGACTCCGACGCAACAGAGCGATCCTCTTCCTCGACGACGCAGAGGACGTCGACGACGTACTCGCCGCCGTCGCGCTCGTGCTTCACGACGACCCCCCACTCCGTCTGAACCCCCGCCGCGGCCAAGCTCGCGGCGCCGCCGTCCTCGCCCGCTCTCGTCGCCGCGCTCGCGACGCGCTTCGGGTCTCTCGCGCACACGCGGACGAGTCGTCCCGGCTGAAGAAACGGCACGCAGTGCGCGGGGAGGTTCAGAACGTCCCTCCGCTCGGCACGCAACACGGACAGCGTGTCCGCGAGGTTGACGTACTCCGCGACGGCGTCGCCGTCCTCGATCGCGACCGCGTCGCGCTCGACCGCGAGCGCGGCGGCTTTCGCCTCGAGCTCCGGCACCTTCCGGTCGTTCTGAGGCGCGCCGTGCGAAGAAAGTTCGTTCATCGGTCAGTCGAAAGGGGACGCGATCGAGCGTTGAAACCGAGCCGCGGGTGAAGCAAACGCGCGCGATGACACACCTGAAACTGCGCGAACGACTTGGAGATCAAATTCTCCACGTTCTCCGCGCCCTCCATCCGCATCATGTTGATCATCGAGCCGTACGTCACGTGAAACGCGCTGTTCAGCGGGTCAGACCGACCGTGCAGCATATCCTTCGCGACCGCGGGGTCCATCCGCTCGTCCATCATGAGCACGACGAGCCCGCGGTCGTCGAGGCCGCGGCGCCCCGCGCGTCCGCTCATCTGCGGGGCCGTTCCATACAAAAAAAGTTCACCCATCGGTCAGTTGAAAGGAGACGCGATCAAGTGTTGAAACCGAGCGATGGGTGAAAAACGTTTGTATAGAACGCACCTGCACGTACTCCCCGCTGGTGATCCACCGATATCCCGCGCCGTCGTACTTCCGCGGGGACGTGAACACGACGCACCGCGCGGGCATGTTCAGCCCCGTGCTCATCGTCTCCGTGGCGATCAACACCTTGAGAAAGCCTTCTTGGAATAGCAACTCGACGGTCTCTTTCAGGATGGGTAACATCCCGCTGTGATGCACGCCGATGCCTCGCTTCAGCAGAGGAAGCAAGTTCTGCACCTGCGGCAGGCGCTTGTCCTCGTCCTTCAGCGCGTCCAGACCGGACCAGTACACCGTGTCGATGACGTCCTTCTCGTTCTCGTCGCACAGGTCTAACTTGTGCAGCGACTCGGCCATGCTCTGGCACTCTCGTTTGCTGAACGAGAACACGATGCACGGGTCGTAGTTCTTCTCGACGACCATCCGGATGATCTTGTGGATGTCCCTGTTCGCGGCGGTGTCCTCGCCGCCAGCCTTACCGTTGTTCCCGCCGCCGCCGCCGCCGCCGCCGCTACCGTCGCCGGCGTTCGCCTTGTTATGCGCGGTCCTCCCCGCGGCGTACCCGTCCTCCTTGGGCGCGACCGCGTTGATCGCCTTCACGAAGTTATCCGCGCGGAACTTGTTATCGCGGTCGTAGCACAGGTAAACGCCGTCCCCGCCGGACGGGTGCACGTAATGCTCCAACGGCGTCGGTCGAAAGTCCGTGTACACCAGGTGACACGGGTGCGCGTGCGTCTTCACGATCCACTCCGCGAACTCCCGCGCGTTCGGGATCGTCGCGGACAGGAACGCGTATCGCACCGCGGACGGCAGCATCGCGATGGTTTCTTCCCAGACGACTCCTCGCTCTGGATCGCGCATGTAATGAATCTCGTCGAAGATCACCCACCCCACCTCGCGCATGACCTCGCCGCCCTTGTACAGCATCGACCGCAGAACCTCGGTCGTCATCACGAGGCAAGACGCGTCCGTGTTGATCGTCGTGTCCCCGGTCATCAGCCCCACGTCCGCGAACTCGTCGCGGAGTTCTCGAAATTTCTGATTCGACAGCGCCTTGAGCGGGGACGTGTACACGACCCTCTGGCGATCCCGCAGCGCCATCGCGATCGCGTACTCCGCGACGACGGTCTTCCCCGCGGACGTGTGCGCGGCGACCATCACGCTCTCGCCCATCTCCATCACCTCCACGGACTTTCTCTGGAACGTGTCGAGCTCGAACTTGTAATGCTTCGCGGGGTTCGACGGGTCGTACGCGCGCGCCTTCGGGTTCGGGCGCCAGTCCGGCGGGTACACGACGTCGTGCAGGCACCCGTGGCCGGCGCCACTCGCGGGGATGCGCGTCCCGCCCGCGGCGAGGACGTCGTCGACGTCCGTGCGGACGTGCGCGAGCGAGTCGTCCGCGGCGGCGGCGTCGACGTCGAGATGGCCGAGATCGTCGTCTGGCCTTCGCTTCTTCGCGGCGTCGTCGCCCGCGTTCGCGTTCGCGTCGCTCGCGGGCGGGCGCTTGCCCCCTGGCGCCGCGGGGGGTGGCGCGGATGACATCCCGGCGCCCGCGGGAGGAGAGCGTCGACCGCGCGCGCGGGAGAGTGACGGCTTCCGGCGGCGGGGAAAAGACGGCACATTCTCGGGACGAACAGAACGAGAAACCGAAACGTACATGCACTTTTCGTGGTCGTATGCGCAGACACCTTGAAACCGTGCTCGCACGTACACGTACACGTGTACCCATCGCAGTGCGAAAGCTGGGTACAGACATCGACGGCGCGCGTTTTTCAAACAGAATCCAACCGCGCGAGAACGACGCGATGGCGTCGGACGACGACGACTCCCCGTCCACCCTCGGGATGATGTCCGAGGCGGACCTCGAGGGCATGGACCTCCCGTCGCACTTAAAGCGCGACATCATGCGACGGTGGCGCGTCGCCGGCGACGTCGCGCGCGTCGGCGTCGGCATGGACGCGGACGAGGACCTGGACTTCGACGAGCAGACGGAGTGGAGGAAAGCCGGCGCGGCCGCGTGGATCGCCGCGGGTCTGCCGCGCCGCGACGACGAAGACGGCGGAAAGAAAGCCGTCGCGCGGTCGCTGTCGCTGTCGCCCGCGCCGTCGCCGGTGAAGAAGATGACGGGCGCGGCGCTCCGCGGGCTCGACCGCGGCGCCGTCGCCGCGTCCGAGGATCTGGGCACGCCCTCGAAGCGCAACGCCGCGCGCAGAGAGGCGAGGGCCGACGACGCGATCGTCCTCGCCGCGCTGAAGGCGGCGGAGGACGAGCGGAGGAAGAGAGCCGAGGCGACGGACGCGGTCGTCCTCGCCGCGCGCGTGCGCGAGGACTCCGTGATGCGGCGCGAGCGCGAGCTGAAGAAGGCGGAAACCGACGCCGCCGCCGCCGCCGCCGCGCGCGCCGTCGCGGAAGCCGCCGCGGACGCCGAGCGACGCGTGCGCGAGATCGAGGACGATACGCGCCGCGACGCGGAGCGCGCGCGCGCCGCGGCGCGCGACCGCGAGGCGCGAGAGCGCGCGGAGGCGGCGAAGAGGGAGGAGAAGCGGCGTGAGGATGCCGTTCGCGCCGAGCGAGAGACTCAGGTGCGTTCTATACACTGGTCCCCATACGACCGCGTTCGCGTGGTGAACGCCGTTTCTTAAGGACTTTTCCCGCCGTGTCTCTCCGCCCACCCCCCGCTTTCAATCCCCGCCATCGATGCCTTTCAACTCCATCTGACGCCTTTGAACTCCACCCCGACGTTCGCTCGTATGGAGCGACCCTCAGAGAGACCGCGCGGCGGAGATGGCGAGGAAAGAGACCGAGGTGACGCGCCGGGAGGAGGAGACGCGGAAGCTCCTCGCGGAGGTGGCCGCGAAGGACCGAAGCGCGCGAGATCTCGAGGCGAGAGCCGCGGCGGAGAGGCACGACGCGGAGGCGAGCGCGCGGCGGGCGCGGCGAGAGCTCGACGACGCCGAGGCGACGCGGCGAAAGAACGAAGAGAAGGAAAACGCGTTGCGATCGGAAGAAGAGCGGCTGAAGCGGATGGAGGCGGACGCGCGCGACGCCGAGGAGGAGGCGACGAAAACGCGCGCGGAGGCGAAAGCCGCGCGGGAGTTCGCGAGAGAAGAAGCGCGCCTGATCAAGGAGGAGGCGGAGCGGCGAGCGGCGGAGGCGGAGGCTGAGCTGACGCGGAGAGAGAAGGCGAGACTGCTTCCCATACGAACCCGTTCGCGTGGTGAACGCCGATCCTTAAGGACTTTCCCCGTCGTCACTCTTCACCCGCGCTTCCCTTTCAACGTTTGACCGGTAAGACGTTCGACTGACCGATCGCTTCACCCATCGAAGGCGTGGCGTCTACGAGAGAAGGAGGCGGCGGAGACGCTCGAGAGGAAAGAGGAGGAGGTCAAGGCGCGCGAGGACGCGGTGCGCGACGCGGAGTTGGCCGCGGAGCGCGCGGCGGCGCAGCGCGCGACGATCGAGAAGCACGAGCGCGCGCTGCTCGCGGAGATGGAAGGGAAGGAGAAAGCGCTGCGAGAGGAGGCGCGGCGGCAGAAGATCGAGGTGCGTTCTCCTTCACACTGGTCCCCATACGACCCCGTCCGCGTGGTGAACGCCGATCCTTAAGGTTTTTTCCCGGCGCATCTCTCCGCCCATGGTCCCTCGCTTTCAACGCCCGCCATCGATGCCTTTCAACTCCACCTGACGCCTTTCAACTCCACCCCGACATTCGCTCGTATGGAACGACCCCGAGTTTGAACGCGCGGCGTCCGGCCGAAAGACGGAGCTCGACGCGAAGGAGCGCGCGATTAAAGCGCGCGAGGCGGCGATGGCGGTGGAGGACGAGAGCCGCGCGCGCGAGGCTGCCGCGATCGTCGCCGCCGCGGAGAAGAGCGCGGCGAGGGAGCGCGAGTGGGCGGAGACGGCGGCGGCGGAACGCGCGGATCTCTCGTCGAAGCGCGCCGAGGTGCGTTCTATACACTGGTTCCCATACGACCGCGTTGGCGTGGTGAACGCCGTTCCTTGAGGACTTTGCCCGCCGTGTCTCTCCGCCCATCCCTCGCTTTCAATCCCCGACCTCGACGCCTTTCAACTCCACCTGACGCCTTTCAACTCCACCCCGCCATCGCTTTGTATGGAACGACCCTGAGGCTGAGCGCGCGAAAGCCGCCGCGCTCGCGCACGTCAGGGAGACGGAAGCCGCGCGGACCGCGGAGCGCGAGGCGCTGGAGAAGGCGCGCGCCGCGGTCGAGGCGGACCGCGTCGCGGCGCGCGAGGCGAGGGAGGAGGCGAACGCGCTGCTGATGGAGGCGTCGTCGATCATGGCGGAGGCGGAGGAGAGTTTCGAACGCGCCGGGCGGATCGGGCTCGCGGAGGATGCGCTCGTCGGCGAGGGGCTGCTCGCGCAGTACGTCGCGGGAGAGAATAAGAATCGCGCGCCGGTCGGCCCGGGGGATTCGTTCCTGGGGGAAGAGATCGAGCGCGCCGAGGAGGAGGACGCGGACGCGGACGCGGAGGCGGCGAACGCGGACGCGAACGGCGGCGGCGGCGGACGCGGGTTCGTCTCTCCCATCGCCCTCCACCGCGGCGCCTTCGCGGAGATGGCTTCGATGGCTTCTTCCCCGCCGGCGTCGCTGACCCCCGACGCGCGACGACGACACAACTCGCGGATGATGTTCGTCGACTCGGACGACGACGACGACGACGAGCACGGCGACGCCGCGGGAGGGGGAGGAGGGGGAAGAGAGAAGAAGAAGTACAAGTACGCGCGACTGACGACGCTCGACGCGGAGACGGTGTCGGCGATCGTCGCGCCGCCGCCGATGCTCGACGACGCCGTGGCGTGCTCGCTCGAGCGGAGGGTTCGGAGGTACGCGCGCGCGCTCAGGGCGCTGCCGAAGGTGGAGCTCCACGCGCACCTGAACGGGTGCGTGCGAGACGAGACGTTGCTCGACTGCGCGCGGCGGCGGGAGGAGGAACGCGAACGCGAACGCGAACGCGACCGCGAACGCGACCGCGACCGCGAACGCGAACGCGAAACCGAAACCGAAGAAGCGAACGACGCGACGAAGTGTAACTCGATGGAGGACGTCCGCGCGATGCTGCGGAAACCGGACGGCGCGTCGCGCCCGCTCGCGCGCTGCTTCGAGCTCTTCGGCGCGATCCACGACCTGTGCACGACGCACGAGACGCTGGAGCGCGTCGCCGCGGAGGCGGTGGTGGATTTCGCGCGCGACGGCGTCGTCTACGTCGAACTTCGAACGACGCCGAAAGATTTCCCGTCGCGAGGCGTCACGAAAGAGAGCTACGTGGAGGCGGTCGTCCGCGGCATCTCGCTCGGGTGCGAGCTCGCGAACGACGACGAGCATCACAAAGTGACGTGGCGCGGCGTCGAGGGCGGCGTCGCGCCGAGGGATAAGGAGACCATCGTGGCGAGGCTCATCCTCAGGCGCGTTCTATACACTGGTCCCCATACGACCGCGTTGGCGTGGTGAACGCCGTTTCTTAAGGACTTTACCCGGCGCATCTCTCCGCCCACCCCTCGCTCACAATCCCCGTCCTCGACGCCTTTCAACTCCACCTGACGCCTTTGAACTCCACCCCGACGATCGCTTGTATGGAATCGCCCTCAGCGTCGATCGCCGTGAGACCGCCGCGGAGGCGACGCGGACGGTGAAGCTCGCCGCGCGGCTCCGCGACGCGGACCGCGGCGTCGTCGGGATCGACCTGAGCGGGGACCCCACGCTCGGGACGTGGGCGCGGTTCGAAGGGTCGATGGTGCTCGCGCGGGCGTTGGGGTTGCCGGTGACGCTGCACTGCGGCGAGGTGGTCACTCCGGGGGAGGAGGCGTCGATGCTTCGGTTCAAGCCCGAGCGCTTCGGGCACTGCGTGAACACCGTGCGCGACCCCGCGCTGTTCGCGGGTCTGAAGCGCACGTTTGCGTGCGTGGAGGTGTGCGTCACGAGCAACGTGATCACGGACTCGATCGTCGGCGGTAACGACGCGGGCAAAAGCGGCGGGGGGAAAGGCTGCGTCGACGTCGCGCGCGTCGCGTCGCGGCACCACCTCAAGAAGCTCCTCCGCGCGAGACACCCGATCGCGCTGTGCACGGACGACCCCGGGATCTTCTCCACGTCGCTGTCTCGAGAGTACGCTCTGGTTGCGGCGTCTCTCGGGTTATCCGACGACGACTTGAGGAGCCTCGCGGCGTCCGCGTTGGAACACGCGTTCATCTCCGGCGGCGCCGACGCGGTCAGCGGGACGCTCCCGCGGCTGCGAAGACGCGTCGCGGAGGGCGCGAACGCGTGGGAGGGCTTGCCCGGAAGACGCCGCCGCGCGTGGAACGCGACGGCGCGGGCGATGCGGGAGGTGCACGCGGTGATGTTCCCGCGGCCGGATCCGCCGCCGCCGCTGAGGGACGTGGACGATTTCGCGCCGACGCGGGAGCGGGTCGCGCTCGCGGTCAGCGCGGCGATCGGCGCCGCGTGCGTCGTCGGGTCGATCACGCTGTTGACCGCGCCGGCGTCGACGCGGAGGGAGTGGCTCAGCGCGCTCGGCGCCGCCGCCGCGGGCAGCGAGAAGGCGTGATGACGAGCGGGCGTGATATAAATTACCGGTAAAAAGTTTCGTTTTTACGCGTCTCAGTTAGTTTGGGAGCTTCTATTACAGTACAGCGCGAGAGAAAAGCGACGGTCGTCGCCGTAGCCGGCCGTCGCGCATCACGACACGACGCACGCGCACCCGCCGGTTTTCTTCGCCGGGACGTCCTTCGGCCGCATGTGCACGTCGATCGCCGTCTCGAACACTCGCTTCAGATTATCCTGCGTTAAGGTGGAGTTGAAAGGCGTCAGAAGCGGAGTTGAAAGGCGTCGAGGGCGGGGATTGAAAGCGGGGGGTGGGCGTAGAGATGCGCCGGGCAAATTCCTTAAGGATCGGCGTTCACCACGCGAACGCGGTCGTATGGGGACCGGTGTAAACACGAACGCACCTGCGTCAGCGCGGAGCACTCTACGTACGCCTCGGCGCCGATCTTCCTCCGCATCTCCTCCCCCTCCTCCGTCGTCACGTGCCGCGCACCGCCGCGATCGACGCCGCTCGCGGACTTCCCGGACCCGCTCCGCTTTGTTACCGCGCCATCGTCTTTCCCTTTGGTCCCCGCGCCGTTAACGCCTCTCAAGTCGAGCTTGGTGCCGACGAGCGTGATGGGCGCGCCCGGGGCCTTGGCGCGGAGCTCTTTGATCCACGTCTGAGACACGTTCTCGAACGACGCGCGGTCGATGAGGGAGAAGGCGAGGATGAACCCGTCCGCCTCGTGGTACGACAGCGGGCGGTACTGCGCGTACTCGTCCTGTCCCGCCGTGTCCCAGAGCTGTCGGAGTCCGAGTAGGGGAGTCGGAACGGATTCGGAACGTCAGTCAGAGAACGAACGAGCGAACGAACGGAACGCCGTCCACGGACGAGGGAGAAGCGCGCGGGGTGGGGGGCTCGGACGGCCGGCGACGCCCCCCCCCCCCCAGAACGCGTCGCGCGCGCTAAAGTAAACCCTAAACGACGCACCCCCAGGTTGATAGTCTTCTCCCCGTACTGCACGTTCACCGCGTAGTTGTCGAACACGGTCGCCATGTAGTCCGTGGGGAACGTGTTCGTGGTGTAACACAACAGCATGGACGTCTTCCCGACCGCGCCGTCGCCGACGACGACGACCTTCATGGGAACGTACATCTGCGTCCCGGGGACCACCTCGCCGTTCGCGCCGGGGGCCCCTACGGTCGCGATCGGTCGACGGCGAACGGAGTGGAGAGGGGAGGGCGTCGGTCAGTCGGGGAGGGAGCGAGCGAGCGATCGATCCGACGGACGAGGGAATAGACCAGGTGCGCTAAGTCGCGCTCAAACTAATTGCTCATACGGTGCGCGCGCGCGGGGCGCGGATCGCGGATCGGACGGGGTGCGAGGCGGGCGACGCGCGGGGGCGAGCGACGCGCGTCGCGCGGGTCGAGCGCGCGCGCGATCCCGAGGACGCACCCATGGCGGCGTCCGGGGCTCCGGTGGCGGTCGTCGACGCGGTCGCGACGACGCGCGCGCGCGCGGGGTCTGTCCAGTCTGCGGCACCCCCCGCGAAGAGTCGTCTACAGGTAGGAGTGATGACGGAAACGCAGCGCGCAGAGCGCTGGCCGCTTTCAAATTCATCCGTTGATCGAGGGTCGAAACGCCGCGATGCCTTTCAAACGCCGAGAAGCCGACCTCGCGAAAGGAGAGCGTCAGCGTCATCACAGGTTGTCGCGTCGCGTCGTCGCTCAACGCACTACACGTACAGCACGACTGCTCACTCCTCGTCGCCCGCGCGCCGCCCGCGCCGCGATGAGCCGCCGACGCAAGCACGTCCGGAACCAGCTCGAGGAGCTGTGCCCGGAGCTGAACGACGGCGACGCCGTGTGCCGCGTCGTGGAACTCCGCGGCGGGAACCAGGTCCAGGTGCGCGACGACGTCGACGTCCGATCCGCGCGCCGCCGCATCATCGCGTCTCGCTCGTCGCTCGTCCGCGCCGCGCCGACTCATCACCTCGTCCCCTCCCTCCCGCAGGTCGAGAAGCCGGACGCGTCCACGACGCTCATACGCATCCCGAGCAAGTTCAGCAAGGTGCTGTGGGTGCGGAAAGGGTCGCACGTCCTCGCGCACTTCGAGGAGGACGCGACGAGCGACGCGGCGAACGGGGGGGCGCGCGGATCCAAGGTGACCGGCGAGCTGCTCCGAGTGCTCTACGCGGAGCAGATCAAGGAGCTGCGGAGGGCGCGCCCGGAGGCGTGGCCGGAGCGGTTCGGGACGGGGAGGGGCGGCGGCGGCGGCGCTGACGACGACGACGGCGACGCGGGGGTGGACGACGCGGTCGGCGGCGTGAGGGCGATGCGCTTCGGCGACGCGGCGGCGGAGGCGGAGGCGGAGGCGGAGGCGGAGGCGGAGGCGGAGGCGGAGGCGTCGGACGACGACGACGGACTGCCGCCGCTCGAGGCGAACACGAACCGTCGGAGGATGCCGGAGTCGGACAGCTCGTCGGAAGAGGAGGAGGAAGTCGAGGAGGAGGAGGAAGACGACGACGATTAGCCCGGTAGCCGCCGACGACGATTCCCGTACTGTAGCAGAGCGAACTGATAACGCGTCGCCGAACCGAAAACCAAACGAACGCCGAAGAAGTGATGATGGACGGATGTCATCGCAACAGCGCGTTCTCCTCCCTCTCCCGCTTCGCCGCGACGACGCGCGCGAGCATCTTATCGAGCTCGTCCCCAACCCTGGACGCTCTGGACTCCACCGCGGCGCCGCCGCCCACGTCGACGATGACGTTCGGGAGCTTCGCGAGCTTCCCAGTCGCCGGCGCGCGCGGGTTCCCGACTGATGATGACGGATGACGTCGAAAGGCGTCAGTCGTCGGTCGGAGTCGTGAGGCGCAGGCGCGTCGGGATCGAAACCGTGGGACGGGCGGAGAGAAACGACGGACGGACGGACGCGAGAGAAAGTCCTCAAGGATCGAAGTTCACCGCGCCGACGCGGTCGTACGGGGACCAGTCATCATCAGTCGCGGGGCCGCACCCGACGTTCGCCTGGCGCCCAACACCAGACACTGCGACGGCTTGAGACGGACGTCGTCGTCCTCCTCGCCCGGCCGCGTCGTCGTCGCGGAGAGCGCGAAGGCGTCGTGCCACTTCTCGAGCTCGGCCTCCCTCCCGGGCTCGTCCGGGTCGTACACGATCAGGAGGCCGTCCTGCGCGAGGAGGAAGGGAGAGGAGAGGAGAGGTGATGAGAACAGACGCGGACGGAAGATTCGAACGACGACGACGCCGACGACTATAAGATACCGCCGACGACCGCGGTACTTTCTCGTCGTCGTCGCGCGCGCACCATCCCGTCCGCCATCGCGGGAAAGCACGTCTGATACTTCAGATCCCCCGAGCAGTCCCACAGGTCCACGCGCACGGTGCGCATGCCGACGCGTCGCTCGCACGTCTGCACGCGCACGCCCGCGGTGGGGTCGTACTCGCGCGACGGCGTCGCGCCGGCGACGAGCTGGCACGTCGTCGTCTTCCCGCACTCTTTCGGGCCGACGACGACGATCTTCACGACGTCGGTCATGCGGATCCGTCGGGCGCGCGGGCGTCGCGGTCGCGGTCGCGGTCGCGCGCGCGTCGAGTGGCGGTGGACGCGCGTGGGAAGGAAACACTCGGCGTCCCCGCGTCTCATTGCTACAAAGTCGTTCATCGGCCAGTTGAAAGGAGACGCGATCACATGTTGAAACCGAAGGATGGGTGAAAAACGTTTTTTTCTCATCACAGCTAACAGCAGGGTCGCGCTTCCAAACTCTGTTCGAACCGCGGCGCAGGTGCCGATCTGCTCAGCTCTCGCGTCGCGCCAGAGGGTTCGCGCGCGGCACGCCTCGCGTCCTCCCTCCCCCCCCCGCGCGACACCGCGATGTCCGCGGCGGCGACGACGTCGCCCGCGCACCGCGCGCGACCGCCGCCGCCGCGCGGACGCGCGGCGCGACCGCGCCGCCGCGTCGCCGCGGCGGCTCGACGGCGCGCGGCCGCGAACATCGCGGCGGGGGACGCGTCGTCGTCGTCGTCGTCCTCCTCCTCCTCCTCCTCCTCCCCCGCGAAGGTCGCCGTGTTCGTCTCCGGCGGCGGCTCGAACCTCCGCGCGCTGCACGACGCGATGACGCGCGGGGACGTGCGCGCCTCCGTCGCGGTCGTCGTCTCGAACAAGCCCGACTGCGGCGGCGTCGCGTGGGCGAGACGCGAGGGCATTCCCACGCTGACGTACCCCAAGCCCAAGGGAAGCGACGACGGACTACGCGCGGAGGAGCTCGTGGACGCGCTCGCGAACGCGCACGGGGTGACGCACGTGTTGCTCGCGGGGTACCTGCGGCTGATCCCGCCGGAGCTGTGCCGCGCGTACGAGAACAAGGCGCGTTTACGTTTTTACTTCACTGGTCCCCGTACGACCGCGCACGCGCGGCGCGCGCCGTTCCTTCTCGAGGACTTCGCGTCTCTCTCCGCCCGCCCCTCGGTTTCGATCCCGACGCGCCTGACGCCTTTTGACTCCACCCCGACGTCGGATGCTTCGCACCGTGGACCCGTATCAGATGCTCAACATCCACCCCGCGTTGCTTCCCGCGTTCGGCGGCAAAGGCATGCACGGCGACAACGTCCACGCCGCGGTCGTGAACAGCGGCGCGCGGTTCACCGGCCCCACGGTGCACTTCGTGAACGAGAAGTTCGACGACGGGAAGATCGTCGCGCAGCGGGTTGTCCCGGTGATGCCAACGGACACGCCGGAGGTGAGACTGCTTCCCATACGACCGCGTTCGCGTGGTGAACGCCGTTCCTTGAGGACTTCACTTCCCGGCGTCTCTCGGTTTCATTCCCCGCCCACGACGCCTTTCAACTCCACCCCTGACGCGCCTTTCAACTGACTCCATCCCTTTCAAGGACGTCGCCGCGAGAGTGTTGGCGGAGGAGCACGTCGTGTTCGCGCGCGTCGCGAGCGCGCTCGTGGACGGACGCATAGAGTTTCGCGACGACGGCGTGCCCGTCATCGTCGGCGAGGACGGGACGAGGGAGTAGTGAGTGGCGCGCGTGGCGACGAAGAGGACGGACGAGACGAGACGATTCGAGACGATTCGATTCGAGACGAGACGAGACGACGACGCGCGGGGTGGCGTTTTCGTTTTGACGCGTTTGTTTTCTTCGAAGTTTCCCTCTCGCTTCGGAGACGGGACCGGATTATCTATCTATGCTACGTATCCCTCAGCGACGCCGCTCGCCGCTCGTCTTTTAGACGTTGAACCGCGTCTCGCCCTTCCGGAGCTTGGCCCACTCCATCTTCTTCGAGTACGTCCACTTGTTCGTGAACGGCGCGAAGAGCTCGTGCGCGTTTACCAAGTGCGGGTGCCGCGGGAACTTGCCTTTCAACACGCGCTTCAGCGTGGACAGCGGCGCATACCTGCGACGAGGAACGAACGAACGCGATTGGTCGGTCAGCGTTTGATGAGATACGGTGACGTGGAACAACCTGAGACTGGCTGTACTCACGTGGCTGTACTTTTGAGGAAAGGAATGCAAAACACGGGTAATAAGATGGCGGACGCGCACCCGCGGTCGTTCTCCCCTCCCCGCCACGGGAGCTCCTGGCAGTGCCACTTCGACAGCGGCCGTCCGCGCGCGTCCAACTCCCCCGGCTCGAACGGCGGCTCGCACGGGACATATTTCCACGTCAGCAGCTCCCGGGGAGGGAGATCCACCTCACCGTCGCGCGCGTCGTCGGAGTCCTCGGCGGCGGCGTCGGCGTCGTCGTCGGAGGACGAGTCGGGACTCACCCCCGGAATCGCCGTCGCCGCCGCGCCGCGCGAATGCGCCCTCGCGCCCTTCGCGCCCTTCGCGCCGCGTCTCTTCCCGCCGGCGCCGGCGCCGGCGCCGGCGCCTCGCTCGACGCGCGCCCTCCTCTCCGCGTACGCCGGCATCATCTGCTCCAAGATCCCGTAGTACTTCGCCTCCTCCGCGAGTTCCGCGAGCTGCCCGCGGGTGAGGTCCGGATCCAGCGCGAACTCATGGAACGCGCGGTGGAAATTGAGCACGTGCCTGAAGTGCGTCCCGTCGCGGTCGATAAAGTACGACCCGTCCTCGTCGCTCGGGGCCATGCTGTACTCGCCGCTGAACATCGCGGCGAGGAACGAGCCCGGGACGTTCCGCAGCGTGTCCAGGCTCGTCTCGAACCGCGCGCCGCCGACGTTCAGCACGACGCGCTTCTTTTGCGTCTGCGTCGCGCCCTTCGTGATCTCGACGTCGCGCTCCACCCTCGCGCGATGCGCCGCGTACTTCTCCGCGATGTGCGTCTCCGTGGTGTTCACGACCGCCACGAGCTCCGCCTCGCGCTCCGCGAGGGTCTTCACGCGCTCCTCGATGAGGGCCTCGAGCCTCTCGAGGTTGCGATACGCGCGCTTCTCCTCCGCTCTCGCGCGCTTGCGCGCGAGCTCGACGTCTTCCGGGTCCGCGCGCGGCGCGCCGTCGGCCGCGCGGTCGCCGTCGCGCGCGGTCTCGTCGTCGGACGCGTTCTCGAGGTGGTCGTCGGAGCCTTCGTCGTCGCGCGTCGGCTCGATATCGCGCGCGCGTTTCACCCGCGTCATTGCGCCCAGATCTCTGCGGGGACGGGGCAATGACGCGGCATTGCGCCGCACCCGCCTGCGAAAAGGCAAAGAGACACTTTGTAAGATCGCATAGGATCGCATAAGTGATTGCATAAGTAGAATACCCATTTCCATCCTCTTCACCGCATTTCGTAAATTGGAGTTTTTGTAGACCGTCGTTTAGGGTGTAGACAGCGCCTCGACGGCGACGCCTCTTTTTTATATTATGAGGGATCGATTAGCGGGGGGTTTTCACCGTTCGGTCGGTGAGTTTCTACTCTTAACGAGGAAATTAGACCGTCGTTTTGGGTGTGGACACATTTTACGGCGAAAATTAAGTTTCTATTAGAATTTAAAGCGCTCAAACCGTACTTTCTAGACTAAATGTCTATAGACTACTTACTGCGCAATTAGTCTCGAAATACTGACGACACCCAGGTACGGGCAAACAGTCTAGAAATTTCCCCGATCTCGACGAACTAAAGTTACTGGACTAAATTCCCCGATCTCGAGAAATAAAAGACATCTAGAAAAAACTACTTACACTGCCAATTAGTCTCGAAATACTGACGACCCAAGAGGCCAAAACAATCTAGAAACTTCTCTAAACACGCCGCATAATAGTACGTGTAGTCGCCGTCGAGAGCTCGGGAAATTTTGATTTCAAACCGGCTCAACGAGCAAAAGCGCCCCGCGTCGTCGTCCGTCGTCCACAGCGCACCGCGCTCACGCCGTCGCGCGCACTCGCAGGGCGCATCGCACGCGCGGGGACGCGAACCCGCGTCGAGAGGGGGGAGCGCGGCGTTCGCTCGCGCGCCGAACCCGAAGCGAGGAGGGCGCACGAGGGAAGCGCGCGCGCGGAGAGAAGAGATCCTTTGGATTATCAAGTCGCTCGTTCTCTCGCGCTCGCGCACGTCGTCGCGCTCTCGCGGACGTAGCTCGCGCGCGCGAAGATGTTCTACTCGCAGTACATCCTCGCGAAGCGCGGTCCGTTAGGGACGATATGGATCGCCGCGCACTTGGACCGAAGGCTCAGGAAGCAGCAGATCACGGAGACGGACATCGCGGAGGCAGTCCGTGCGCGCCCCTGCCAAATCTCTCTCCCTGCCAAATCATTTCGCGCTCGAATCGCCCCGCCGATTTCGCCCGTCGCGCGCGCGTCGATCCGCGCGCGTCCCCCGCGCGCGCTCGAATCGAATCGACCGCCTTCGAGCGCTTCTCGCGACGTCGCGTCCCCGCGTCGCGCGCCACCGCGCGCGTCGTCCCCGCCCGCGCCCTCGACGCCGCCGAAGAAGGAATCGAATCGAGCCCGCGAATGAATTCAATGAAATCTCCCACCCGCCCGTCCGATCCCGCGATTCCACCCGTCGACCTATCAACCTCTCACCCGCCCCATCCCATCCCATCCCATCAAAACCTCCAGAATCGATCGTGAACCCCGAGGCCCCGCTCGCGCTGCGCCTCTCCGGCCAGCTCATGCTCGGCGTCGTTCGAATCTACAACAGGAAGGTGTCGTACCTGTTCCAAGACTGCTCCGAGGCGCTGGTCAAGATAAAGGGCGCGTTCGCCAAGGAACGCGCGGACCTCCCCGAGGGCGGCGCCGTCGCGGTCCACAACGTGATCACGCTCCCGGAAAACTACGACGACCTCGAGGAGATGCTTCTGCTGGACCCGGTCGCGGTCGCGGCGATGGACCCGGCGAACGCGGTCGACCGAATGGGGCTGACGCGCTCGGGGGAAAACCGCGGAACGAACGGCGCGGGGAACAGGGCCGATATCAACCTCGAGGACGATCTCGAGGAGGACATGTACGACGATTTCGAGCACCAGTACGCGCACGACGATCGGATACACGACGACGGCGTCGGGAGCGACCTCGAGGACGTGTACGACGACGCGTTCTATCCGTCCAGCGCGTACAAGACGCCAAACGGCGCCAAGAGAGACGGCGACGCGGCGATCACGGATCCCGACGCGCGCGCGGACGTGCAACTGGAGGATTACGACGACGCCGGCGACGGCGCGGAGTTTGGCGGCGGCGGCGACGACGACGGCGCCGTCGGCATGGAGCAGGTCGCGGGAGGTATGGATGGGATCGAACCGCTTCCGCTGGACGACGACCTCGAGGACGAGAACGGCGTGCGAGGGACGGTGGTGACGGCGGCGGGCGCTGCTGGGGTGACGTTTAAGACGCCGTCGGCGGCGGGGGCGCCGCCGCCGAACGAAAACGACCCGCCGAACACGAACGCGAGCAGCGGCATCGTCGTGGACTGGGGGAAGACCGCGCAGAAGGGACGACGCCCCACCGACGTGGACGGACTTCCCGGCGCCGCGGTGAAGCCCGCGCCGCAGGCGCGGCCGAGGACCAAGCCGCGCGAGAAGCTCATCATCGACGACGTCACGGTGCTGTCGAACGAGCACATCCGGAACCAGCTCAAGGACACGAGCGACATCGTTCGCAAGCGCACGCCCGGGGCGCTTCGCTTGCTCGTGGACCCGCGCGACACGGACGTGCCGTTCGACCACCCGGACGACGTCGACGTCGACGGCTTGCCCACGGTGGGCTACTTCAAGGAGGGGTGGACCTGCGTCGTGCCGGAGGAGGCGTCCGTCGCGCACGACATGATCCGCGGCGATTACATGGACTGGGACCCGGTGATGAACCACCGGATGTCGCCGGAGATGGCGAAGATTCGCCGCGCGTGCGTCGCGCACCTGTGGAAGCGCGCGGGGGAGAAGTGGGGCGGCGGGTACGCCGCGGGCGACGCGGCGGCGGCAGCGGCGAAGGGGTCCACGGAGCGCGGCGGCGGAGGGTTCGGGTTCGACGACGACGGCGGCGATTTCGGCGGCGGCGGCGGAGGGTTCGACGACGACGACGATTTCGCGATGCCGCCGCGGGACGACGACGACTTTAACGTCGACGAGCGCGGGACGTCGCGGCTGCGCGCCGACGCGGAAAACGCCGCCGACGTCGTCGACCGACTGGGGCCGCTCGGGTCGGAGCCGCCGACGCCGGCCAACGCGCCCAAGGGGGATATCGACTGGAGCGTGCACACGAAGCGGATGCTGAGCGACCTCGCGCCAAGGTTGAATACACCGCGGGCGAAGCCGGTCAAGGTGAGCGAGATGCTGAAGGATGTCGGGACGGAGACGAAGCCGTGCACCAAGTCGGAGGCGGCGCGCGTGTTTTACCAGGTGCTGGTGCTAAAGACGCACGGGTTCGTGGAGTTGGCACAGAGAGAGGACTACGGCGACATCGACATCGCCGCGGGGCCGAAGATGAAGGACGTCGCGAAGGGGAAGACCGCGAAGGCGTGAGCGCGTCGTGCGTGGGGACTAAATAGACGGCGCGACCCCGCGAGTGAGTAGCTTTCTTTCTGTTTGTGATGAAACATAAGGAAACGGCGGCGAAAGAAACGCTTCAAACTCGAACCGCGCCGACTTCGCGCGTCGCTCGAGAACGACCGACGGACGACGCGCGATGGACGACGACGTGTAAATGATTTTGTTTTCTCTTTTTGAAAATCAACTAAACACTAGGGCGCGCGGGCTCGGTATGTAAAAAGGCACCCGCCGCGCCTGTCGCTGCGGCTTCGGCTATGTGCGTGCGGTAAAAATCAGTAAAATCAATCGATCGTCGCCCCGCGCGGCGCGACGACGTCATCATCGGCGACGGACGGCGCGTCGTGACCGGTGACGCGTTCTCTTTTAACACGCGGAGAGCGACCGAGTCTTCTGAGTTCTCAATTGTCTCAGATGTAGTTCCTTCCATCCTTCGACGGCTAATCCGATTAGCGCGCGACGGACATCGGGGACTCGAGCTCCTCCTTGGGCGTGATCACCTGCTGCTTCTTCCCGTAGCCAGACGAGTACATCATCTCCTCGAGCACCGCCTCCCACTTCGCGGCGGGCTTCCTCCACGAGAGGTCCTGCGCGATGCACGTGGACGACATCTTGGAGTACGTCGGCGTGCCGTACGTCGCCGCCGCCGCGACGCACGTGTCGACCATGGCCTCGACGTCGTCGGCGACGAGCGCGTCCGGATCCATCGCGCCCATGTGGAACCCAGTCACGCCCTCTTTGACGGTGTCGACGAGGCCGCCCGTGGACGCGACGATCGGCACGGTGCCGTACTGCATCGCGTGGAGCTGGATGAGACCGCACGGCTCGAAGCGGGAGGGCACCATGAGGAAGTCCGCGCCCGCGGTGATGTAGTGCGCGATCGGGTTGGAGAATTTCACGACGCCCGCCATCTTGGGCGAGAGCTTGTCGAGCTTCTCGAGCTGCTTCTCCATGGACTTCTTGCCCGTGCCGAGGATGATAACCTGCGCGTTCGGGCACTGCTTGAGAAGCTTCGGGACCGCCTCCATCATGATATCGCAGCCCTTCTGCTCCTCGAGGCGGCCGATGTAGCCAAAGATGGGCGCCGCCGGGTCGAGCGGGAGGCCAACCTCGGCTTGGAGCGCCTGCTTCGCCGCCGCCTTGCCCATCGCGACGGTGTTCTTGTCGTACGTCACGTCGAGGAACTTATCCGTCTGCGGGTTCCACTCCGTGGGGTCCATGCCGTTGACGATGCCCTCGATCCCGCCGGTGGCGTTGATGATCGTGTTGAGCTCGACACCCTTGGACGCGGAGCCGGAGATCTCCTTGGCGTAGTTCATGGAGACGGTGATGTTCCTGTCCGAGTTGATGAACGCCGCCTTCATCCAGTTGTCCTTCTTGAACTTGCCCTTGGGGGAGGAGTCGATCTCGCCGTCCTTCTTCGGGCTGCGCTCGTCGTACATCTTGCCCTGGGCGTCCTCGAAGAAGAAGTCCGCCGCCGCGGACTCCGGGAGGCCGAGGTCGGACATGGGCGTCGGCCAGAAGCGGCCTTGGAACGCGATGTTGTGCACGGTGAACGCGCACTTCGCATTCGTGTACTTGCCCTGGGGGCGGTACACCTTGTTGATCATCACGGGCACGAGGCCGGAGTGCCAGTCGTTCGCGACGAAGCACACGTCCTCGCCGTAGCCAAAGGGAAGCACCATCGGCGCCTCGAGCGCAGCCTTGCAGAACATCGCGAAACGCTCCTGGTTATCCGCGAAATCCGCGCCGTTGGTTTTCCCGTACAGCTTGGACCCCGTCTTGCCCCACACCTTGGCGAGGAACAGCGGGTGGTCGACGAAGACGCGGTCGACGCCCTTCTTGTTCTCGTGGAAGAAGCCAACCTGCTTGCCCATGGCGTCCACCTTGACGGACGTGTCCCACGCGCCCTTGTACTGGTCGTAGCGCGGGGAGATGGTCATGACCTTGTGGCCGCGCTTGGCGAGCTCGACGGGGAGCGAGCCGACGACGTCGCCGAGACCACCCGTCTTGGACCACGGCGCCACCTCGGTGGAGATGAAGACGATCTTCATCGGCTTGGCCGCCTTCGGGGTGTACCCCGCTGCGGCAGCCTTGGTCTGCGGGCGGGCGGGAAGGATGGGAAGGATGGGAAGGATCGATGGTGGTGAGCGGGGCGCGGAGGGAGGGGTAAAAAAGATCATCGCTCGACTTCGTTATCGATTCATCGAGGAGGAGGAATAACTGAACGAAAACGCCGGCGCGGCGGGGGCGGTATCCGCGCGTCGCGACGCGCGCGACGGCGCGCGCGACGCCGCGACGCGCGAATCCGACGCCGGGCGATCGAGATAATCGACCGCGTGAGCGACGCGACGCGAGGCGGACGGGACGCGCCGCGTCGCGTCGCGACGCGCGCGCGTCTCCGGCGGTTCGGGGCGATCGACGATAATCCCGTCGACGACGACCGACGCCGACGCTCGGGCGGCGACGGAAACGGGGCCGGGGCGACGACGCACCACGGTGGAGCGCGCGACCTTGCCGTTCTTGCGCGCCGCGGCGGCCCTGTGGAGAGAGCGGGGAGGTCATCGTCAGCGTTCAGGTCTCGCGGAGGGCGGCGACGTCGCGCCGAGCGCGCGAGCGGCGCGTCGTCTCAATTGAAAAAAAAGAGCGAGCCGACGAGCGACGAGGGCGATTCGCGCGACGGAAACGCGCGCGCGCGGGCGCGCGACGCACTTGAACTGCGCGGCGGCGCCGGCGAACTGGTGAGTGGCGAGGGAGGAAGCCATTGTGATAGCGCCTCGAACGTGGGTGTCGTGCGTGTGTGCGTTGAAGTGGTGTGGCCGCGCGCGGCGACGGCTTTAAGAATTGCTCTCTGCCGAGAAGAAACGAGTGCACCAAGTGGCTTGCCCGCGAACCGGTGGCTCTCGTTCGCTCACGTCGGTCGGATCGTGGCCCAGGTGGCGCCGGATTCGGTTCGATTTCGTACGGCGAGCAGTCTGGATTTTTTGCCAAAATTGTACGTGCGACTGTAGTTCTCGCGCGCTGCCAGCCTGGATTTTGGGGTTTTCGTAATTCGGGACGCGTGCCCGACGGTGCCGTCGTGGCACCCGAGAGCCAATGAGCGCGCGCCACGGTGCCGCTGTGGCGGCTCTTTTTCGGATATTTTTCCGCGCGAACCGCCGGGTCTTATCCGTGGTATTGAAGATCGCGCGCGGGAACGAACGAGATCGCCGATCGGAGGCTCCGATCGCAGGCTCCGATCAACCGCGCGCCGAAGGTGGTTTCAAGCGCCGGTGAACGCCGCCGGCGGCTCGATCAAAACGCGCGGCGCCCGCGCGGCTGCGCGTCGTCATCATCATCATCATCATCATCATCATCATCCGTCGTCTCGCGGCACAGCCGGACGCGCGCGTCGGCGTCGTCGGTCGTCGGTCGTCGCTCGACGCGCGCGCGCATGCCCCCCGCGGTCCTCGCGTCCATGGGCGTCTCGTCCTCCCCGCGCGCGGTCGCCGCGCGCGCGTCGTCCGCGTCGTCCGCGTCGACGTCGTCGTCGGCGACGTCGGTCGACGCGTCGTCGACTCGCCGCGGGAAGCGGCTGTACCTCGTTCGCCACGGCCGGACGGAGATGAACGACTACCTGCGCTACCACGACTGGTCGTCGCCGCACTTCGAGGACCCGATGAAGTACGACACGGCGCTGACGAGCGAGGGCGAGGCGCAGGCGAGAGCGCTCGGGGAGCGCGTGCGATCGACGCTGGACCCGCCGCCGGAGGTGCTGATCGCGTCGCCGCTGTCGCGCGCGATGCACACCGCGGAGCTCGCGTTCGCGGACGCGTTCCCGGAGATACCGAGGGAGACGTGCGTCCTCGCGCGCGAGCGCGTCTTCCACGCCAGCGACGTCGGGTCGCACCCGGCGGTGCTTCGAGAGCGATTCCCGTCGTGGCGCACGCGCGACCTCGACGACGCCGTCGCGTCAGACGGCGACGACGGCTGGGTCCCGTGGTGGTATCACGGCGGCACGAGCGACCCGAAGCACGTCGCGCCGGAGCCGATCGAGGTGTTCGAGAAGAGGATGCACGACCTGATCGCGTGGATCGACGCGAGGGAGGAGACCACGATCGCGATGGTCGCGCACTGGGGGACGTGGTACTCGCTCACCGGTCGCGAGTTTGAAAACTGCGAGCTCGTGGCGTGCGCGCTGGAGGATCTGAGACCCGGTCGAGGCGCGATGAAGTGAATGAAGTCTAGGGTTTCGGTTTAGGGTACTGTGTGTGCGCGTGTTCTTCACGCGCGACGCGCGGCGGTCGCGCGAGACGCGTAGCGTAGAAGTATGATATTCTCAAATTATAGCGTAGCTTCGCGAAAGGCGTCGTGTCGTCGTCACTTGGTCACCTTGTACTTCTTGATCGTGTCCAACAGCTTCTTCGCGTCCGCGTCGTTCGCGAAGTGATCGCGCACCGGCTGCAGGATGGCGTTCAGGTGCCTCGCGAGCGCGGGCTTGACGTCCCCCGGATGCAGCGCGCCGGACACGAAGTCCGCCTCGACGTCCTCGTACGCGTCGTAGTCCACGTTGCCGCCGTTCTCCTCCGGGCGCGTCACTGACGAGAGTCGACGGGCCGCGCGAACGAAGCGACGTCGGGGTGGAGTTGAAAGGCGTCAGGCGTGGAGTTGAAAGGTGTCGCGGGCGGGCGTTGTGAGCGAGGGGTGATGGGCGGAGAGACTTAAACGCCGGGAAGTAAAGTCCTTAAGGATCGGCGTTCACCGCGCGAACGCGGTCGTACGGGGACCAGTGTGAAACGGCGTGAATCACAGAACCAAACGCGCCTGAGAATTTCCCCGTCCACGGCATGACGACGTACTTGATGTACTCCAGACACGGGTTGCCCTTGACCTCCCCGGGCGGGCAGTACGCCTTCTTGAGCTTCACGTTAACGTCCGCCTCGGAGTCCTCCATGAAGATCGCGCTCTCCGGGTCGCTCTTGCTCATCTTCTCCTGTCCTTGCTTCAGACCCATCAGCATGTGGTGCGACAGGATGATTGGCTTCAGGGTCGTTCCATACGAGCGAATGTCGGGGTGGAGTTCATAGGCGTCAGTCGGAGTTGAAAGGCATCGAGGGCGGAGATTGAAAACGGGGGTTGGGCGCAGAGATGCGCCGGCGAAAGTCCTTAAGGATCGGCGTTCACCACGTCAACACGGTCGTATGGGAACCAGTGTATAGAACGCGCCTTCATCTTGCGCTTGATGTCGTCGCAGTACTCGCGCGCGAGCATGTTCACCTTGCGCTGATCGACGCCGAGCTGGCAGATGTCCGCCTTCAGGAAGAAGATGTCCGCGCACTGCATCACGGGGTAGAAGATCTGCGACGCCGCGAGGTCGTCCGTCTCGCTTCGACCCATGATCTGCGTGCAGCGAAGTATCCTCGCCAGCTTGTTCCGCCGCGCGATGTCGAGCACGAGCGGCCAGTACTCGTGCCCGCGCTTGTTGATCTCCTCGCTGCTCCATATGAACTCGACGCGCGAGAGGTCCATCCCAACAGCCTTCCACACCTCCACCATGTACTGTCCGACCTTCTGGATCTTCTTCAGGTCGCCTCCCATCTTGTTGTTCATGAGCGCGAACCAGTCCGCGACCCAAAATTTGAAGTGGCAGCCCGCCTTGGTGAGCTTGTTGACGTTCAGGCACTTCATCACGCCCTGCGCGATGTGCATGCGCCCGCTCGGTTCGAACCCGTCGTAGCACACGGGCACGGGCTTCTTGTCCAGGAGGTTTCGCAGCTCCTCCTCCTGGATGCACTCCTCGCCGACGCTTCGACACAGCTCGTACTTCTCGTCTAGGGTGAGATCGGACTCGAGCGGCGGCGCGACGCCGGTCGCGGCGCCGGAGATGGACGCCGCGGCCATCGCGTCGGTGGGCGGCTCCGAAGACGACGACGCCATGGCGCGGCGTCGGGGGGGTGGGGGGGGTTGGGGAGGCGGCGCGGGGTGTTGTGGAGGCGCGCGCGCCGCGGGCGACGCGAGCGACGACCGATCGATCGTCCGTCCGCCGCGGAAAAAGTCGGCGCGTACTCGGTACGTCTCGACCTACTTTCGCGCCGCACGCGCAAACAGTCAGGATGGCGCGTACGCGCGTACGATTCATACTAAATGCTCACGCGCGTACGCGTAGGATCTGATCTTCAGCCGTCGCGATTATGACACACACAGGAAGGAATAATAACTCAGCTCGCCAGAATATATTTCTACGTGCAAATTGTCTGCAACAAATTTACACGTGTTGTTTACACGTGACGAAGTCACGACCGAAAAGAACGAACGACTATCATGCCGAACGTCGCGTCGCCGTAGCCCTCGACGCGCGCGCGGCAGTCCCGTCCGCGCGCGACCGCGCGCGACGCGAGACCCCAATGGCGACGACGGACGCGCGCGTCGATCCCGCGCACGGCGAGCCGGCGCCGTCGCGCTGCGCCGTCGGCGACTTGCCCGGTGCGTCCTCGAACCATTCGTCTCCCGCGCTCGCGCGCGGTGTCCGACTTCGAGGAAAACCTTCCACCCGCGCACATTCCGCGCGCGAGATGCGACCCCCGCGCGCGCGCGGTCCCTCCTCGCGCGAGCGCGCGTTCCCCCGCGCGTCGCGCGACGTCGACGCGTCGCCGTCTTTTCAAACCCCACGCCGATCCTCGCGTCTCGCCGCGCCGCGAATCTCACGCCCGCGCCCCCGCGCCGCGCGCGACATCGCTTATCAGGAGGGAAGGGCGTGTTCAAGTCCGCGGCCGCGCGCGCGCTTCGTCACGAGCGGAGGCTAATGTCGACCGGAGAGGTCACCAGGTGCGCGTCTCGACTCGCCCTCCGACCCCGCGCGCGCGTTCGAACGTCGAGGGGTAAGGGGTCGCGATCGCGCGCGGGGTCGGAGGGCGCGCGGAGCGGTCGCTCTGCGCGCGCGCGACCGCGACGCCGCGCCGCGCCCTCGCGAGAATGTGTGTCCCTCCGCGATGGAAGGAATTGGAGAGATGCGGACAGACATCGGGGGGGGAACGGCTTCGCCGCGCGCGCGTCCGCGCGCGCGCGCGCGCGCTCCCAACGACCCCCCGCGCGACGCCGACGCCGACGCCGACGCTGATCGCGGCGTCGGCTCGGCCCCGCGCGCCGCGCGCGATCGCGCGCGGCGCTCGAGGCGGGCGCGCCCCCCTCCCCCCCCCCCGCGGGGCGAGATCGGACAACCCCAACGCGTCAGCCCGATCTTTTCGGTGGTGCGGGTCAGATCTCGTATGGGCAATCAGTCGTACAGTAGATTAGTATACAGTAGGTCGTTTTTTTCGCGCCGCTCCTCGCGCTCGCTGACCCGCCCTCCCCCCCTCCCCCTCCCCCTCCCTCCGCATCGCGCGCGCAGGGCCGCGCTTCGACTCGGTTTCCTCGCGCAACTCCCCGGGAAGACCCCGGAGGCGACGATGGCCAGCGCGCTGTACACGGACATCAAGAAGTGGAAGGACGGCAAGCCCGGAAGCATCTTTTGCCGACCGCGCGAGGGCCTCTTCGGGATGCGCGACTGGGCGGACGACCCGGAGCTCGCGCACCTCGTCGCGCCGTCGAACGGCCCGGACGGCGAGGAGAAGTTCCTCGTGATGTCGTCCGAGAACGCCAAGCGCGGGCACATGAAGCGCGGCGGCGCTTCCCGCCCGATGGCGAGGAGAGACTCCCCGGATGGCGCGGCGTCCGGGGACAGCGCCGCGGAGCGCGTGCGGATGGTCGCGGGCGCGGACGGCGGCCTCGACGTGCTCCTCGCCGCCGCGACCGCGGAGGGCGACATCGATGCGGAGGGACGGCGAAGGGCGGGCGCGGGCACGGGCGCGGGCGCGACGACGTCGGGGAAGCGCCCGCGCGACGTCGAGACGCCGCCGCCGCTCGCGGAGACGACCGCGGAACCGGCCGTGGAACACTCGAAGGACGGGCACGTCGTGCGCCACGTCCCGTCGAAGCGACGGCACGTCGTGGGCTCTTCGACCGGCGTCGACCCCGCGCCGGCGGCGCCGGCGAATCCGTTCCGAGGGGTCAAGCGCGCGCCGATCGACGTCGCCGTCGCGGCGGCGAACCCGGAGTTGTCTCGACGGCGGGACCTCGCGGCGGCGTGGGATCACCCGCGGATCGCGCTCGCGCGCGCCGCGGGGTTGAACGCCGTGCGCGCCGCGGGCGCGGGGATGTTCCAGCATCCGTCCGCGCTCTCCGCCGCCGCGCTCGACCACGCCGTCGCGGCTGAGACCCGACGAGCGTCGGCGGCGACGGCGCCGCCGCCTCAGGGCCCGGGGGGGGGCGCGTCGGCGGCGGCGGCGGTCGCCGCGTCCCCCGCGGACCCGGCCGCGGACCGAGCCGTCGCGCTGGCCGCGTCGTTCACCGCCGCCGCCGCGGGCGCGTCCGCGGTTCTCGACCAGGGGGCGCTCGGGAGCGCGCACGCGCTGGGCGCGTGCGTGCGAAGCCTCGCCGCGGAGGCGTCCGAGCTGTACGTCCTACTCGGCCCGCACCCGGCGACGGTTCGAACCATCGTCGCGCTCCTCGTCGCGTGCGCCGCGGGGGGCGAACGCTACCAAGCGGACCAACGCCTCGTCCTGACGCAGCTGTGGGAGGCGTGCCGCGGGATGCACTTCCCGAACGGCGTGGGGGAGACCGAGGCGGCGACGCAGGCGCTGCGGCGGCGCGTCGTGGAGATGGTGGAGGGCGCGATCGCGGCCGCGGCGGGGATGAACATCGGCGCCGTCGCCGCGGGCGCGGGCGCGGGGGCGCGGGCGCGGGCGGACGGCGCCGGGCTCGGGCTCGGGCTCGGGCTCGGGCTCGGCGGCGCGTATAAGGCTGACGCCGAGGCGGTGGCGCGCGCGGTGGCGATGGCGCAGGCGCACGCGCGAGAGCAGGTGCAGATGCGGGCGGGGGCGGCGGCGCAGGTGGCGGTGGCGCGAGCGGAGCGTCCGGAGAGCGCGGCGTCGTGACCGGGCGTCGCGAATGAAGTGTTGAAGTTGTTGTTTAGCTTGGAATAGAGGCGACGCGCGCGGACCTTCGACGCGACCGAGTCGGTCGCGCCGAACGACCCGCGTCGCCGACCGCGCGATGAACCGTCCCCACGGTACGCATCCGCGGTTATTAACAAACACCGAAAGGAACGAATACCCTACACGTGTAATAGCTAGTACCCCGAATCGCCCGACGCGAACGACTTCGACTCCCTCGCCGCGCCGCGCGCCGCCGCCTCTCTCTCGCGCTCCCGACGCGCTCTGCGCATCTCCGACGCGACCTTGACCGCGTCCACGGCGTGCTTGACGTCGTGCACGCGCACGACATCCGCGCCGCGCGGCTGCGCTACGGCGACGGCGTTCGCCGCCGACGTCGCGACGTCGCACGCGCTCGGCGGCGCCGCCGCCGCCCCCGCGTCTCCCCTCGCGTCCCCCCTCGCTATCAACGCCCCTAAGAAACCCTTCCTGCTCGCGCCGTACAGCATCGGCGCGTGCGTCACGCCTCCGCCGCCGCCTCGCGTCACGCCGTCTCGCACCGCGCCCAAGTCTGCGGTGAGCTCGGCGCACCCTCTCGCCGTCTTCGCGAATCCGATCCCCGGGTCGAGCCACAGCCGCCACGGCTCGATCCCCGCTTTCGCCGCTTTCCTCGCCGCGGCCGCGAGCTCGATCCCCACGACGCCGCACGTGTCGCCCTCCGCGTACGTTACGTTCGAAGTCGACTGCATGTCGGAGGGGTCGCCGCGCATGTGCATCGCGACGTAGGGCGCCGGGAACGGCAACGCCGCGACCGCCGCGCGCATCTCCGGATCCAACGACCCCGCGCTGACGTCGTTGATCACGTCCGCGCCCGCCTCCACCGCGCGCGTCGCGACAGCGCCGTAGAAGGTGTCCACGGATACGTACGGCGCGAACGCGCGCGCGCCGCGCGCGACGTCCGACGCGAACGCGGCGACGACGGCGGCGACGGCGGGGACGACGCGCGCGGACTCGTCCGCCGCTGAGAGCCGAGGGAGGGTCCGCACGAGGCGACGATGGCGAGGGGCGGGGTCGAGGGGGCGTCAGGGGTGGAGTCGTGAGGCGTCGAGGCGCGTCGGGAATGAAACCAGCGAGGGGCGGTGGGCGGAGAGTGACGACGACCGCCGGGAGATAATAAAGTCCTTAAGGATCGGCGTTCACAACGCGAACGGGGTCGTACGGGGACCAGTGCGAGGAAGTGTTTAGGAGGACGCGCCTGAGACGCGCGTCGCGCCCGGGCGCGTGGACTGCCCGCCGACGTCCAGGAACATCGCGCCGTCGTCCGCCATCCGCCTCGCCGCGCGCACGACCGCGTCCAGGTCAACAGCGGATTTTGATGTAACGTCCGCATCGTCGCCGTTACGGTTAACCCTGGTATTCAGCGCGCCGCCGTCGCTGAACGAATCCGGGGTGACGTTGAGGACGCCCATCACCGCCGCGTCGTCGTCTTTCCAGCTCCACAGCCCGTCCCGCAGCGGCATCACGCGCCGCATCTCGTCGCCGCCGACGTTACGCTCGCCGCCGGCGGCGGACCAGATCGCGCGCGCGGTGCGAAGGCTACGAGATATGACGCGGTCGGAGGAGGAGGAGGATGAGGAGGACGTCGCGTCGGCGTCGGCGGCGGCGGCGGCGGCGTCGGCGTCGGAATCATCCGCGTCGGAATCCGCGTCCAGATCCACGTCCAGATCCGCGAGCGGCGCGAGGACGAATCCGCGCTCGCGGTACCTCGGATGCGGCACGGTCAGGCGCTCGCGATTCACCGCGCCGCCGCCGTGGAAGATGATGTCCAGGTCGATCGGTCGCGGCCCGAATCGAACGCCGCCGTCGACGCGCCCGAGCTCTCGCTCCACGCGCTTGAGCGCGTCGAGGAGTTTAATCGGATCGGCCCCGACGTCCGGGTCGTCCACGCGCGCGACGAACGCGGCGTTCAGGAAGACGGGCTGGTCCGCGACGTACGCGGGCGCGGTCTCGTACAGCGACGAGTGGCGCTCGACTGCGGCGGGCGGGCGGGAGGGAAGGAGGGAGGGAGGGACGACGGCGTGAGGCGAGGCGACGGCCGCGAAGGAGGGCGTTCCGAGACGGACGCGCGAGGAGGAGGACGGACGACGCGAGGCGCGCGACGCGACGCGACGCGAGGCGCACCGACGATGCCAGCGGCGTTCAGCAGACGCAGCGCTCGGCGGAAGAGGTCCACGCGGTCGCCCTGGTTCGACCCGATCGCGACGACCGCCCGGCACGCCATGTCGGCGCGCGCGGGACGAGTGCCGTGGGGGGTTCTCGTTGAGGTCGCAGGGTTTGGGTCGTCGGGCTCCTGTGAGTGCGAGACCAAGATGAAGACTTTTTCCGCCCGTCGAGCATCGCGCGTCGCCTCCTCGGGCTACCTACAGTACGTGTACCTATCGCTACCTATACGCCTAACACGCCTCGCACAACGCGCCGCCGCCGCGAGGCTTCGCGACGGTGATGAAACAGTTCACGGGCGACATCACGTCTTCGTCCGCGGCGACGCGCACGAACCCGCCGCCGCGTCGTCCGCCGATGATGCAAATCTCGCGCTCGCACAGCGCCCGGAACGTCTCGCACAGCACGACGTACGCGCCCACGCCTCTCTCCTTCCCCGACCGCACGCAGTCTCTCCCGAGCGTGCCCTTGACGCAGCACGGACACAGAACGAGGCCGCGGATCTCGTCGAGACCGAACGCGAGGTCGATCAGCCGCGGGGACAACGCGCCGCACAGGTGCACGCCGACGAGGATCGCGCCCCCTCTGGCGCTGCGCTCTGATCGGCCGCAGACATCCGACGTGGCATCCGACGTGGCATCCGACGTGGCATCCGACGCATCGCCATCACCGCATTCGTCGCGAATCGCCTCCACGACGGACTCGCCGTACAGGTCCACGTGGCGGAACGTCACGTTCGCGCGGGCTCTCACGTGCGTCAAGTCCATCGTGCCGTCGGCGTCGAGCATCACGATCTTCGCGCGCGGGAACCAAAACGAAAACAGAATCGCCGCGACGCCCTTGCCGCTGCACGCGTCGAAGATCGTCCACCCGGCGCCGTCGACGGAGGCCTGATCGTCTGACGTGGCGTCCAGCGCGGCGATCAGCGCGCGCGTCTTCGCCGCCGCCGAGAACGCCTCGGTGACCTCCTTGTGCGCCTTCTTCCCCGCGAAGAGTCGTCGCAGGCGCGGGTCCCTCAGGACGCGCGACGCCCAGAACGGTTCGCGCAGAAGCGTCGCGACGTACGAGTTGTCCCCGGCGCGCTCGGCGAGTCTGCGAGCGACGCGCGCGGAGAGAAACGCGCGCTCCTCCTCCGTCTCCTCCTCCTCCTCGACCTCGTCGTCGCCGGCCGTGCGTTTCTCTCCGCCGCCGCCGCCGCCGCCGCTGGTCGCGGCCGCGCGGCCGCTGTCGTCCTTCGCGCGAAACCGCGCCATCCCTTCGCTCGTGAGCGACCACGCGGGCGCGGCGCCGCCGCCGCCGCCACCGCCGCGCGTCCTCGTCCACCACGTCCCGAGCGTTCGTCGAACCTCCGCGTCGGACGGATGCCGCTTCATTCGCTCGCACGCCGCGCCGTAGCGGCATCGCGTCGACGCCTCCCCCGCGCGCGTCGCGCGCGTCGCGCGCTTCGCGCGCTTGATCTGCCCGAGCGCCTCTCTGACGCGCGCGCCGCACGTCGTCGTGGCGTCGCCGAAGTCGTGGCAGAGCGCGCAGGGTGGAGACGGCGAGGGCGCGACGACGCCGTCGGACGACGCCGCCGACGACGACGACGCGGGGCATCGCCGACCGTTCGTGAGGTGCGGCCAGCACACGAAGTCGGTCGCGACGACGCCGCCCAGGGTCGCCACGCCCACGGGGCCGCGGCGTACGGGTGAGAACTTGTGCGCGTACGGAACCCCGGGGCCGTCGAACGTCGGCGCGGGGGTCGGAGGACGCCGCGACGACGCGTCGTCGTTCCTCTCGCTCTCGTCGGCGTCGGCGTCGGCGTCGCCGGCGTCGCCGCCGCCGCCGCCGCCGCCGTCGTCGTCGTCCACCGCGAGCGCGGCGATCCCCGCCGCGGCCGCGTCCGCGTCGCGCGAGGCGCGCGGGGTCATCCACCCCGTCCGACGCGCCGTGGAGACTGGCCGCGGCGGCGGGGGGGCGCGAGATCGAGGTCGGACGGAAGACGGCGACGAAACTCATCAGACGTGTTGTAAGATATTCGATCCCTTCGTCAGTGTCGCCCGCGCGTCCGCGCGCGCCGCGTCGGCGTCCAGACGCGATGCGCGCGTCGGACGACCACGAGAAGCTCCTGACCGCGAAGAAGAAGCCGCGCTCCACGTCGCGGTGCCGGTGGTGCCGGTGCGGGAGCACGACGCTGTTCGTCATCCTTCTCGTCTTCGTCGCCGGCCTCGCGCCCGCGGTGTTTCACCGCGGCTCGTCGCAGCATCCGATCATCCGAAGGGAGCGGAACGAGCGCGTGGTGTTGCCGCTCGAGGCGTGGAAGGAGCGACATCGGAAGGACGGCGGCGGCGGAGGCGAGGGAGGAGGAGGAGGAGGAGGAGGAGGAGGAGGAGGAGGAGGAGACGGCGGCGGAGGAGGAGGGGGGGGAGAGAAGCCGGCAGAGGGCGGATAGCGCGTAGCGTGAAGACGGAGGAAAGTTTCACAGGCCCTCTCATCAACGCCCTCGCGCGCCGTCCCTTCTCATCACTCCTCTCCGCGCGCGAACGCGTGCGCGCGCGACTCACGGTTCGCCCGCACCGCGCCCGCGCTCCCTCCAGCGGCGACCGACCGTCGACGCCGTCCGTCGTCGCCCCGCGCGTCCGTCGCCGCGCCGCGCCGTCGCTCCCGGAGACCCCGACCCTAACCGCGATCGTTCGTTCGTTCGTTCGTTCGATCGATCTCACTCGAGATGGTCTGCGTCCGCCCCGCGCGCCTCGACGACCTGTGGGCGATGCAGCACTGCAACCTGATGTGCCTGCCCGAGAACTACCAGATGAAGTACTACCTCTACCACGCGCTGTCGTGGCCGCAGCTGCTGCACGTCGCGGAGGTGCGCGGCGACGTCGTGGGGTACGTGCTCGCGAAGCTGGACGAGGACTCGGAGATCTGCCACGGGCACATCACGAGCCTCGCGGTGCTTCGATCGCATCGCAAGCTCGGCATCGCGGCGAAGCTCATGACGGCGGCGCACGACGCCATGCGCGGCGTCTTCGCGGCGGAGTACTGCTCGCTGCACGTGCGCGTCTCGAACGAGGCGGCGATCCATCTGTACGTGGACACGCTGGGGTACGAGGTGCGAACGACAGAACGCGCACGTTCCGTTTGCTTTCACCCGTCCCTCGGTTTCAATATTTGATCGCGCCTCCTTTCAACTGACCGATGAAAACATACTCGTCTTGATGCGCAGCGAAACGACGTGGAGGCGAAGTATTACGCGGACGGAGAGGACGCGTACGACATGCGGAAGACGTTTAAGAAGCTCGCGGAGGAGGTGGAGAAGACGGGGGGGGACGGCACGTTGATAGAGAAGCTGAGGGCGCTGGCAGTGTAGTCGAGCGAGCGATCGTCGCGGCGAGGAGGGTTGGGAGGCGGCGTCGATGCATTTTGTCACGTCAATCAGAATTTTTTTACACCGCGCGCGTCCGATCTCGCGGCGTCACGTCAGTCCTCGACGCGCTCGCCGCCGCGCGGCCCCCTCGTCGGTCGGTCCTCGCCGACTCCCCTCATCAGCCCCGCTCGGGTCTCTTCGCTCGCTCGTCGCGTCGGTCTTCTTCGTCATGTCCGCGTTCGAGGAGCTCGGCGTGTGCCCCGAGCTCATCCGCGTCGCGGACGGCGAAGGATGGCTGCTCCCGACGCCGGTGCAGGTGCGATCTATACACTGGTCCCCGTACGACCGCGTCCGCGTGGTGAACGCCGATCCTTAAGGACTTTTCCCGGCGTGTCTCTCCGCCCAGGGTCCCTCGCTCACAATCCCCGCCCTCGACGCCTTTGAACTCCGCTTCTGACGCCTGTGAACCCCACCCCGACGTCGCTTCGTATGGAACGACCCCGCAGTCCGAGGCGATCCCGCTCGTGCTCGGCGGCGGCGACGTCCTCGCCGCCGCGGAGACGGGCAGCGGGAAGACGGGCGCGTTCGGGATCCCCGTGCTGCAGATAGTGCACGAGGCGCTGCGCGACGCGGCCGCGACGCGCGCGGTCGCGTCGTCGTCGTCGTCGAAATCGTCGCCGCCGGCGGGTTCGACGACGGTCGTCGCGATGAGGTGCGTTCTATACACTGGTCCCCGTACGACCCCGTTCGCGTGGTGAACGCCGATCCTTAAGGACTTTCGCCGGCGTCTCTCTCCGCCCAGGGTCCCTCGCTTTCAATCCCCGCCCTCGACGCCTTTCAACTCCAACTGACGCCTTTCAACTCCACCCCGCCATCGCTTTGTATGGAACGACCCTGAGCGCTATCGACCGCGACGCGACGTTCGCGGTGTCGCCGCGCGGCGACGTCGCGCAGGCGCGCGACGAGCGGTCGTGGGCGGGCGGCCGCGCGACCGCGGGGGTGAGCTCCGGGAAGCACGCGTTCGAGTGCGTCGTCCGCGACGACGGGCTCGTGCGCGTGGGATGGAGCGGCGTCGCGGGATCGCTCGGCGGCCTCGGCACGGATAAGGTGCGTTCTATACACTGGTTCCCATACGATCGCGTAGGCGTGGTGAACGCCGATCCTTAAGGACTTTCTCTCCCGGCGCATCTCTCCGCCCAGGGTCCCTCGGTTTCGATCCCCGCCCTCGACGCCTTCCAACTTCAACTGACGCCTTTGAACACCACCCCGACGTTCGCTCGTATGGAACGGCCCTAAGCGATCCTGGGGGTTCGGCGGCACGGGGAAGAAGTCGCACGCGGGCGCGTTCGCGGACTACGGCGAGCCGTACGGTCGCGGCGACGTCGTGACGTGCTTCCTGGACCTCGACGTTGGGACGATCTCGTACGCGAAGAACGGGAAGGACCTGGGCGTCGCGTTCGAGCTGCCTCCTGAGGTGCGTTCTATACACTGGTCCCCATACGACCGCGTTGGCGATGTGGACGCCGATCCTTAAGGACGTTGCCCGTCGCATCTCTCCGCCCAGGGTCCCTCGCTTTCAATCCCCGCCCTCGACGCCTTTCAACTCTACCTGACGCCTGTGAACCCCACCCCGACGTCGCTTCGAATGGAACGACCCTGGAGACGACGACGGCGAGACGAGCGTTGTATCCGGCGGTGTGTCTGAAGAACGCGGAGGTGGGGGTGACGTTCGGCGGCGCGACCGACGCGGCGTTCGCGCACGCGCGCGAGGGGTTCGTCGGCGTCGGCGCCGCGGGGAAGGACGTCTTGGAATGGGGCGGCGGCGGCGGCGGCGGCGGCGGCGGCGGCGGCGGCGAAGGCGACGGCGGCGGCGGCGGCGGCGGCGGCGGCAGCGGCGGCGGCGACGGCGGCGACGAACGAAAACGAAACCAAACCGCCAAAAACGCCGCCCGCTCGCCGACGGCCATCGTCCTCGAGCCCGCGCGCGACCTCGCGGAGCAAACGCACGAGTTCTTCCGCGCCTTCGCGTCGCAGTTCCGCAACCCCGCGATCGAGACCGCGCTGTGCGTCGGCGGCGTGGACATCGGCCCGCAGCAGAGGGCGCTCCGCGACGGCGTGGACGTCGTCGTCGGCACGCCCGGCCGCGTGATCGACCTCGTCGAGCGCGGCGCGCTGCGCGTCTCGAGCGCGCGGTTCTTCGTGCTGGACGAGGCGGACCGACTGCTGGACACGGGGAACAGAGACGCGATCGTGAAGTTGTTTAAGAAGCTGCCGAAGAGCGGGCCCGGGTTCGCGCGGTTGCAAGTGTTGCTGTTCAGCGCGACGTTGCACTCGCCGGAGATTGCTTCGCTCAGGTTCGTTTCTCTCTTCGCCCACCCCTCGGTTTTAATCCCGACACACCTCGACGCCTCACGACTCCGCTTCTGACGCCTTTGAACTCCACCCCGACGTTCGTCGCTTCGAATCGAACGACCCGCGACCCGCAGCGACGTCTTGTGCGAGAATCCGACGTGGGTTGATCTGAAAGGGAAAGACGCGACCCCGGAGACGGTGCACCACGCGATGGTGATGATCGACGACGATGAGAGCGTCGATGTAGATGCGTTATCCCCGCGCGCCGTGACGGATAACGTCCACGCGTTCGACGACGTGAAGAACGACCCCGCCGCGAGACGCTCGCAGCGGACGAAACTTCGCAAACCGCACGCGCTCAAAGCGATCGTGGACAAGTACAACATGGACCAGTGCCTCATCTTCTGCCGGACGAACTTCGATTGCGACAACCTCGAGACGTTTCTGAACACGATCGGCGGCGACGGCGGGCGCAAACACGCCGGAAGAAAGCTCGAGAAGGGCCCGCAGAATCCGTACAGCTGCGTCGTCCTCGGCGGCGCGCGGTCCATGGAGGAACGCCGTCGAAACTTGAAGCTGTTCAAAGAGGGCGACGTCAGGTTCCTCGTGTGCACGGACGTCGCCGCGCGCGGCCTGGACATCAAAGGCTTACCGTTCGTCGTGAACATGACGCTGCCGGATCGGAGCGAGGACTACGTCCACAGGGTGGGCCGCGTGGGACGCGCCGACACGTACGGGCTCGCGATCTCGTTGGTGTCCGCGGCGAAAGAGAAGGTGTGGTACTGCAGTATGAAGGGGCACAAGCCGTGGTTTAACCCGACGCGCGAGGACTGCGCGACGCACGTGGCGTGGTACGACGAGCCGAAGCTGTTGAAAGAGATCGAGGCGAGGTTGGGAGGGGACGTGAAGGCGCTGAACGCGGACTATTCCTTGCCGGCGTCCATCGCGGGCGGCGGCGGCGGCGGCGGCGGCGGCGGCGGCGGCGGCATCGTGTACGGGCAACGCCGCGGGAACGAGGAGAGCGCGGAGACGTGCGCGCGTCTGGAGGCGTACGCGCCCGCGGTTCGAAGGCTCGCGCAGCTCGAGTTCGAAGCGCAGGCGAGCTTCTGGTCGTTGAAGCGGAAGTTCGCGACGTGACGATCGACGAATGAAGCCGAAGGGGTATTCCGCGACGCGTCGTCGCGAGACTATATTACACGCGCGCGATTCGATTCGTCATCGCGCTCAAACGACGTCCACTCGCAGACCGCCACGTCGCGCCACGTCATCATCAAATCATCAAATCACCGCGACGCCCGCCTACGCCTCGCGCGCGAACACCCCCGCCGCGCCCATGCCGCTCCCGATGCACATCGACACCACGCCGACGTCGCTCCTCCGTCGATGCATCTCGTGCATCAGCGTCGCGACGCACCGCGCGCCCGTCGCCCCGAGCGGATGCCCGAGCGCGATCGCGCCTCCGTTCACGTTCACCTTCTCCGAGTCTAGCCCGAGCTTCTCCGCGCAGTACGTCGCCTGCGACGCGAACGCCTCGTTGAGCTCGAAGAGGTCGACATCGTCGACGCTCAGATTTCCGGCGCGTTTCAACGCCTCCGGAATCGCCACCGCGGGGCCGATGCCCATGACGATCGGGTCCACGCCGACCGCGGCGAACGAGACGAACGTGCCCATGATCGGGAGATTGTGCCGCTGCGCGTACGCGCGCGACGCGAGGAGGACGCAGCCGGCGCCGTCGCTCACCTGCGACGCGTTCCCGGGCGTCGTGCTGCCGCCTTTTTTGAACACGGCGGGAAGCTTCGCGAGCGACTCCGTCGTCGTCCCCTCGCGGATGCCGTCGTCCTCGGTCACGACGACGGGCTTCGTCTCCCCGGTCTTCGGATCCTTCCACGTCGTGTGCACCGGGACGATCTGCGAGTCGAAGCGGCCGTTCGCGCGCGCGGCGGCGGCGCGCGCGTGCGACCGAGCCGCGAGCGAGTCCTGCTGCTCTCGCGTGATCTTCCACCGCTCCGCGACGTTCTCCGACGTCACGCCCATGGGCACCAGGCACGACTGCGCGTCGGAGGAGGACGCGACGCGCGGGTTCATCCCGCCCTCCCACTTCATCGGGTTGAGCGTCATCGTCTCCACGCCGGCGGCGACGCCGACGGAGTAGTACCCCGCCTTGATCGCGGCGGCGACGTCCGCGCACGCCTGCGGGGTCGTTCCATACGAAGCGATGTCGGGGTGGAGTTGAAAGGAGTCAGAAGCGGAGTTGAAAGGCAACGCGGGCGGTGATTGAAAGCGAGGGATGGGAGGAGAGACGCGCCGGGAAAAGTCCTTAAGGATCGGCGTTCACCACGCCAACGCGGTCGTATGGAAACCAGTGTAAGATAAAACGCGCCTGCAGCCCGCTCGAGCATTGCCGGTTCACGGTTCGAACCGGCACCTCTTTCGGGAACCCGGCGAGAAACATGCCTATTCGGCACTCGTTGGCGCGCTGGGACGAGTTCCCGAGGACGCTCCCGACGACGACGTCGCCGATGTCGTTCACGTCGACGCCCGTCTTGGTCACCGTCGCCTTGAGGGTCGAGGGTCCGTAGCGCGAAGCGATATTTTCGGGGCGGCGTTCAAAGGCGTCAGAAGCGGAGTTGAAAGGCGTCGAGGTGTGTCGGGATTGAAACCGAGGGGTGGTGGGCGAAGAGAGAAACGCCGGGAGAAAAAGTCCTTAAGAAATGAAGTTCACCACGCCGACGCGGTCGTATGGGGACCAGTGTACATATGAGGACGCGCCTTGAGCAGCGTCGCGAGGAGGTCGTCCGCGGGGGTGTTGTTCAAGCCGCCGCGCTTCGCGCGCGTGATGGGCGTGCGCAGCGCGGAGACGACGACGACGTCGTCGGGGGACTTCGCGGCCTGGACGACGCGACGACGGCGGCGGGGGAGGGACGGTCAGGTCGAGGAAGCGATCGATCGCGCGCGTTGTTACTCATTCCGCATCGGTCGCCCGCTGCCCTAACCCTATTCGCGGCGCCGCGGCGGGATCTGGGCCGCTCGCGCGGCGACGGCGCGCGCGCGGCGCGCGCGCGTCGCCGCCGCGCGATCGCGACGACGCGGAACGCGCGCGCGGGAAAGTGCGCGTTGGGAAGGGATGGACGCGCGGACGCGCGCGAGATCGTCGCGGCGAGGGAGCGACGCGTCGATCGATCGTTCCGCCGACGATTTCCCTCCTCGTCGCGACCGACGTCGACGTCTCGAGAGGCGAGGGCGCGGGGTGGGACGCACCGCGGCTCGGCACGGCTCGCGTCTGAGGGTCTCCGCGGGCGCGGGCGTCTCCGCGAGGTGCGCGTTCAGCCGCGCGATGCGGCTCGCGGCGGTGGGGGGCGTCATGTCGTCGCGGGGCGCGCGTCGTTTTGACAGGATGCGGAGTCAGCATCGTTCGAGACGAAACGTCGCGTCAAGTCGCAAGTCGTCAGGTTCGTCGTTGAACGCCGCGCCGTCAGTCTTCTCGTCAGTCGAACGACGCGCGCGATGGCGTGCGTCGCGGCCGCGGCGGCGCCGGTTTGGAGCGCGCGACGGCCGCTGCCGCTCGCGGGGGGGATCGGGAGCGCGCTCGCGAGGCATCGTCGGGCGGTCGCGCCGTGCCCGCCTCCGAACGCGCGACGAGGACAACCTTTCGCGGAATGGTGCCGCGAGAACGGAGAGCGGGGGGAGAGGTTGCTGGAGGAGTTCGACGACGACGTGTTCTCACCGGGGGAGCTGACGAAAGGGAACTCCGAGCGGAGGATTCGATGGAAGTGTCGCGAGTGCGGATGGACGTGGAGAGCAGGATTGGCAAACCGCACGAAAGACAAGAAACCAACTGGCTGCCCCGGGTGCGCCGGTAAAGTGCCTTCGTGGTTTCACAGCCTCGAGCTGACTTGCAAGGAGAGCGATGGAAGATTCGAACACTTGATAGGGGAGTGGGCGCATCCGACGAAGCGCATGAAGGACTTCACGCCGCGCTCCAACGAGAAGGTTCCGTGGAAGTGTGGCGGGTGCGGTCACGAGTGGGATGCGAAGATCCATACCCGCACGAACGCCACGCACCCCAGCGGGTGCCCGAAGTGCGCGGGTCGCCACCTGCACGACCTCGAGGTGCACTGCGCGCAGAGCGACGGGCGACTGGATCATCTGCCAGGGGAGTGGGCGCATCCGACGAAGAGCATAAAGGACTTCGCGCCGGGCTCAAACGAGAAGGTGCCGTGGAAGTGCGGCGGGTGCGGTCACGAGTGGGATGCGACGATCTCTCACCGCACGAACGCCACGCACCCCAGCGGGTGCCCGAAGTGCGCGGGTCGCCACCTGCACGACCTCGAGGTGCACTGCGCGCAGAGCGACGGGCGACTGGATCATCTGCCAAGGGAGTGGGCGCATCCGACGAAACGGATGAAGGACTTCGCGCCGGGCTCAAGCGAGAAGGTGCCGTGGAAGTGCGGCGGGTGCGGTCACGAGTGGGATGCGACGATCAATGCCCGCACGAACGCGAACGCCACGCACCCCAGCGGGTGCCCGAAGTGCGCGGGTTTCCACCTGCACGACCTCGAGGTGCACTGCGCTCAGAGCGACGGGCGACTGGATCATCTGCCAAGGGAGTGGGCGCATCCGACGAAGAGTATGAAGGACTTCGCGCCGGCCTCCAACGAGAAGGTGCCGTGGAAGTGCGGCGGGTGCGGTCACGAGTGGGATGCGACGATCGCTAACCGCACGGCCACGCACTCCAACGGGTGCCCAGTGTGCAACCCAGGCGGCCGCAACCGTTTTGAACGCCAAGACGACCCAGTCGACGCGGCGCGAGTCTAGTAGCTAGACATCAGACGACGAGCTAGCACTCTATACTCTAGACTGTTTTACGCCGCGCGCGCTAACTAATCGAGCAAAAAACACGGGTCCAGGCTCTCGAACGCCCCGCCGACGTCCGCGTCAGGCTCCTCCCTCGCTACCTCCACCCCCAACGCCCCCCGCGCGGCGACCCACATCGCGCGCGCCATCGGCCCCAACACCCCGCGCGTCGCGAACGCGTCGTCCAGCTTTCGCGCGCGGTCGCGGATCGCCGCGTCCGGCGCGGGCGCGTCCGTCGCGAGCGCCCAGAGCGCCAAGCACGCGCGGCACACGGGCGCGAACGCGGCTTCGTGATTCGTGACGCCGCCGGCCCACGAAGACGCGTCCGACGTGGCGGATGATGACGTGGCCGCAGATGCATGTGCTGACGTGGACAACAAAAGCGCCGCCGCGGCTTCCTCCGCGGAGCGAAGCGCTGCCTCTCGCGCGTCCGCGGCGGCGGAAGATCGCGCGACGCCGCCGCGTCGCAACGCGCGCGCGGCGAGCTGACTCAGCAGAAGCGCCTCCGCGTGATGATTATCCGCCTCGCGGTCGAACAGCCTGCGCACGACGCCCACGCCCGCGATCGCGTCTCTCAGCGCGGACGCTCTCACCGGCGGCCCCGAGCTCGTCTTGAATAAGAATCGCTCGAAAGGCGGCCACCGCGCGAGGCGGTCGGCGACGTTCGCGAACGCGACGCGGAGCGTCGCTTCCGTCTGCGCGTCGGACGGAACGCCGACGTCGGCGCGCGTCGCCGCGCGACTTGCGACGTCGCGCACGTCCTCGTCCTCGTCCTCCATCATCGTGAACGCGGCGAGCCACGCGCGGAGGATCGGCTCGCCGAGCGTCGGAGCGTTATTTTCTCCGACAGTCTCGTCCGACACTTTGGCGGGCGGCAGGCGCGAGAGGAGCGTCGACGCCGCGAGCGCGCTCGCAGCGGCGCGCCGCACGTCCGCGGGGCGCTCGGGGGACGCGCCCGCGGCGATGAGCCCCGTCAGCGAGGCGACCGCGGGCGGAGGGATCCCCCCGGTCGCCTTCGCCGCCGCTTCCCACCGCGCGACGCGTACCGCGGCGAGTCTGCCGAGGCACGCCAACGCCGCGCACCGCACGCGCTCGTGCGCGCCGCGACGCGCGATGGACTCGACGAGCCGCCACTCGTCGTCTTCCGATTCGTCCACGTCAGCATCTTCGGCATCTTCCACGTCAGCAATTGATTCATCATCACCGCCCTCGGCGGCTTCGCGCACGACCTCGTCGGACAAAATCTTCAACAGGACGCCTCGCGCCGCCGCGTCGTCTTCTTCGCGCTCGGGGGATATCTCGCCGCCGCGCGCGCGGACGTGCGCGCGCGCGATAGCCCCGGGCATCGTCGCGAACGTCGCGAGCGACCGCGCGAGCTTCGCGCTCGCCCTGGCGTACGTCGCGCGTCTCGCCTCGAGCGAGGCGACCGATTTCGAGGTGGAGACGCCGTTCGAGGGACCCGAACCCGAACACGATTCCGCTGACGTGGGATTATCCTGTGATTCGCTCGCCGCTTCCGTCCACGCCGCGACCAACCCCAGCGCGCGCCGCGCGCACGAGTGCCGCGTCTCCACCGGAAGCAGCTCGTCGATCAGGAACGTCCGCATCCGCGGCACGTCAAGCCCCGCGGCGGTCACCGCGTCGACCCCGCCGAGGTCGCGCAGCGCTTTCATCGCGCCGGCTCTGGCCTCGTACGGCGCGGTCCTCGCCAGGCACGCGAGCGCCGCCGACGTGGCGTCGTGCGATTCGTTCGATTCGTCCCCGTCCCGTTCGCGCCATCGCGTCGTCGTCGCGAGCGTCACGGCGACGCGCGCGGCGACCTTGCACCACGTCGCGTCCCCCGGGGAGACGGACGTTCCCATCCGCGCGGCAGCCTCCGCGCGTCGGCCTCCGCCGGAGAGCGCGACGAATCGACGCGCGCCGGCGGCGACGTCGCACGATCGCCGCGCGGTTTCGAGCAGCGCCGCGAGCGAGGACGACGCCGCCACGTCGGACGACACGTCGGACGACGACACGTCAGCATCATCCGCGAGCGAGAGCACCGCCTCGACGCACCGCAGCCACTCCGTCGCGACCGCGGCGACGGGCGTGCCCGTCGCGAGGTACGAACAGCGAAGCAACCCCTCCGCGGCGACGTTCGCGACGGCGGACGCGCCGTCTGCTTCTGCGCCCCCACCCGCCCCTCGCGCGGCGAGCACCACCTCGCGCGCGCACAGCAGCGCACCGTGCGCGGCGTTGTACCCGACGACCGGCCCGCCGCCGCCGCGCGAGCCGCGGCGCGGCGCGAGCTCGGAGAGGAGGTCGCCGACGACGGTCGCCGCCGCGCCCGGGTTCACGAGGGGCGCCAACGCGCGAGCCGCCGCGGCGCGCACGGCGTAGGGCCGCCCCGCCGCGCACCGCCGCACGATCGGAATGAAGTCCGACGGCGCGACGCGCGTGACGTCGTCTTCTCTCTGCGCGCGCGCCGCGGACGCGCGCAAGCGCGAGAGCATCGCGAGGATCGGGTAGAGGCTCGGGTGGAGCGCGCCGCGGGCGTCGAGCGCGTCTATACGAGCGAATGTCGGGGTGGAGTTCAAAGGCGTCAGATGGAGTTGAAAGGCGCCGAGGGCGGGTATTGAAAGCGAGGGATGGGCGCAGAGAGACGACGGGAAAAGTCCTTAAGGATCGGCGTTCACCACGCCGACGCGGTCGTATGGGGACCAGTGTGTGGAACGCACCTCCGGCGGCGGCGAGTTCGTCGAGGAGGAACCGGTGGAGGTCGCAGAACCTGTGGAAGAACTCATCCGCGGTGACGCCGCGTCGTCCCGTGCCGCCGCCGCCGCTTTTCGAAGACGCGGAGTCTGCGGTGTTCATGAACCCGCAGACTTTGACGAGGAGCGCGGCGAACGCGAGCGTCGCGGCGTTTCGAACCTGCGCGCGCGGCGGACGGACGACGCGGGGTCGGTCAACGCGCGAACGAAAATTGAAACCGAATCGATTCGACGCGAGCGGGCATCGGGGGCGGGTTCGAAGCCGCGCGGGGTCACCGCTCAGTGGAAGGGCACCATAGTGTTTCACATCAATCTCGCGAGTCAGGGGATTGACAGATTGTATGTATGGTATCATCAACGCGCTGCTCACGCGCGCGGCTTCGAACCGCGACGAAACGAAAAAAAAAAAAACCAAATAGAACGAAAAAAAAAATGACCGAGGCGCGCCGCGCACGCGGGTCGTCGAGAGGACTTCCCGCTCGACGTTAATTGATGGAACGTGGGCGCGACCCTCTGTGTTGTGTTAATGTCGCTGAAGCACAAACCGATGCGCTCGATGCCGAACGTTACAGGCGCAGGTAACGATACTTCAGCGTCGGTATTCGGGTATCCGGGTCCGACGGAGACGGCGAAAGCGAAAACGCGACAGAGACGGATAGACGCACCTCCCAATGCGGGGACGAGAACCCTCGCATGGCGACGCGTATCCCGCGCTCGACGAACGCGGTGGTCTCCGTGGAGAGCTCCTTATCCATGAACGCGGCTCGAACGACGTTGAACGCGTGGACTTGAGGGACGTGGACGCCCGCGGACTGCCCCGTCGCCACCGCGCCCGATCGCACGTCGTCGCCGTCGTCCTCCTGCGCGGGACCGAAGGATCGCCGAAGGAATACGAAGACCGTTAATACGTGAATAATAACAAACGAAATGCGCGCGTACTGTGATAGGGGCGGTGGTTTAAGCGACGGACGCGCGGCTCGGTCCTGGCCAGGGTAGTTTATTGTTCGATTCAGCCGACGATCGTCCTCACGACTTGATCAGTAGAGGGAGCCTGGGTTTCGTCATCGCTGCGCGCGTCCGTCGTTTGAACCACCGCATCCGATGAAAAACAGAAAACGCGAGGAAGGAAAGACGCGCGACCGGGGAGAGAGAATCAAAGTACACCCACCGCGATGTCGAGCAACCGTCTCATCGCGTCGTGCAGCAACGCCCGCGGCACTCCCGGCGGCTCCGCCGAAAAAACAGCCATGAATCCAGCCGGAATCCCCGCGCTTCGTCGTATCAAATCCGCGACGCCCTGCCCGGGCGCCCGCAGCCGCTCGAACAGCGCTTCGAGCCACGCCCCGGGGAGTTCGCTGAGCTCGCGTCGCGACGACCGGAGGAGACGCTCGCCGAGGCACGCGAGACCGACGCGCGTCTTCTCGATCGCGCCGTTGTGTTTCATGACGAGAATCGTCCGGATCAAGCGCTCGCCCGCGGCTTTGAGCTGCGACGGATCGAGGAGGCCGGCGTCGGCGTCGCGCGCGGCGTCGCCGTCGCCGCCGCCGCCGCCGTCGCCGCCGTCGCCGTGGCGGTTCGCGCCGCCGGGCAGAGGCACGACGCGCGCGAGCTCCCCGGTGAGGAGGGACACCTCTTTCATCGTGAGCCAACACGCGGTGACGATCGTCTGCGCTTTCGGGGCGAGCGTTACGCCGCCATCCTCTGATTGGTCCACGTCAGCATCCAGGTCATCATCGCCGCTCACGTCGTCGTCGTCGTCGTCGTACGCTCCGCCCGCGGCGGCGGCTGCCGCGGCCGCCGCGCCCTGGTCGGAACCGCCGCCGAGGGTGTCGGGGTTGATCTCTCGCGACTCGGCGGCGATGAGAGCGCCGCTCGGGGTCGAGATAGAACTCAACGCGACGCCGGTGACGCGCTCGAGCAGCGACAGCAAACGCGCGAGGCAAGCCTGACGCATCACGCGAGCGATGTGAAGAGTAGAGTTATGGAGTTGTAGAGTTATAGAGTCAGAGTAGATTCGATTCGGGGGTACGGTAGCGTTCGTTCGGGGACCAAACGCGGGACGACGACCGACCGGGGGAGGGGAGACGGCGCGCGCGGCTCGGTCCTGGCCAGGGTAGTTTGTTGTTCGATTCAGCCGACGATCGTCCTCACGACTTGATCAGTAGAGGGAGCCTGGGTTTCGTCATCGCCGCGCGCCGCCGCCTCCTTCGTGTGCACGCAACGCGATGCAAAGAAGAAGAAGAAGAAGAAGGAGGGTCGTATGGAACGCAGTCTCGACGTCGTACCTTCATTTCGGCGCTCTCCTCGACGCTCGCGGCGACGAACGGAATCTCCGCGAGGACGTACCGCGTCGCGAGGAGCGCGCCGTGCGCGAGGCTCTGTCGACACGCGGTCATCATGTCTTTCTCCGCGAGCTCGCACTCGTTCTCGATCAGGTCGCACATGTTGTCTGCTCGCGGAGAGAGGCGTTCGGCGCGTTCAGTAAACGTCAGCGACTGGATTTTTTTTATCCGGGGCGGGCGCGAGAGAGAGAAAGGAGAGAGAAAAAAATATCGATCGCGTCGACGCCCTCAGCGCGTGTCTTGACTTCACCGAGTAACTCGGACAGTACTAGCACATATTAGAAAATATGTTCGCACACATCACAGGACGAAAGGTCGCGACGGAAAGAAGAAAAGAACCGAACCCAACCCAACCGAACCGAACCGAAACGAACCGAACCGAAAAAAGTAACGCACCCAACACGCGCGTCGCGGTCGCGCCCGCGGACGCCCGCGTCGCCCCCTCCGCCGGCGTCGTCGCGCTCGGAACCGGCGCGAGCTTCACGTCCCATCCTAAATCTAACGCGTACTTCCGGAATAGCAAACGCGTCAGCTGCGCCGCGGCGTCGGACTCGCGCGCGCGCGGCGACCGCAGCAATTTCAACGCCCACCGCAATCGCGACTCGAGCGCCGTCGGCGTCTCCGCGCCCGCGAGCGGCGCGGGATGCCTCTGAAGCAAACTGAACGCGCTCGCGCGCAGCTTATCCCACGAGTCCACCGCCGCGCCGAGGAGCGACGTCGTGCAGTCCTCGCGCAGGCAGGGAAGATACGGGCTCGCCTCGAGCGCGCGCGCGGCGAGCTCCGCGGCGGGGTCCCCGGCGGCGGCTTTTTCCATCGCGCGCTTCGTGCTCTCCGATCGCTCGTGCTGCGCTCGGTCCTCGCCGCCTTCCGCGACGCCCCACGTTTCGACGACCGCGTTGAGGAGGTCCAGCGCGGTGAATTTTCTCTCGTACGGCGCGCCGGGGTACGCGCTCGCGAGGAGCGCGCGCACGAGCCATTTCGTCCATTTTTCGCACGCGACGGCGCGGAGGATGAACGCGTCGGCTTCCTCGGGGGTGAACGCCGCGGCGCCTTTGCCACCGTAACGCACATCATCCGGCGGTTTCTCATCGCCGAACACAGCCCGTCGACGCGAGATCTGGCGTATCATCACCGCCGCTCGCAGCTGCCCGGTCTTCACGCGCGCGAGCAGCCCGCGCAGCATCGACCCGAGCGCGTTTCGAAACGCCGCCGAATCTCCTCTGAGACACCCCGGCAACGCCGACTTTAGCAAGTCGAGCTCTAAATCGCCGGGCAACGACGCGGTGCGGCCGTCGAGGCACACGAGTTCGAGCGCGTCGCAGCGCGTCCGCGCGTCACGGCACACGACCGCGCGCTCGAGGAGCTCGCGAGGGACTTCAAACGAGGGGCCGTCGTAGCCGCCGGCGGCGAACACGACGGGGGAGACCCTCGCCACGCACGCCGGGTCGAGCAGCGCTCGCGCTCGCGCCGCGCGCAGCAGCGCGACGAGCGCGCCGCTGCGCCGCTCGCTCCACGCGGCGTCGTCTGATTCGTTCAATCCACGTGGCGGCTTCTCGTCCACGAGATGTTTCAAAAGCGGCACGATTGACGCGCCGTCTCGCTTCAGAAGCGGCGGCAGCGCGTAGGTCACCGCGCCGACGCGCGCTCGTCCTTCGCCGAGCATCGTCTTCAGTAACGGCGGGACCCACCACGCGCGCCACGCCGTGACAGCCTTCCCGCCGCCGCGGCCGAAGCACACGACGTCTGGGCCGCCGCCCATCGGCCCCCGGGTGGTCCCGCCGAGTTTTTTCTTCGTTTTTTCGTTTTTTCGTTTTTTCGAATCGCCCTCCGGCGCGGTCGCGGATGCGGACGCGGACGCGTCGTCGTCGTCGCCGCCGCCGCCGTTCGCCGCGCGCTCCTCCTCCTCCTCCATCTCCTCCAGGAGCTTCGCGCTGAGCGCGGCGACGAGCGTCCCCGCGGCGCAGCTCACGGAGTCGTCGCGCATCGCGTCGAGCGTCTCCGCGAGCAACTCGGGCGCGACTGCGAGGAGCCTCCGGGCGCCCAGACGCCGCGTCGCGACGGAGAGGGGGACGTACCGCCCCTTGCAGTGCGCGCCCTTGTTCAGGAGCTGCCGCGTCGCGGCGATGAGAAACGCATCATCGTGTGGCGTTTTTGTGTTCGCGTTCGCGTTCGCGTTCGCGCGGCGGCGGTCGAAAATGCTCTTGACGTCGAGTAAGTGCTCGAACGCGGCTTGGACTTCCTTCACCGTCTGCGACAGCGGGTCTTCCCAGTTCGCCCACAGGATGCCGAGCACTCTGTCGGACAACTTGTCCGACATTACAACGCTCGCGGTCGCGGTCGCGTCCGCCACCTCGGCGGTCGCGATCGCGCTCGCGCGCTGCAGCGACGCTTTCAACGCCGCCGAGGCGTGAAACTTGTAGTGCGAGTCCCTCGGCTTCTCCATCGCGTCGCACACCGCGGGGAGAGCGCCGTCGTACAATAACGTCCACGATTCGTGCGTTTCATCCTCTATTTTCGCGTCTGTCCGACGACGACGCGTCGGCATCGGCGCGACAAGAGCCGCCGCGGACGCCGCGGTGAGGATCCCTCGCACCGCGGCGAGCCTTCCGAACGGCGTGAACGTCGCCGCCTGCTCGCGCAAGCTCGTCCCTCTCGGCGCCAACGCGACGGCGTCGATCGGTGACCCTGGAGTTGAAAGGCGTCAGACGGAGTTGAAAGGCGCCGAGGGCGGGTATTGAAAGCGAGGGACCCTGGGCGGAGAGATGCGCCGGGAAAAGTCCTTAAGGATCGGCGTTCACCACGCCGACGCGATCGTATGGGGACCAGAGTGAGATAGAACGCACCACTCGGCGCCGCGCCGCCGCCGCCGCCGCCACCGTCTTCGTCGTCACGCCGCGGGAAGAACGCGTCCGCGAGGACGGCCGCGTGCGCCGCGGGCGTCGCGCCCACGCCCGCGGCGGCGGCGATCGACACCCCCGCGGATATCGCCGCCTCTCTGGACAGCGCGCGCTCTCGCAGCGACCGCGTCAACGCGAGGACCAAGTCCGCGAACGCGGCGGCGGCGGCGGAGGCGGCGGGGGCTGTCGTTTTTGGATTCGAAATCGAGTCTTCTGCGCCGCCGCCGGCGCCGATGAAGACGTCGCCGTGCCTGTGAAGGAGACAGTACGCGATCGAGATGGCGTCGTGCGCCACCTCCATCTCCGCGGGAGGGACGTGCCTGCCGCTCAGCGCCTCGTCGATCATCGCGTCGACGCCTGATGGACGGATGGAAGAAAACGACGCGCGCGCGGGGAGGGAAGAAGTGCTCGGTGAGATGATGCCGTTTCGGCGCGCGATGCGATCGATGCGGTATGTGCGCGTCTGAAGAGAAGAGAGAGAAGAACCATATCATCGAGGAAGAATAGGATAGGGAAGGCGACCGCGGCGGCGGCGACGGCGACGGCGGCGGCGACGCGCACAGCTGGCGGCCTCGATCGAATCGGTCAAAACCCGTTCGCAACAGCGCCTAGAGGGCCGGGCTCCATAGCCCCAAACGTTCTGGCTTGAGATGGTAATTCCAGCTTTTGAAAGGAGTGTTCGTCATGTTCGATCGAGCCGCCGCCGCGTTCGCCGTCGCCGTCGCCGTCGCCGCGAGGTTCCGCCGAAAAGTACGAACGGGTCGAAAAAAAGCGCGCGGCCGGATGGACGTCGGGAAGACGCGCCTTCGGCGACGAGCGCGGCGATGGGCACCGCGCCCCTTCGAAGCACGCGCTGCTCCATCCCCGTCTGCGGCTGGCGCCCGTTCACGCTCGCGAGCGCGGTCGCGCATCGCAGCATCCTCGCGCCGCCGCCGCCGCCGCCGCCGGGATTGCGATTGTCGGGATCGGACCCGCGCTCGCGCGCCTCCGCGACCGCGGCGAGAATCTCCGATCCGAGCGCCTCCTCCGCGACCGCGCGCGCGCGCGGGGGGAACCTCCGGAGCGACGTGATGACGTATCGGTGCAGCGGTCGCGAGTTCTCGAGGAAGATGAGCGCGAGGAACGTCGCGACGCCCGGCGCGAACGCGGCGTCCGGCTCGAGCTCGGCGTCGTCGTCGTCGTCGGCGTCGACGGCGATCGACGACGACGACGACGTCCCGGCGCGACGGTCGCGACGCGCGCTCTTCGTCGCGCGCCCGCCGTTGGCGAGGAGGACGAGCGCGTCCACGAGCGCCCTGAGCGCCTCCACCTCCGCGAACGTGGACCCGAGGCGCGTGAACGCTCGCAGCGCGCGCTTGAACGCGCGCGCGCTCTCGGACGCGGATGCGGCGGCGCCGACATCGACGTCGTCGTCGTCGTCGGACGCGTCGCCGGGCAGCGACGATACCCGCGCGACGTACGCCTCCGTGAACACGACGCCGGCCTCGGAGTAGCGCTTCCGCCGCTGCTGCTTCGCGCCGATCCCGGACGCCATCGCGGAGACGCCGCGGGACGTCCGCGCTCGCCCGTGCGCAGCGCGCACTGTGTCGAGGTTTTCGAGTACGAGTGAGCGTGCAAGACTTCTTCCACGTGAGCCTCGGAAAACGCGACGAGTTCAAACCTCGCCCGCGCGCCGCCCGCCCGCCTCATCCCGCTCCCTGCTCTTCGCCGATCGCGCGCATGCCGCCGGCGACGACGCCGTCGTCGCCGCCGCCGTCGCTCTCGCGGATGACGATCTGCGGCTCCCGCGGCGACAGCCTCTCGCTCGGGCCGTTCCTCGACCGCCTTCCTCGAGAGCTGCTCGAGGAAAAGATACTGAAAGCGCTCCCGACCACCGCCCTGACGCTCTTCGGCCGCACGTGCCGAGGCGCGCGCGAGATGATGATCGAGTCCGGGGACCGCTACCACGGCGATGGGCGCTCGCGCCCCGAAGGATGCCCTACGTGCGGCAAGTTCTCCGTGTACGACTTCGTGACCTCCGTGCCTTTGCTCGCGTGGGCCCTATCGAACGGCCTAAAGGTAGACGCGACTATCTGCGGCAACGCCGCCTTCCATGGCGCGCTTGACGTCCTCGCGTTCGCGCGCGAGAACGGAATCCCGTGGGATCTCGATACGTGCGATGGAGCCGCGCAAGGCGCGAAACTCGACGTCCTCCAGTGGGTGATCGACCGAGGGTGTCCGCTGGAGATGAGCGCGTGCGAAGTCGCCGCCGAGGTAGGTCACCTCGACGTTTTAAAGTTTCTGCGCGCGCGAGATCCGCCGTGTCCCTGGGGCCCGCGCGTGGCCGCGGGCGCCGCGGCGAATGGGAACCTCGAGTGTTTGAAATGGCTGCACGAGAACGGGTGCGAGTGGGACGAGCGCGTCTTGAAGCTCGGGTCGCGGCACAACCACGCGGAGCTCTGCGCGTGGGCGGTCAGCGCCGGCGCTCCGGAGTGGCATTCGGACTCGGAAGACGAGGACGACGAGGAGGAAGTCGACGAGGAGGGCGTCGACGACGTCGGCGACGAATTCGCAGAAGACGAGGAGGTGGACGAGCTCGAGGACACCGAGGTGGACGATGAAAACGAGGCGGAGGAGTGGTAGTCTCGCGAGTCGAACGAAGCCGCGAACGACGCGCTAAGGATGAACGAACGAAGGCACTACGAAGGCACTACGAAGGTTCGAACGAGAGCACACGACGACGTGTTTGGAATGACTCGTCATCGTTACATTCAAGCAGCATACACGTTCTACACGTTCGTACATCGTAGTTTACACACGCACGCGTCGTCGCCGTCGTCGTCGCCGTCGTCTTTTCGTCGTCGTCGTCGTCGTCGTCGTCATAAGTCCACCACTCATAATCCACCAATCATAATCCACCACATAAGCGAAGGAAATGAATCACAGGGTGCCCGAACGAACCAATCACGTCCGCCCGCCCCCTCCACGCCACGCCACGTCGGCATCACCACCCCGCGGCTTCCTTCTCGCGCAGGCACGCCTCCGCGACTTTCCGCATGAATTTCGCCCTGCCCGCGTCCCCCTCCTCCTCCGCGCTCGCCGCGTTCCCTTGCAGAATCGCGACGAGCGCGTCGTCGATCTCCCCGGAGCGCGCGAGCTGCACGATCGCGCCGCGCAGATCGTCCACGCCGTTCGAAGCCGCGGCCATGATGATCCGGAACTTATCCCCGACGGTTCTGACGGGCGTCGGACCCGCGGGCCCGAACGCGTCGCCGCCGTCGACCATCGCCTGATCCGCGGGCGTCCAGACGTTCGCGTCGCTCGCGGAAGAGGCTCCGGCCGCGTTCCTCGCGCGGCGGCGAAGCGCGTCGTCGCGCTCTTCCTGGCGCTCCCTCGCGACGATCGTCCACTTCTCGAGGGCTTGGAGTTCGCACAGGACGTCGTCGCCGAGGGGCCCCCGCGCGGCGGCTTCGCGGATGCGTTCCGTGAGATGCGCTCGAAACTCCGGCGTCATGAGCGGGCCGCATCGCACGGTCTCGTAGTCCATCGCCTCCATGGGCGTGCTGAGGAGGTGCTCGATCAGCTGGTCGTGGTCGCCGGCTGCGAGGTCGAGGGAGCGCGCGGGGGCGGGGCGTCAGACGGCGAGATCCGATCGGCGACCGGTTTGAAATGCCGCGCCAGGCGCGAAAAAAACGAAAAAGATGCCAACGTCCGCGACGCGCGGGTCGGGAACGGCGCGCACGTTTGATCTCGCGCTCCGCGGCGTCGCCGCGGATCCCCGCCTCGATCGCCTGCTGCCGCTCGATCGCGGCGTCGACCGCGGCGTCCGTCTCTTCCTTCTCCGTCTCCATGAGCTTCTTCATGCGCTCGTACAGGACGCCCGTGTTGAGCTCGTCGTCGCGGTCGATCCCGTCGGGTCCCGCGCGCGGCGCGATCGTCGCGGCGCGTCCGCGGGCGACGCGCGACGCGCGGCGCGTCGCGCGGACGCGGACGCGGACGGCCGGCGCGAGCGGCGCGCGGAGGAGGGTCGTCGTGAACGCGGACATGGTGGGCGCGCGGACCGAGGCGGATGCCGCCTTCGCGCGCGAACGAGTGCTGGTCAACGAGCCGGGCGTCCACGTGGCGAACGACTGGACAGCTTGCACCAGACAGACGAAGCGAGCGCGATATTTTTCTTCGGTGGTGGTCACGCGAGGACCGCGCGCGTACCAGGGTAGCTCGCGCGTCGTGATGACAGATGTCACGACTCTTCTCTTCTTCGCTACTAGGTGCTATGATATGATGATGATCGCTAGCCCTACGTGTACTATCCGCGCAGGGCGTACGCGGAGAGACGCGAGGAGGTGTCGCACACGAAGAGCCAATCGCCGCCGCCGCCGCCGCCGGCGTCGGCGCCGCGGCACGTCAACGCGTTCACCTTCCGCCCGTGCGCGGTCTCGCACACGAGACCGGTCGCCGCGGGCGGTGCGGGCGCGGCGTCGGCACCCGCGTCGGCACCCGAGTCGGCACCCGAGTCGGCCATCCCCGCGGCGACGCGCCAGTCCCACAGCTTCACGACGCCGTCGTTCCCGCCCGAGAGCACCCTGGCGCCGTCGAAGCGCCCGGGGAAACGCACCGCGGTGCACGCGGACGCGTGCCCGCCACCGCGGCGTCCCAAGAACACCGCCCTCCTCGCGCCGCCGAACGCGCCGCCGCCGTTACCGCCGCTCGCGTCGCCGCCGCCGCCCGCGCCGCCGCGCTTGGACTTCCCCTTCCCTCCGCCGGCCCCTCGCGCCGCCGCCGCCGGAAGGTCCACGTCCACGAGCGCGACGGTCCCGTCCCCGCACGCGGCGGCGACCAGCCGTCTCGCGCGCGGGTCGAGCGCGGCGCCGCATTCGACCGCGGACGCGACCGCGACCGCGTGCACCATCGGCGGGTTCATCGCGTTCGACGTCGACGCCGCCGCCGCCGCCGCGTCGTCGTCGTCGTCCGCCGCCGCTGCCGCGTCGTCCTCCGCGGCGAGGTCGCTCACCCTCCAGCTCGCCACCGCGCTCGCGCGGCTTCGATCCCACTTCACGATCGCGCAGTCGAGCCCGCCGCTGACGACGTCCCACGGCTTGTGCTCGCGGAAGCACGCGCCGGAGGCGATGTTGGAGTGACCGCCGACGCGTAATCGCTTGAGAAGTTTCCCGTCGACGCTCGAAGGCGACGAGACGTCGACGGCGACCACCTCGCCGGCGTCGTCCGCGCACGCCATGGCGCCGCCCTTGGCGTCGATGACGATGGAGTTGATCTCGTCGGCGTTGAACGCGTAGCGATGCAGCGGCGACCCCAGGGCCGAGCCGCCGCCGCCGGACGACGGTGATGTCGATTTCGATTTCGATTTCGATCTCGTCGTCGTCGTCGTCGACGGCAGCGCGCGAAGGTCCCACGCGTCGACGCGCGCGCCCGACGCGCAGTACAGCGCGTGCGGTCGCGTCGGGTTGAACGCCACCGCGTTCACCGCGTCGTCGGCGTCGAAGCACCCGGTGGACGCGCTCAGAGCGTGCGCCGTGACGCGCGAGGACGGCGCGCGGAGGTCGAAGACGAGCGCGGTCGCGCGCTCGCCGCCGACGACGATGGTGGCGCCGTCGTCGTGCGGAGAGAGCGCCGCGCAGAGGAGCGACCCGACGCGCATTTCCTTCGGCGCGGCGAGCGCGCGCGTCTTCTGCATGACGACGGACGCGACCGCGAGAGGCGCGGCGCCCTCGCGCGCGCGTCTCGAAGTGCCGCCCCGACGCGCGCGCGCCAGGCGGCGAAAAGCGCACCTCGAGCGCGCGGCCGCACGCCGCGCTCGCAGCTTTTCCCTCGGACGACGCGAGGCGGGCTCGGACGCCGCCCGACCTACGACGCTCGCCGCGTCGTCGTCGCCGCCGCCGCGCGCGCGTCACTTCGCCGCCGCGCGCGCCCGCCGCGCCGTCGCCGCCCGCCGCCCCGCCGCCCCGCCGCTCCGCTCGCGCGCGTCGCGTCGCCGATCGAGGCGAGCGCGGCACCGCGACCGCGCCGCCGCGACTTCTATCACACTCTCGCCGCTCTCTCGCGCGCGCGCGCCGCGCCACGACCGGTTTCTCTCTCCCTCCGTCCTCGCCGCCCGCCGCCCGCCGCCCGCCGTCGCGCGCGCGCTCACCGCCCTCCCCCTCCTCCCCCCACCCCGCGACAGAGAGACCGCCGCGCGTCATGGCGACCACGCCCGCGCGCTCGTCGTCCTCCCCGGCGAAGCTGCTGCGCGCGTCGTCCGTCGGCGGCAAAGTCGGCGACGACGCGTCCGAGGACGTCGCGCGCATCACCTGGGCGCGCGCGATCGGGGTCTTTCACCTATACGTGCTGTGGCTCATCGCGGATCTCGTCGGGCTGTAGGGTTGCCGACGCGTCGAGCCGCCCTTTCAACGCACCTTCCTTCCGACTTTTGGTTTCCCTTGTTCCAAGAGTCGCGCTTCCTTCCTTCCTTCTCACCCCGCGCGCTCGTTCCGTCCCGTCCCCGACCCTACCATCCGCGCGTTCGCGCTCACCGCGATCGTGAGCGACCACTGGATCGTCCCGAGCGGCGGCGCGCTGCCGTTCATCTCGCGCGCGGGCCTGTGGGCGGTCTGCTTCACGGACGCGGCCACCGAGGCGCAAGGCGCGTCGGTGGTTTTTTTGTTTTTTTTTGTTTTTTTTTCGCTCGGTACGGTTTCGATCCGATCGACAAACTGAATGGACTGGTGTTTGTTTCAACAGGCCGCCTCGAAGCCGGCGTCGCGTCGTTCGACACGATCAAGAAGTGGTGGGACACCGTCAGCGACGCGTACTTGGACGTCCCGGAGGACGAGAGCGCGCTCTTGCAGCCCGGGTGCACGCGAAACGTGTCCGAATTTTTCGCGCACGTGTGGGGTCAGGTGCGTTCTATACACTGGTTCCCATACGACCGCGTCGGCGAGGTGGACGCCGATCCTTAAGGACTTTGCCCGGCGCATCTCTCCGCCCACCCCTCGCTTTCAATCCCCGCCCACGACGCCTTTCAACTCCACCTGACGCCTTTCAACTCCACCCCGACGTTCGCTTGTATGGAACGACCCTCAGGACAGAGTCGTGTGGCTCGAGATCATCCGCGCGTTCGCCATACTCTTTCTCTGGTGCGGCCTCCTGAAGGTCGTCGTCGTGACGCGGACGTACTGCTACGCCAGCGCCGGGCGGTGGCTCTCCTCCGCGCTGGCCGTGTTCCTGGGCGTGACGCAGTTCCTCTTCGGCGAGTGCGCGTGGTTCCTCGTCCTGGCCATGATTCGCCGCGCCATCTCGGACGCGCCGAGCTACGGGTGAGACCTGACCTGACTGATTTCCATACGTCCTCGCGTTCGCGTCGCGCGTCGTTTCTTAAGGCGTTCTTTCGCGCGCTGTGAACCTCACGTTTTAACACGTGGGAATATTATCCACCAATGATATGATCGCGCGACTGACACGTGTCTTCCCTCGACCGCTCGCAGCGACCGAGGGACGTTCGAGGACTACGAGGGGTGGTCGTTCTGGACCTTCTTCGCCGCCGTGCACTGGATCTTACTCGTCACGACGCTGCCGCTGTTCATCGAAGCCGCGGCGGGGTGTCAGGGCGAACGGAAGAAACGCATCGACGGCGCGCGCGGGTACACCGACTACGGCGGTGAGACTGCTAGATAGACCGCTCCCCGTACGCTCCGTGATGTTCGCCGTTACCGCGCGCGCGAGCGACTGACGAGCGTTTTCCCTCGACCACTCGCAGGCGGCGGCGGCGGCGGCGAGTACGCGGCGCTGCCCGCGGCGCCGCCGACGAAGCGCTTGACGTTCGACACCGGGGGAACGGAGATCGTCGAAGAGGACTCCGCGGCGACCGCCGCCGCCGCGTGAGCGAGAGTCGAGAGAGAGAGAAAAAAAAAAGAGACGACGTCTCGAGTGTTTGGTCTTTGATACCTTGTCTAAGTGCCTGCTTTTTACATACAGTCCGGCTATGATACACACGGACGCTGATACCGATACCGCACCGCGCCGTCGCGTCGCGCGTCATCGCTCCCGGCGGCTCGCCGAGGGAGCCAACCGCGCGCGCGGCTGCCCTGGCTCTCCGACGACCTTTTCCCTCCAATCCGTCGCCTCCGCCGCCGGCGCCGGCGCGCCCGCCCCCCACGTCATGCCGTGATCCTCGTGCGCGCCGTCCTCCTTCCCGTCGATGTCGCGGAACGATAAGCTCCCGTCGCCGTTCGCGTCGAGCTCTTCGTACCGCGCGGCGATCGAATCGAAGTCTTCCTTCGTCGAGCGAGTCATCGCGAGGAGCATCGCCTTCGTGAAGTCAAACTCGGAGACGTACCCTTTGGCGCCGCCCATCGCTTTCAACACCGCCGGGCTCAACTGGACGCGGTTCAACCTCTCGTTCGCCTTGGCGCGCATCGCCGCGGAGGCGTAGACTTCAAACACCTCGCACAGCGCCCACGCGACGAACGCGACGCCCGCGACGGCGTAGAATATCCTTAGGGTTGTTCCATACGAAGCGACGTCGGGGTGGAGTTGAAAGGCGTCAGATGGAGTTGAAAGGCGTCGAGGGCGGGGTTTGAAAGCGATGGACCCTGGGCGGAGAGAGACGCCGGGCAAAGTCCTTAAGGAACGGCGTTCACCACGCGAACGCGGTCGTATGGGAACCAGTGCGGGAACGCACGTGAACAGCCGCCCGGTTTTGTCCGTCGGCGCGTAGTCGCCGTAGCCGACTCCGGTGAGCGTCGCGACCGCCCAGTACGCGCTGTTGACGTACCCCCAGTCGTCCTCGATCGCGTTCATGACGAGCGCGCCGAACGTCGCGAAGCCCGCGAGGACGAGCGCGGCGAGGATCAGACGCTGGTTTCTGAGGTACTTCCAGACGCGCTTAATCTCGTCGGCGACGTTTTCGACGACGTCGCGACACGCGAAACAGGAATCGTCGTCGTCCTCGGAGCCGCTGAACGACGAGTACCCGTCGCTCGAGTCGCTCGAGCCGCCGTTCGGGTCGATCAACTCGATGACGTGTTGCGCGGGCTTTCGCGACGTCCCGCCGGCGCCGCCGCCGGCGCGAGCGCTCCGAGATCGCTCCACGTTTGTCTTCAACTTTCGCAACTGCGTATCGATCTCCGCGCGCCTCGCGCGATCCAACTTCATCGCCATCTCGCTCTGATGGCGGAGGACGTACTCCGCGAAGTACCCCGCGCACGCGGCGGCGATCGCGCACGCCGCGAGGATGAACGCGATGGTGACGATCTTGCCGTCGGTCGACGAAGGTCTCACGTCCCCGTAGCCGATCGTGAGGACGGTGCACACGATGAAGTACGCCACGTTCGTCGTGCTCTGCCACAACGGCTCCGACTCCGCGTCGAACCCGTGCCGGAACACGACGTAGAAGACGACGAGGTAGACGACGAACGCCGGGAGCATCAGCGACGCGACGGGGACGCCGCATACCGTCCACGGTCTCCCGTCGTCGTCTTCCCTGTGCGCGCAGCATTCGCGCTCGGCGCGACGTCGCCGCCGCGCGCGTCTCCGCCTCTCGCGCTCGTCGATCGCGAACGCGCCTCTCGAGTCGTCGTCGTCGTCGCCGCCGCCGTCGTCGTCGCCGCCGCCGCCGCCGCCGCGCTGGTACCGCGAGCGCATCGACGCCGCGCGCTTCATCTCCACCTTGAGGGGCTTTCCGCCGGACTCGTACCGAAACTCGCTCGGGCGCATAGACGACCGCGCCGCCATCTCCTCGTCGACGTCGCCGCGGTCGGCGTCGCCGCGCTCCTCCGCCTTCTTCGACGTGTTGGAGCGCACCAGGAGCGGGATCGAGTCGCCGCCGGGGGTCGTCATCGCGGCGCGCGCGCGAAGAAGTGATGAAGGGGGCGACGATTCGAATTGTTATCAGGGTGTTATTATTATTTTCTCAGCGCCCCGTTATACCCGTGACGGGGGGCCACTCCGCGCCGCGCCGCGCCGCGGGACGACGCCGGGTTCGCCGCGGTTCGCCGTCGTCGTCGTCGTCGTCGTCGTCGTCGTCGTCGTCGTCGTCGTCATGTCCGCGACGTCCGCGATCGCCATCCTCGCGGTGTTCGTCCTCCTCGACGCGTGCAAGCACTGGATCTCGCACGCGCGCGGCACCGGCCACGCCTGGCTCTTACAACAGGACATCATCGCGCTGCGTCGCTCCATCGCGCGCGGGAGCGCGTCGCCGCGCGCGGCCGCGGCCGCCGCCGCCGCGGCGGCCGCGCCGTCCGACCCCGACCGCGCGCGTCCGTTCGTCTCCGTCGCGCACGCGCGCGAGCGGCTGCTCCGCGACAAGGAGCGCGCGCTGACGCGCGCGCAGACGCCCGCGCTGCGCCGCGCCATGTTCCTCTCGCACTACCTCCACGTCGCGAAGGGCGTCTTCGGCGTCGGCGTCGTCCTCGCGCTGTGGAGCGGGGACGAGCCGCTGTTCGAGGTGCAGCGGAACGCGGTGTGGCCGCTGGGGCGGTGGCTCGCGGCGCCGCACGGGCAGAGCTGGGAGGCGGGCGCGGTGGCGGTGACGCCGTGGACGCTGCTGTCGGGTGCGTTCTGTGTACCACTATCTGATGCGAACGTTTGCGTTTTTCACCCATCGCCCGGTTTCAACATTTGATCGCGTCCCCTTTCGACTGACCGTTGAACTTTTCACATGGTCATCAGCGGCGGCGTCGGTGGCGCTGTGCGAGGGGGTGGTCGGGCCGCTGATCGTTCGCGTCGTTCGAGCGGCGGGCGGGGGGGGTAAACGCGGGGAGCGGTTCGCCGCGTTCGAGAGCGAGAGCGAGAGCGATCGAGAGAGCGACCACGCGCACGTCGGCGCGCGAGGAGGAGGACGGGGAGGGTCGAGGAAGACGCGGTGACTCGCTTAAGTTGTTAACCACGTGTAGTCTAAAATAAATATGGTACCAGACGCGCGACGACAAATGATGGCACTGATGACGTCGGTCGACGCGTCGCGTCAGATCTGTCGTCGCGCGCTGAGCGTCGCGCGCGCGAGCGCGGGGTCGAACGCTTTCGAGGTCTCCCTCGCTCTCCCGTCGTCGAGCAACCGCGCGCGCTCGTCCCCGACGTTTCGAACCGACGATTCGAACCGACGCGGAGGCCGCCTAAAGTACCCGGAACCCGCGGTACATCGACCGCTCGAGCTCGAGGAGCTCGGCGAAGCGTCCCAAACGACGCTCGAGCTCGAGCTCGAGCCGCGCCTCCCCGCCGACACGAGCCGCTCGATCGTCGCGAACGTCCGCATCTCGTCGTCGCGGTCGCCGTCGCCGCTCGACGCGACGCGGCGCGGCGTCCGAGGCGTCCGGCGATCGTCTCTTTCGCTCCTCCCGGCGCTCGCGCCGCCGTTCTCTACACTGGTCCCCATACGATCCCGTTCGCGTTGTGAACGCCGTTCCTTAAGAACTTTTCCGCCGCCGCCGCCGCCGCCGCTCCTTCCGCCGCGCGAGTCCGCGGTGTCCAGGTACCTGCGCGCGACGTCTCTGGAGTGCAAGACGAACTTCTTCTCCCCGAGCGGCGTCCGCGCGTCCGCGAACGACGCGAACGACGCGAAAGAATCGCGCGTCGTCGTCGACGACGACGACGACGCCTTCGCCGGCGCGTTCGCGCGGCGGCCGTGGAACGGCGACGAGTTCTCCTTGTCGGGGAGGTCCGCGGGCTCGCTCGGCGGCTTCGAGTTCGGCGCCGCCGCCGCGAATCGTTTCGCCGGCCGCGCGCGGGATTTCAGCGCGCGCAGCGACGCCTTTACCGCGGTGCGCGGCGGCGCCGCGTTCGGCGGTTCCGGTTCCGGCGGCGGCGGCGGCGGCGGCGACGACGCTTCGTCGTCCGAATCGTCGTCGTCCGAATCGTCCAAAGGAGGCGGCGGCGGCGGCGGCTCGTCGTCGTCGTCGCTCTCGCTCTCGCTCTCGTCGTCGCCGCCCTCCTCCTCGTACGAGCACTTAGTCAGCCGGCGCTCCGCCGTCGCCGGCGCGTTCCACCGCGCGTAAATCGCCGCCCGCCGCGCGCTCTTCGGCGTCGCCGGGAGCCCGTCGTACGTCGTGAACCCGGTCAAGTCGACGTCGGACGGGGTGACCTTCGTGAGGTCCAGCGTGGGTTTGATCGAGTTCGCGAGCGTCATCCCGCCGTCGGCCGCGATCGGCGGCGTCGCCGTCTCCGACGCGCGCCGCCACGAGCGCGCGTCTTCCTCGGTTTCGTCCAGCATTTCATCCTCCTCGTCCGACGAAGACGAGTCCGCGTATATCGCCCTCGCGCTCGCCCTCGACGCCGCGGACGCCGCCGTGGACGCGGGCGCGGGCGACGCGACGCCGCGTCCGACGCCGCCGGATCGCGACGCGACGCACGCCATCGCTCCGCCGCGGCTTCCGCACGATTCCGCCGGCGGCGGCGACGGCGGCGGCGTCGGCGGCGCGTCCTCTTCCGCGTCCGCGTCCGCGTCCGCGTCCGCCGCGCCCCTCGGCGCGGGCGCCGGCGTGAACGGCGACAGCGGGTTCATCGCGATCGCTTCCAGCCCCGCGGCGCGCTTTTGAAGCCGGAATATCTCCTCCTCGAGCGACGCCGAGAACAGCCCCGGGGGCGTGACGAGCGGCGTCGGCGGTGAGAGAAGCACACTGGTCCCCATACGACCGCGTTCGCGTGGTGAACGCCGTTCCTTAAGGACTTCGCCCTTCTCCACGCCGCCCGACGAGGACGACGACGTGGACGGCGGCGTCGCGTCGCCGAGGTCCGCGCGCAGGTCGAACGCGTCGCGGAGGACGCTGTCCGGGCTCGGCGGCGTCGTCGTCTTCTTCTTCGTCTTCGTCGTCCGCGACGAAGATTCGTCGTCGTCGTCGTCGTCGTCGTCGTCCGTCGCGGTCGCGCGCTTCGCCCTCGAGCGCCGCCGACGCATGAGCAGCGCGCCGCACCCCACGCGCGCGGACGACGACGTCGACGCGCGCTCGGACGTTCGCGCGGCGGCGGCGGCGGCGGCGGCGGCGGCCTTCTCGTCGTCGTCGTCGTCTCGCAGGTCGTCGCTCACGTCGTTCCTCGAGATCCGCTCGGGCGTCGACAGCGACGACGTCCGTCTCGTCGTCAGCGTCCGCCGCGCCGTTCGCGCCGCGCGTTTCGCCCTCCTCCACAGCGCGCTCGCGGCGGCGCTCGCGCGCGCGCGCGCGCCCTGCCGCGGCGCGCGGCGCGCGGACGACGCCATCGCGCGCGCGGAAGCGCTGTGCCGCGGACGCTCTCGGAATCGACGAACGGACGAGGAAACGGCTCGATGTCGACCGACCACATTCCATCGAAATTTGCGGGAGGGTTTCGATCAAAATAAATTCTGAAAGGGTATTTTTCATCGCAAGAGCCGATCAAAAGCGTGATTCACCTTAATTATTAAAACGCGTCGGCGTCGCTCCATTCTCTCTCCTTGCTCCGGCGCGTCGCCCCCGCCCCGTCCGCGAACCCTCGAACCCGCGAACCCGCGACCCGCCCGCGCCAACGGCTCACCTCACGCCTTCCCCATGATCCTGTCGAAGAACGACGCGCCGCCGCTCTTCCCCGCCGGCTTGGCGCCCTCGCGGTTGCTCCCCTCGCGCAACTCCTTCGCCAACGCGGTCAGACGCTCCAACCCCTCCTCGGGCGTGGGCGCCTCCCCCAGCGCCCTGACGAGCGCGCTGCCGACGATGACGCCATCCGCTCCCCACCCCACGACCTGCGCCGCCTGCTCCTTCTTCGAGATCCCGAACCCGACCGCGACGGGCTTGTCCGTGACCTTTTTGACGTCGGGGTGGAGTTCAAAGGCGTCAGAAGCGGAGTTGAAAGGCGCCGCGGGCGGGGATTGAACGCGAGGGGTGGTGGGCGGAGAGAAACGACGGCAAAAGTCCTTAAGGATCGGCGTTCACCACGCGAACGCGGTCGTATGGGAACCAGTGTGAGAACGGACCTTTTTGAGACCGCTCACGAGCTCCTGCACGCGGCTCTCGACGTTGGTTCGAACGCCCGTGACGCCCGTCACGGAGACGAGGTAGATGAACCCGTTGGACGCCTCCGCGATCTTCGTCATGCGCGCCTCCGGGGTCGTGGGCGTGGACAGCAGCACGAGGTCGACGCCGTTCTTCGCGCAGATGGCGGAGAGCTCCGGGGTCTCCTCGAGCGGGATGTCCGGCACGAGGAGACCTTTCGCGCCCGCGGCCGCCACCGCCTCGACGAACGCCTCGAACCCGCGCTGATAGATCGGGTTGAAGTACGTGAAGAGCACGATCGGCGCTTTGGTCGTCGGCGAGACGCGCGCGAGGAGCGCGAGCGTCTTGTCCAGCGTCGTCCCCGCGTTCAGCGCGCGCGTCGCCGCCTGCGCGATCGTGGGACCGTCCGCGAGCGGATCGCTGTACGGCACGCCGAGCTCGATGACGTCCGCGCCCTCGTCGTCCAGGATCGCGATCGCGCGCTCCGTCGCGTCGAGGTTAGGGTCGCCCGCGCATATGAACGGGATGAACGCGCACTGGCCGCGCTTCTTGAGCGCGGCGAACGTCGCGCCGATGGAGACGGTCTTGACGACCGGGCGCTTGGTCGATTCCGTCGTCGTCGCGGTCGCTCGCGGAATCATCGTCGCGACGGCGCGCGGGTTGCGGCGGCGGGTCGCGGCGGCGCCCGTCGCCGCGGGCGGCGGCTTCGCGAGGAGCCTCGCGGGGGATGCGACGGGAGCGGCCATGGCGATGACGACGACGAGGCTGCGCGACGCGTCGCGCGGAGTGCGCGCGATCGATCGCTCGCGCACCAGGATCTCGACAGGTGTCGTCCGCCGCAATCTGATCCTGATCCTCCGGATACCTCGTGGTCGTATGATCTTTTAGTCACGGACCTCGCCCTGTACAGTACTGCGATCAAGCTACACGGAGATCTCGATCTGCTCGCCCCGAAAGCTCCGACGCGACGACGGGACCGCCCGACCAGTCGGACGGCGCGCGCTTCCTCCCTCCTTCGCCGCCGCCGCCGCCGCATGTCCCGCGCGTTCGCGACCGCCCCCGCGCCGTCCTCGCGCGTCGCGCCGCCGTCGCCGTCGAGCGACCGCGCGACGACGTCGCGCGCGAGACGCGCGTCCGCCTCGGCGTCGCGAATAACGACCACGACGATGGCATCGGCGTCGACGCCCCCGGGGGCCGCTCCTCCCGCGTCGTCGTCCTACTCCGGGCACGTCCCCGGGTTCCGCGCGCGCGTCGCGGAGTGCAACGAGATCACGCCCGCGGACGTCGCGACGTACACGCCGCTCGTCGTCGCGGGCGTGGAGGTGGGGCTCATGCAGCGCGCGTTCGCGGACGCGCTCGTCGCGCACGGCGACGGCGTGTTCGCGATGGAGGAGGGGAAGGAGGACGCGGACGCGTCGTCGCCGTCGTCGTCGTCGCGGTCAACGATCGTGACGCTGGACGCGGACGCGACGATGACCGCGGACGCGCGCACCGCGGTAGTCGCGCCCGTCATGACGTCCCTTCGCGACGCGGGCGTGATCGAGGGATGGAGGGACGAGCTGTTTCCGGTCAACGCGGGATACGGCTCGGAGAATCTGCTCCTCGTCGAGCGCGCGGCGGCGTCGCTGCTCGGCATCCGCGCGTACGGCGTCCACGTGAACGGCTACGTCGTGATGCCGGACGGGAGCAAGGAGCTGTGGGTGGCGCGGAGGGCGAAGAACAAGCAGACGTTTCCGGGAAAGTTGGATCACGTCGTCGCGGGAGGCGAGTTCGTTCCAGACTGGTCCCCGTACGACCCCGCGTCGGACGCCGTCTCTCGAGGACGGACTTTTCTCGCCCGTCTCCTCTCTTCTGGTTCAACGTTTGACCGATCGCGGTCAAACCCGCCTTTCGACTGACCGATGAACCATCGCCGACGCGCAGGGTTGCCCGCGAACATGCCGCCGGGGACGTGCGTCGTGAAGGAGGTGCGTTCTATACAAAAGTTTTTCACCCATCGCCCGGTTTCAACATTTGATCGCGTCCCCTTTCAACTGACCGGTGAACTTTTTTTGTATGGAACGCACCTCACAGTGCGAAGAGGAGGCGTCGATGCCGCCGGAGTTGGCGAAAAACGCCAAGCCCGTGGGCGTCGTCACGTATAACCAGAACTACAACGGCTGCTGCAAGAGAGACGTGCTGTTTTGTTACGACGTCGAGCTCCCGGAGGATTTCGTCCCGGTGCCCGCGGACGGCGAGGTGCGCGGCGCGCGTTTTATCGTCGTCGTCGTCGTCGCGTTTTTTCGTTCTTATTAATCCTATAGACTCCGCGTTCACCCTTTTCATCACCTCGATGGTCCATCTCACGCTTCCTTCGTCGTCCAGGTCGAGGGGTTCGAGCGGTACACGATGGAGCGCGCGATGCGGACGATATCGCAGACGACGGAGTTCAAGACGAACTGCTGCGTCGTGATCATCGACTTTTTCGTCCGACACGGTTTCGTCGCCCCGGAGGAGCCCGGATACGCGGAGCTCGTCAAGAGTCTGCGGTCGTGACGAGTACGCGTGCTTTAGGGCCTACTATCTTCTATCTTATATCATCTACTAACATGACTGATGTCTAAAAGTCGAACTCGTCGTCGTCGTCGTCGTCGTCGTCGTCGTCCGGTGGCGGCGGCGGCGGCGGGCCCGGCGACGCCTCGACGTCGACCTCTCTCGCGACGCCGCCTCCTCTCGGCGACTCCGCCGCCGCCTCCGCCGCGACCTCTCCCGCGACGTCGACGTCTCCTCTCTCTCTCTCCACCTCCGCGCCCTCCTCATCCTCCTCCTCCTTCTTCTCGATGAAACTGTCGTCCTCGGTCCCGACCACGTCGCCGTCGTCCGCCTCCGGTTCGTACCGCCGCAGTCGCGTCCGCAGCATCGACAGCTCGCGCGTCTTCTGCTGCATCAATCGTTTCAACTGCTGAAACTGCGCGCTGTCCTGCACGCGCGATCCCGCGTCTCTTCGCGCCGCCGCGAGATCCGCGCGGAGCTTCTCGCAATCTCGCGCCGTCGCGACGTCGACGACGGTCTCTTTCACGATGACGGTCTTGCCCTTGCCCTTGCCGACGTCGAACGCGAACTCGTCGTCGTCGTCCTCGACGGGAGTCATCCCAACGCGCAGCGCCGCCCGCGTGAAGTCCGACGCCGGCCTCGACAGCGCGACGCGCTCGATCGCGCGCATCTCCTCCAGCACGCGCGCGTCCTCGAGCTGGTGCGCGTCGAGCGTCATGGCGCGTCCGCACCCTCGCGCCTCCGCCTGCGCGAAGAGGAGTTTCAGCATCGCCGCCGCGACGCGCGACGCGCGTTCGAGCTCCGTCGCGACCAGCTCGGACGTCTCGCGCGAGAGGTCTTCGATCAGCGCTCGCACGTCGTCCCTCGTGAAGACGCTGTCCGAGAGCTTGTACTCGAGCGCGTCCTCGAACGGCGCGGCGACCTCGCGTTTCGCCTCCTCGCGCTTCGACGCGGCGAAGCGAAGCCACGACTGGATCTGGAGCTCGCCTCGAGACGTGACGGTCGCCTCGGCGAGGTCGAGGTCCTCGATCTCGTCCTCGGGGTTGAACCTCGACGTGCCGAGCTCCATGGCGCCGTGCGTCTTCGAGGAGGGAGAAGCTATGATGACGCGCGTCCGTCGCGTCGCGTCGTCGCGCGAGGCGCGCGGGAGAAGTGACGCGACGCGAGCGCGACGAACGGTCGTTTCGATGGATATAAAATTTCTCAACAGAATAAAATCTATGTTCTCTGTCCGTCACTCCTCCTCCTCCTCCTCCTCCTCCTCCTCCTCCTCCCGCGCGACCTCCCCGACGACGAGCACGCACGGTGACAGATTCCTCCCCGCCGTGACCTCCGCCATCGTCCCCAGCGTCCCTCTGAACACTTCCTCCTCGCGCGTCCGGCCGTTTTTTATCACCGCCGCCGGCGCGTCTGACCGCTTCCCCGCGTCTCGCGCCAGGCGTTCGCACACGACCGGCAGACTCTTCCCGACCATCAAAAAAACGCACGTGTCTATGCCGTTAAACGCGTGAAAATCGATGCCATCCGGGTCGTGCGCGCTGCACACGACGTAGTGCTTCCCGTGATCGACGTGCGTGAGCGGGATCCCCGCGCTGAGGGTCGTTCCATACAAAAAAAGTTCACCGGTCAGTTGAAAGGGGGAGCGATCAAATGTTGAAACCGAGCGGTGGGTGAAAAACTTTTGTATGGCTAGAACGCACCTGAGCGGCGCCGCGAGCGCGGAGGACACCCCGGGGACGAGCTCTGCGCGCGCGGACTCGGTCGGTCAGCGAGAGAGTTTGATCGATTTGATGACGTGGACGTGGACGTGCGGTCGGTCGACGCGGAAGGGTCGCGACGCCGCGTATCGATCGCACCGTGCGCGCAGCCGCGTTTCCTCAGCGCCGCGCGCTCGGAGTGAACCCTCGAGAACGTGGACGGACACCCGCCCTTCAGTCGCACGACGCGCTTCCCCGCGACGCACTTGTCCACGAGCAGCGCGTCGATGTCCGGCTGCTTCCACGAGCTCCGTCTGCCGCCGCGCTCTGTCGCGTCGTGTCGTCGTGCGAAGGAAGGGGAGTGGGCGCGGGGTGATGAGCGGACGGACGGATGGAACGGAACGGAAGACGATCACACGCGACGGTGCCGACGCGGAAAAAGAACCTTCGACGCGGGTTGGGACGAGGGCGCCAGGGCGCGCACTTCCGACGTATATCCGCTCCGCGTCCGCGCGAGCTTCCGCGAGGACGTCGCGCTCGCTCGCGCCGAGGTCGTCGTACACGAGGACGTCGCACTCCCGCACGAGCCTGAGCGCTCGCGTCGTCATGTCGTCCATCCCGCCCGGGCCCGCGCCGACCAGGTGGACGAACCCCGACGACGACGACGACGACGACGACGACGGCGGCGCGCGGGTCGACGCGCGCGCGCCTCCGCCGGCGCGCGGACGCCGCCGCCGCGGCGTCGGAGAGTGGAAGAAGCGTCGCGGCGGCGGCGCGACGGACGCGGACGCCATGACGACGTCCGAGCGCGACGCGTTGTGCGGGCGGCGACGCGTTGTTAGATTTCCATCTGCCGGTCTGGTCGTCGTCGACGGCGTCATCGAAGCGAGGTTTTAGGTCAGTGACGACGCGCGCGATGGCGGCGACGACGGCGACGCGCGGGTTCGTCCCCGTCGCGGGCGACCGCATGACGCGAGGGCGCGGCGGCGGGCGCGGCGGCGGCGGGCGCGGCGGGCGCGGCGGCGGCGGGCGCGGCGGGCGCGGCGGCGGACGCGGCGACAGAGCGCGCTTCGGAGGGAAGGGCGGGCACGTGCGCCGCCCGGGGAAGACGAAGCTCCCGCCGCACGTCCTCGCGGCTGTCGAGGAGAAGGCGCGGCTGAGGCGGATCGACGAGCGCGCGCACTTCTGGGCGGAGGTCCAGGCCGCGATCGACGGCGAGGGCGGCGCGCGGTCGCACGGGCGATGCCTCCCGGACCGCGAGGAAGACCTCTTCCCTCGCCTCTTCGCGAAATCGTCGTCGTCGTCGTCGTCGTCGTCGTCGAGATCGGCGTCGGACGCCTTCGACGCGGCGCACGTCGCCGCCGCGGACGCGTACGACGACATCCCGGTCACCGTGGACGACCCCGCGAGCGAAGACGGTAAGAGCGAAGACGTCGAGCCGCTGCCGACCGGCGCGGAGGGCGTGCGCGCGTTGGCGGACGCGCTGGATCGATTCTTCGACGGGTCCGACGGGTCCGACGGGTCCGACGCCGACGCCGCGCGGCGCGAGTTCGTGGACACCGCGACGCGAAGGCTCGGGTTCGAGACGCTGACCCCGGTGCAGCGGCACGCGATACCGCTCGCGCTGAGCGGCAGAGATTTGATATGCAGCGCCGCCACGGGGAGCGGGAAGACGGCGGCGTATTTGATCCCCGCCGTCGCGAAGACGCTATTCGGGACGCGCGGGGACGGGGACGGGGACGGGGACGGAAACGGCGGGAATCCATCCCGGGATCTCGGGGACGTCTCCTCCGGCATCTCCGCGGACGTCGCGGACGAGCTGTACGACGACCTGTTCGGCGAAGGCGGCGACAACGACGACGCGTTCGACCTCTTCGACGACGACGACGCGGAAGTGGCGACGGCGACCGCGACCGAGAGGAGAAAGCGCGGTCCGGGCTACGGCAGCCGACGCGTCCGCGCCGCGCCCTCTGAGGGTGCCGAGGAGGGTGCCGACGCCGACGCTGACGTGGACGACGCCGACGCCGACGCCGACGCCGACGCTCGCCCCCCGCTCTCCGCGGATGAGGTGCGTCCCACACACTGGTCCCCATACGACCGCGTTGGTGTGGTGAACGCGGATCCTTAAGGACTTTTGCCGGCGTGTCTCCCCGCCCATCCCTTGCGTTCAATCCCCGCCCACGACGCCTTTCAACTCCATCTGACGCCTTTGAACTCCACCCCGACGTTCGCTCGTATGGAACGGCCCTGAGATGCGTTTCCCCGGCGACTTTGACGACGTCGCCGGCGTCCGACGCGTCACCCCCGCGAAGCCGCGCGTCGTCGTCCTCGTCCCGACGCGCGAGCTCGCCGCGCAAGTCGCGCTATCCGCGCGGCAGCTCTGCTTCGGGACCGGCCACGTCGTCGCGTGTCTCCACGGCGGGCAGAGCGTGAAGCCGCAGCTGGAGCAGCTCGCGTTCGGGCCGTCGATCCTCGTGTCCACGCCGGGGAGGCGCGTTCATATTTCGCGTTCACACTGGTCCCCGTGCGACCCCGTTGGCGTGGTGAACGCCGATCCTTAAGGACTTTTGCCGGCGTCTCTCTCCGCCCAGGGTCCCTCGGTTTCAACGCTCGACCCTACGACGCCTTTCGACTCCACCACTGACGCCTTTCAACGAACGCCACTCACTCCAGGTTGCTCACGTGCGCGAAGGACGAGCCGTACGTCGACCTGTCTCGCGCGAAGATTCTGATCGTCGACGAGGCGGATCAGATGGTGGACCAGGGGTTCGAGCCGCAGGTCGCGGAGCTCGTGACCGACGCCGGGATGCCGCGCGGGAGCGAGCGGCAGAACTTGATGTTCAGCGCGACGTTCCCGCCGGGGGTGAAGCGGCTCGCGAGCGCGTTGATCGCCGGCGACGGATTAAGGCGCGTTCTATCTCACACTGGTTCCCATACGACCGCGTCGGCGTGGTGAACGCCGATCCTTAAGGACTTTTCCCGGCGCATCTCTCCGCCCACCCCTCGGTTTCAATCCCGACGCGCCTCGACGCCTTTCAACTCCAACTGACGCCTTTCAACTCCACCCCGACGTTCGCTTGTATAGAACGCCCCTAAACGCGCGATTCGCGGGCCCCCGCGCGACGACCAAGCCGTCGCCGTCGACGGTCGCGGTCGGGAGGGTCGGCAGCACCGTCGCCGGGATCGAGCAGCGCATCGTCCTCTGCGCGGACGCGTCGCGCGAGCGCAAGCTGGATCTGTTGATCGCCGTCCTGCGCGCGGTTCCGGACGCGCGGACGCTCGTGTTTTGTTCGAGCAAGGGTACGTGCGCGTGGGTGCGCGCGAAGCTCGCGGAGATCATCGAGCGCGACCGTCAGGCTGCGCTCGCGGCGGCGGCGGTGTCGGGCCCCAAGACCACCGAGGGCGGCCCCCCCTCCGAAGCCAGCGGCTTCTTGTTCGCCGCGGAGGAGCTCCACGGCGACTGCTCGCAGGGCGCGCGGTCGCGCGCGCTCGACGCGTTCGCCTCCGGCGCCGCGCGCGTCCTCGTCGCCACCGACGTCGCCTCGCGCGGTTTAGACCTCCCCGCCGTCGCGCACGTGATCAACTTCGACCTCCCCACGGACGGACGCGATTTCGACGCGTACGTGCACAGGATCGGGCGCACGGGACGCGCGGGGCGCGACGGGATCGCGACGTCGTTTTACGTCCCCGGGTTCGGCCACGACGGGAACGGCCCGGTGTACGTGGCGTTGCGGGAGCTCATGGCGGAGACGGACCAGAGCGCGCCGGAGTGGTTTCAGTCGTGCGCGGACGCGGCGGGGCCGCCGCCGGGAGGGCGGGGGTACATGCGCGTGGGAAGAGGGAGGGGAAGAGGGGCGGGAGGAGGCGGGCGCGGGCGAGGACGCGGATACTGAGAGCACCGGTCGATCGGATAGTCTACGGTTCGCGGCGCTGAGGTGCGTTCTATACACTGGTCCCCATACGACCCCGTTGGCGATGTGGACGCCGATCCTTAAGGACTTTTGCCCGATGTCTTAAATCATCATACGACGACGACGACGACTAATAACCTTACTCATCACGACGCGCGCGCTGTCCCTCGCTCGTCCCTCCGTCACCGCGCGCCCGCGTCTCTCTTCTTGTGCGCCTTCACCCACCGCCTCAAGATCCCTCGGTGCCGCAAGACCGCCTCTCGCTCCGCCTCCTCCGCGCGGTCCCACGCGTCGTTGAACGCGACGGTGCACTCGCCGCCGCCGCCGCCCTGCACGCACGCGATCTCCGCCTCCGCGGCGTCCTCCACGATCTTTTTGCGCGTCTCGTGCGCGCTCTTAACCGCCGCGCGCGCGACGGTCTTCTCGTCGCTGACGTCCGCGCCCGCGGCGGCGGCGGCGAGAGACGCCATCTCGATCTGTTCCGCCTCCTCGAGGAAGGCGACCGTGCACTCCGTCTGCTGCGCGACGCCCACGGCGTTCGCGACGCACGCCATCTCGCGCTCCGCGGCGAGGCGCTCCATCTCGCGCAGGGAGAGGTACATCTCCGTCGCGGTGGGCTTTGACGACGCGCTCTTGCTCGCGCGGAGGACGACCGCGGCGCCGCGGGAGAGATGGGGGCGCGCGGACGAGCAGCTTGAAGACGCGGAGGATGATAATCCGTTCCGGCCGCGAGGGGCGCACGGGAACGCGCGCGAGGCGCGCGCGGTCGCGGCGGGCGCGCGCGGCGCGCCCGCGCGAGCGCGCGTCGCGGTGGTCGTGACGTTGGATGCGGCGTGCATGGTCGCGCGGCTCGCGCCTCGCGGTGTGTTCGAAGCGACGCGTCGTACGCGCGGCTGACGCGGATGCGTGACACCCTGGCGATGGCGCGGTCGGTCGGCCTCTCGCGCAAAAAGAAAGTCAAATCGCAATCGTTTCGCGCCATCGCGAACGCCGCGCAGATGCCTTCCGCGCGCCATCGCGACGACGGCGACGACGCGACGCCGCTCGATCTCGATCTCCACATCCGCGCCTCCGAGGAGTCGTACGAGACGTTCCGCGCGTCTCTCCCCGGCGCGACGGGCGGCGCGAGCGCCGCGGCGTCCGCGATCCGCGACGCGCGCGCGGGACGCGCGGGACACGACGACGACGACTCGACGACAGCCTCGCTTCGCGCGTCCTCCTCCATGCCCCCCGCCGCGAGCCCCGGCGGCGACGCCGCGAGACGCCGCGGCGAGCGATCGACGCGCGAGGAGCTCTTGGCGCTCGAGCGCGAGATCGACGCGCACGAGGCGGCGATCGCCGCGCGCGAGCGCGCGCTCGAGGACCTCCAAGCGAGCGCGCGACGATCGGACGCGTTCGAAGACGATCGCGTCAAGCTGCGCGCGTTCGGCCGCGCGCTCGAGGCGTACGTGGCGTCCCCGAACGCGGACGGCGGCGACCTCGCGGACGCGGAGGCGGCGCTGGACGCGCTCGAGGCCGCGGCGGCGCCGCTGTCGAACGCGATCTTGAGCGACGCGGTGAGGCGAAGCGCGGGAGGAGGAGGAGGAGGAGGAAGAGCCGCGGCGGGGGCGCCGGAATTCGACCCCGCCGACGCCGCCGACGACCACAGCGACAGCTCGGACTACGACGACGAGGACGACGCCGACGACGAGGAGAGCGACGCCGCGAGGGCGGCGCTGCGCGCGGCGGTGACGGAGGAGAAGGAGGAAAAGAGACGCCGCCGCGACGAGCGCGCGTCGCTGCTGTCCAACGCGGCGGGTGGGAAGATCACGTCGTACGGATCCGTGGGCGGCGGCGGTAAAGATGGCGGTTTCGGACAAGAACAAAACGTCGGACAGAATACGAGGACCGCGACCGCGACCGCGACCGCGACCGCGACCGACGACGGGTGGACAGACTGGCGCGGGGACGAGTCCGCGGACGTCGTCTCGCCGTTCACTCTGGATCCGCGTTTTACTCTTGATCGCGGCGACGACCGACGCGAGACGCGGCCGCTGTCGCATAAACTGTCGGATATACTGTCCGACGGAACCGGGACCGGGAGAAGGTTCTTCGACGCGCGCGAAGGCACCCCCGAGCGGTGGGACGGCGGATCCCAGAGCGAGGACGACGCGATGTGCGCGAGAGAAGTCGGACGCGCGAGCAGCGCGATGCTTCGACGCGCGCGGAATCAGGCGAGCGCGTCGGGCAGTCCCGACGTCGGAGAGGGCGATCGATCGACGACGACGACGACGACGACGACGACGGCGGCGACGACGACGAGCACGGCGAGCGGCGAGCTTCGCAAGATCAAGTGCGGGAAGTGCGCGGCGACGTTGAAGATCGCGTCGAACGTCCCGGTGTTCCGGTGCCCGAAGTGCTCCGCGAAACTCCGCGTCCCCGGGGCGGCGGCGACCGCGGCGGCGCCGACCGCGGCGAAGAGAGAAGGTCCCGGGTTCTCCCCCGAGATGCGCGCCACCGTGAGCGGCGTCGACGGCGTGTCTTCGTTCGGGTGGGGGTCCCGACCGTCCGCGACGACCGCGGCGGCGCGGCTCGCGTCCGCGGAAGCCGCGACGATCAACGCGGCGGCGGCGAGAGAGAAGGAGCGACGCGACCGACGCCGACGCGCGGCGGACGCGGACGCGCAGAGCGCCGGCGGCGGCGAACGATTCGAATCGGGCGCCGACGTCATCGCGAAACACATGGCGGAGGCGAAGGCGTTGCGAGAGACGGAGGCGAGGGCGGAGAGGGCCAAGGCGGCGGCGGAGAGCGCGGCGGCGGACGCGAGAGCCGCCGCGCGCGCGGAGCTCGAGCGTCATCTGGAGTTTTCGATGAGTCTGGAGGATGTCGTCGACGAGCTGGCGAGGGCGCACGCGGACGCGGCGAACGCGGCGGAGCGCGCGCTGAACGCGGCGTACGCGAGCGTCGCGGTGGGATCGAGTAAGCTCTAGCTACGTAGAATAAGCGCTACGACGTACTAAAGTACGAAAGTACTTCCGTACTTCCGGAAGTACTTTCTCAAAGCTAGGTACAAATACCGTCGCCGCCGCGCGCCGCGTTGACCGCCATCACGTGAACATCGCGCGCGCGGTCGGGCGCTGGCCGTACGCCGCCGCCCACGACGCCGGCGCGGTCCACCCCTCCCCCTCCCCCTTACCTCCCTCCTCCGCCGCGTCGTCGCCGCGCGAGAGCCCGAGCGCCGTCGCCGCCGCCGCCGCGACGGCGACGGCGTCCGCGGTGTTGTCCCCCTCCGAGCACAGCGCCAGCACCGCGACGCACGACGTCTTCCCGTTCCCCTTCCCCGCCGCGTCGTCGTGAAACGCGCGGAGGAGGCTCCACGGCGGCAGCGACGACGCCGCGCGGCGGTCTCTCGTCAGCGTCGAGCGTTCCAACGCGACGGCGCCGGCGGCTTGGAATCTCGCATCCTCGAATCTCCCCTCGCGGCGGCCCTCGTCGCCCTCTTCCTCCTCCTTCGCGCCGTCCACCGCGGCGGCGACCGCGGACGCGAGGACGTGCCTGACGACCGTCGCGCCGATCTGCGCGGTCGCGCCCTTCCCGTGCCCCGCCGCGGTGGACGGCGCGGACGCGAGGACGACCGTCTCGTGGAACGCCGACGCCGACGCCCACGCCGCGACCGCGGACGCGAACGCGCGCTGCGATCCCGCACGAACTTCCGCGCGCTGCTGGACGAGGATCGTCCTCCGAGGCCCGCTTGTTCCGCCCCCGCCGACCTCGTACACCTCCGCGCTCATCGCGAGCGCGCCGCCGTCCCCGCGCGCGCGACCGAACGCGTCGCCGCCGACGCACGGCAGCAGCGACGGATGATCCAAACTCCCGACGCGTCGCGCGCGGAGGCGCTGCACGAGGAGATCGCACGCGAGCTGCCCGACGTTGCCGTGCGACGCGACCGCGATCACGAGCGTCGCGCCGGCGAACGAGGAGGAGGACGCGACGCCGGGGGTGGGGTAGAACTCCATCGTCGTCGATCGGTCGGCGGAGGACGCGACGCGCGCGGAGCGGACGAGATCTGACGAAGGCGTTCGCATCAGTGTCCAGCAAATAAAGACGAAAAGCTCTTCGAGCACAGCTGTCATCACCGCGCGCACAACTTACATCCGCAACGTCACGACAAGCTTCGCCTCCTTCGGTTTCTCCCCGCCGTCGCCGCCGCCGCCGCCGACGCGCGCGCCGCCCTCCCCGAGCCTCGCGAGCTCCCTGAGCAGCCCAGGCGTCTTCGCCGCCTCCCCGCGCCCCGCGCCGATCGCGTCGTCCAGCCACGGCGACCCGTACACCTTGGCCGGGTTGCGAAACGAAAACGACCACGTCGTCGGCCACATGGCGTCCGGCTTTCGCTCTAAACTTTTCAACATCGCCTTCCGCTCCCTCTTTCGGTACTCCCCCGGCGCGCACGCGTAGAAGCTCTCCGGGTCGGGAAGCGACATCGTCCCTCGTCGCTCCGCGCTGAGCGACGCGCTGGGGTCGTAGACGGTCTGTTTGAACCACGACACGAGCTGGCCCCACGCGAAGTGCGGCTGAGGGTCGTTCCATACAAGCGAACGTCGGGGTGGAGTTCAAAGGCGTCAGGTGGAGTCGAAAGGCGCCGAGGCCGGGGATTGAAAGCGAGGGACCCTGGGCGGAGAGAGACGACGGCAAAAGTCCTTAAGGATCGGCGTTCACCACGCCAACGCGGTCGTATGGGGACCAGTGTGAGATAGAACGCGCCTGATACTTCTTCTTCGCGATGTTCGCCGCGTCGCCCTTGCAAAACATCGGAAGCTTCGCGCGCCGCTCCCCCGGCGGGAGCGGCTCCAAGTGCACGGGCGGGGATGTGAACCCGTTGAACTTCTCCGGCGTGCACCAGTGCTCCACGTGCGCGTACATGAACAGCGCGTCCGCGGCGGCGGCGTGCGCGCCGCTCGGCGCGTCGCGTAAAATGTTCGACGCCGTCAACAAACCCGCGCGCGCCGCCTTCGCGTCGCGCGGCCGCGGACCGTCCAGCAAATCGCGCAGCGCCGCGCACGACGCCGCGTCCGGGCGGTCCACGGAGGGCTTCGGTGGCGCCGCGGTCGCGCCGCCGCCGCGGTCGCGCTGGCGCTTCGCGAGCGCGCCCTTGCACTTCGCGGCGATCGTCGCCTCCTCCGCCGCGCGTTTTAAGACGCCGTGCTCGCCGCTCCAGAGATGGTCGACGACTTCCTCCTCCGTCAGCGGCCGCAAGAACGGCGCGCGGCACTGCCCGGGCTGCCGCAACACGTACTTGATCTTGTCCAGCGTGATGATGATGTTCTGGAGGCGCGTCGCGACGACGCCCGCGGCGGTCGCGGACGCGAACGCGGCGTCGTACGCGATGCCGTCGAGCGGTTGCTCGAGCAACGCGTCGGGGAGGAGCGCTCTCTCGAGATCGACGTATTCGAGCGTGAGCGCGGCCCACTTTACGAGCCACTCGGGGCACTCGACGGGGATCGTCCTCCCCGCGTCCGTCGTCGTCGTCGTCTTCGCGTCGGTGGCGTCGGTGGCGTCGGCGGCGGCGACCTCTTCGTCGTCGGCGGCGGCGACCTCTTCGTCGTCGGCGGCGTCGGCGGCGTCGTTCGCTTCGTTCGCTTCGTTCGCGGCGTCGGCGGCGTCGTCGTCTTCGGCGTCGACGTCGTACTCGACGTCGCCGTCGCCCGTCGGCTCTCCGTCCGCGCGCGTCACGAGGACAACCTTCTCCGCGCCGCCGACGAGGTCCAAGGTCTCCACGTCGCCGTCGTCGTAGACGATCTTCGAGAGGACGGCACCCTCCTCGGCACCCCCCTCGGCACCCTGCTGGTCCTGGATCACGCCGGCGTACCACGCGTCGTCGCTCCGCCAGTACACTTTCACCGCGCACCCGACTTTGAAATCGCTCGCGGCGTATCGCGGCACCGCGGGCTTCTTCTTCTGAGACTGATACGACGCTCCGGGGGGACGGTCATCTCCTCGCGGCTCGTCCGCGGGGAGATGCATCGTCAGCGCGGACGACTTGATCCCGTTCGCCGCGAGTAACGCGCGGTCCGCGGGCGTTACCGGCTCCGAGCACGCGCGCATGAGGATCGCGTTCCGGTCGAGAAAGTTATGCCGCCGCGCCATGACGACGGTGAACGCGCTGCTGCCGGCGTAGTCCAAGAACGCGCCCTTGCACGTCGGCGCGGAGCACAGACAGATCGCGGCGCGGTACTCCTTCTCGCTCTCCGTGACGCACGAGTAGTTCCAGCACAGCTCCTCGCCGTATTCGACCCGACGCGTCGTGTACTGCGCGATGGTCAACTTCGCCGCGTCACTCTCGCGAGCCTTCTTCTCCTCCGCAGCTTTATCGTCCGACGTGTCACCTCCTGATTCGCTCGCGTCGACGACGACGCCCACGGTGTGCACGTTCGGCGCGCACGAGTGCGACAACCGGCTCGAGAACGTGCACCGATGCGCGGCTTCAACGAACAGCGTGTCGTATCCCGCGGCGTCTTCCGCCGGACGCTCCAACGTGATGTTAAAAAAATCGGGGAGCTCCTTCCCCGGCTCCCGCTTCTTGATCGCGTCTTGCCGCTCGTACCACCGCCACGGCGCGTAAATCTCGCCGAGGTAATCGTTGACGTACGTCCCCGCGGGGAGACCCTCCGGCCGGATGCACACGACGCCGACGCCCTTGGGGTGAAGTCGGAAGTGCCGCCGCGTCGTCGCCGGCGGCGGCGGCGGCGCCGCCGCCGCCGGCGCTTCCTCCTCCGCCGCCGCCTTCGCCTTCTTCTCCTCCGCGGCGGCCGCCTCCGCGGCCTCCGCGGCGGCGAGCTCCTCCGCGGCGCGCTCGGCTTGCTTCAGGATCTTCTCCTCCTTCGCGAGGGCTTCGTACCGCGCGATCTCGTCCGCGTCCATGCGATTCCACGCGCGTCCCATCGCCTTCAACTTCGCCTTGGCCGACAACGCCTGAAACTTCGGGCACGGGTCCTTCCTCGCCTCTCTGCAGTACATCATGTACCCCGACACGCTCACCTGCCCCGTCTTCAGCTTGACCTTCGGCGGCGGGACCGTGGATATCCCCGCCTCGTCCACTTCTCTGATCGCGCGGAGGATGTGCTCGCACGCGTCGACGACGTCGCGTTCGGCGATCGTCGTCGGCGGCGGCGGCGGCGCGACGGTCGACGTCCCCTCCGCGTCTCCCCCCCTCTCCATCGCCGCCTTCGCCTCGTCTCTGAGCTTCTCCGCGGCGAGCGCGAGGTCCCACCCGTCCTCGCCCATCGTGTGCACCGTCGTCATCAGCCGACGAGTGAAGAACGCCTCCCGTCGCGCGGCGGCGACGGCGTCGTCGCCCTTGAACGCGGCGGCGCCGGAGATCGCCGCGAACACCGCGGTTCGCGTGTAGCAATCCATGCCCCACATCGGTCGCTCCTCGACGTCGACGCCTAACCGCAGCGGTGCGCGGCATCGCACGTCGGGCGGCGCGGGGGGCTCGTACGCCGCCGCGATCGCCGCCGCGATCGCCGCCGGCGCCGGCGTCTCCGCCGCGTCGCCGCCGCCGCCGCCTTCTTCGCCGCTCGTCTTCGCGAGGACGCACGCCTGACAGTACCAGTCGTCCTCCGGGACGGCTCGCATCCCGAGGCACTGAAAGTGCCCCCCCTTCGGGCACGTCTCGCACAACACGAAGTCATCCTCGCCGTCGGTCTTCCCGCACACGAGGCACGGGACGTCGTCCATCGCCGCGTTCGCCGCGGCGATCGCGGTCGGATCCGGCGGCGGCGACCTGGGTGGGTGAAGCGATCGGTCAGTCGACGTCTTACCGGTCAAACGTTGAAAGGGAAGCGCGGGTGAAGAGTGACGACGTGAAAAGTCCTTAAGGAACGACGATCAACACGCGAACGGGGTCGTATGGGAAGCAGTCTCACCTCGGCGGCGGCTGATCCATCCAACCCGCCTCCAGGTTCGTTCGCAGCTTCTCGAGAACGATCTGAGAGTCCGGCGCGGGCAGGTCGCGCGCGACGACGAACCCGGGCCTGATCGGCTCGTACGGGTTCACGTCCCACGGCGCGCGTCGCCAATTTTCGCCGACTTGGTGGTACGGCTCCTCGCGTTCGGCGCGTTCGAGGCGAGCGATGACGTCGCGGCAGAACGGATCGGGATCGTTTTGCACCCGCTTCCACTTGGCCCACGGCGTCTCGTCGTGCGCCGCTTTCCACTGCGCGCGTCTTTCCGCCTCTTTCTCGCGCCACGCCGCGGCGAGGTCTTCCGTGGAGCGGCGTTGTCCTTGTCCGTCGGCGGCGTTCACGAGCGGCGGAGGGCGCGGCGGTTCCGGCGAGGTCGCCGGCGCCGCTTCGATCAGTTCCTCTTTCTCCGCGGTCGCCTCCGCCGGCGGCGGAACCGAAGGGTTCTCTTCTTCTCTTCGATGGGTTTCTTTTTCCTCTTCTTCTTCTTCGTCGTCGACGTCCATCGGCGCCGGCGGCTGCGCGGGCGGCTCTTCCGCCGCTGCCGCCGCCGCCGGGACTGATGAACGCTCGGCGACGTCTGGCACCCTCCCTCGCGGATCCTCGCGATGCTCCTCCTCGCCCTTCTCCGCGCGCGCGTCGACAGTCGCCTTCGCGGCCGCGGCGTCCTCCTCGTCCTTCGTCTCGACGTCCGCGCGCGCGATCAGGGAAGACGGCGGCTCCGGCGGCCGCTCCGGCGACGGCTCGCGCGACGGGGGTGGCATCGCCGTCGCCGTCGCCGTCGCCGTCGCGTCGTTCGTCGCCGCGGGAGGCGCGCGCGCGTCGTCCGACGCGGCCGAGTCGTCCGTCGGCGGCGGCGATCGCGGCGCCGGCGCGGGCGCCGGCGCGGGCGGCGGCGGCGGCTCCGCGGAGATCGCCGCGAACGCGCACGCCATCGTCGTCGTCGTCGTGGACGCGAAGGACGCCAGCGCTTCGACGGGCGCGCGCGGACGGTCGTCGGATCTGCCCAACGCGCCGTCGGGTGGGAGGGAGGGGCCCGGCGCCTCGGGAGGAGGGGAGAGATCGCGCGCCTCGAGCCTCGGCGCCTTGCTCGGCGTCGCCGCCGCGGTCTCTATGATCCCCCACTCGCCGCCGTCCGGCTCCGGCTCCTCGCGTTTCATGGCGCCCGGCGTCCGCGCCCCGCGCGATGACTTCTGCTGACGTATTTTTGTTCGGATGATGCGCGCGATTTGAACTTCAGGTTGACGACTCGTTCGACAGCTCCGAGAACAGAACGACGACGCGCTGCCGCGCCGTCAAACGGCCATGAGCGGCGAGAAGAGAGGACGCCCGTCGCCCGGCGCCGGCGCCGGCGTCGCCGCGGCGGCGAAACCCCCGCGCCCGCCCTCCGCGGACTCCCTCGCGACCGCGGACTCCCCCCCCGGCCTGAGCGCGCATCCGCTCGGGGTGATGAACGACGCCGAGGGCGGGCGCGCGACGAGCGGGTTCACGAGCGCCGCGTCGACGCCCGCTGACCTGACGGACGACGAGGAGGACTGGCTCGGGATGAGGAGGGACGACCCCGAGCCGCGCGCGCCGCCGGAGACGTCGCCGTCGTCGACGAAGCGTCGCGATGCGGAGGAGGAGGAGGAGGAGGAGGAGGGCGGTCGCGACGTCGTGCGCGTGATGGTCGCGGTCGTCAGCGACGACGCGCGGCTGCGCGCGTCCGAGGCGCGCGTCGCCGCGCTCGCGGAGGAGATCGCGAGGCTGCGCGAGGAGGAGGAGGAGCGCCGCGCGGCGACGGCGACGGCGACGGCGACGGCGACGGCGACGGCGACGGGCGCGCAGACGGACGACGCGTTCACAGACGGCGACGACGACGACGCCCTCGAAGCCATGGAGCTGCGGCTCGACCGCGCGGAGGCTGCTCTGGAGATCGAGCGCGCGCACGCGGCGAGGCTCGCGGACGAGGTGAGGCGACGCGAGAAGGTCGCGGAGGAGACGCGCGCGGCGTTCGAAGACGCCGAGCGCGAGAGAGAGGCGGCGAAGGCGCTCGCGGCGAAGCTCGTCGAGGAGAACGACGCGCTCGTTGCGCGGTTGAACGCGCTCGCTGCGAGCGGATCGGAATCGCCGTCGTCGTCGTCGTCGGCGGCGGCGGCGACGCGAGACGCCCCGGACGACGAAGCGTCGAGCGCGACGTCGGAGGAGGAGGCGGAGTCGCCACCCCCGGGGTGCGCCACCCCCGCGGCGTCCCCGAACTCTGGCGGCGCGCGGCGGACGTCGACGCCAAACTCCGACGCGGCGGTGGACAGAGCGTTGAACGCCGCGCTTCGACCGAAACAACGCCGTCGCGCGATCGGGCGGCTATGGGGGTTTCTCTCCGGCGCTGACCGAACGCCGCCGTACGTCCCGAAGACGAAGCCGAGGACGTCGCCGGCGGAGGAAGGAACAGAAGGCGCGAGCGCGAGCGCCGCGCTTCCGTAGTTATTAGAGACCTACCGAGAGGGAAGGCGTATGTAGTCTAGTCATCAGTCGTTTATTCGCGCGCGCGGGCGACGGCGCGTCCCCAAACGAAGCCTTTTCGTCCGTTCCGTTGCGTCTATACACTGGTTCCCATACGACCGCGTTCGCGTGGTGAACGCCGTTTCTTAAGGAATTTGCCCGGCGTCTCTCTCCGCCCACCCCCCGCTTTCAATCCCGACACACCTCGACGCCTTTCAACTCCGCTTCTGACGCCTTTCAACTCCACCCCGACGTTCGCTCGTATAGAACGGCCCTGACTCCTCCTCACATCACAACACGCCGAAGAAGGGGTTGGAGAGCGCGCTGTTGATCTCCGCGCCCGCGAGGTTGATGAGCACCCTGTCCACCTTCTCCCTCGGCATCGCGAGCGTCTCGCCGTCGTCCTCGAACCCGACGCGTCTCAAAAACGCGTCGCCGCCGACGCTCTGGACGCGCTTTTGAAACGCGCCGTTGGCGAGCTTGATCGTTCGAAACTTCGCATCCTCCGGGTCTTTCATCACGTTCCCGAGGTACACCAGCAGCGTCTTGAAGCACGTGGTGACGCCCTCGTCGTTCGTATCCTTGTGCGTCTTTTTAATCTCCACGAGAATCTTGCGCAAGTCGTCGACGGCGGTGACGGGTTTCACGACGAGCCCCGCCTCGGCTTTCTTCCTCTGCTCCTCCTTCGCCGCCGCCGCCTTCTCCTCCGCGCGCTGACGCTCGCGCGCCTTCTCCTCCTCCGTGAGCTCCTCCGGGAGCCCGAGCTTCCGTCGTCGCTCTCGTTTGTCCTCCTCGAGCTTTTCCAGAATCTTCGCCTTGGCTCGCGCGACTTCCTGTTTTTCGATGCGACGCGCCTCGAGGTTGCGCTTCGTCTGTAACTCCTCCTCTTTCCTCTTCGCGGCGAGGAGTTCTTTGCCGCTTCGGATGCGCTCCTGCTCGCGCAGCCTCTCGAGCTCCTTCTCCTCCTTCTCCTTCTTCGCCGCCATCGTCTTCCGGAGCTCCTCCGCCTTCGCTTTCGCTTCCTCCTTGGACAGCTTCGGCTTGGGCTTGGATTTACTCTTCGCGACGACCAGCGGACGATCCTCGATGAGCTCGACGTCCTCCGCGTGCTCGACGATCCAGTTCACCGCCTGCTCCACGCTCGTCGTGCCCGTCGTGTGAATCGCGCGCACGGCCTTGTTCCGCGTGAACCCCATGGCTTCGATCTCCGCGACGAGCGCGGCGTCCACCTCGGGCTCCACCCGTTCCTCCTCGTTTTCGTTTTCGTTTTCGTCCACGTCCATCGCTGACTCCGTCGCCGCGTCCGCCCCGTCGCCATCCTCCTTCTGCTTCTTCGCGGGAAGACCGAGCTCCTCGCGCGTCTCCGCCTCGAGCTGCTTCATCTCCCGCTCCGTGTCCACCGCTTGCGACGTCTCGCTCGTCTTGTCCACGAACTCCGAGTGCCCCGTGCGCTTCGAGTGCAGCTCTCGCTCCGTCTCCGATCGACACGGCTTCCCGCACGTCACGCAGCTGAGGTTGAGCACCGCCTCCGTGGACTCCGCGAAGTCCGCGTGACCGGTCGCCTCGCCGTGCGACTGCGCCTCCGCGACGGAGCGGAGTTGGACCCCGCACACGTTGCACTTGAGCGACAGCGCCGCGGAGGACATCGCGACGGCGGAGCCAGGGGGGACGCGGACGCTCTTCTGCTCGGATCTGCGATGAGATCCCGCGGGCACGTTCGGAAGTGACGTCGGCGCGCGATGCGGCGACGCGAAGGAGGATCGGCGCGTGACGACGCGAGAGCGCGCGAAGAACTTCTCGAGCGGCCGCCGGGTGACGCCGCCGCGCGTTCGACAGTGGCGACGACGACGCGTCTCGCCGATCGAGCAGAGGAGACGAAAAAGCGACGACCGCGACCGCGACTTCTCGAGAAGTTCTGCGGGCGGTTCTATCCGGATTCGCGCGAGCGATCTCGGTCTCACACGTCGCGGCGCACGCCACCGCTCGCGCGTCGCGATGGCGGCGGCGGCGTCTCGCGCCCTCGCGGCGATCGACGTCCGCGCTGGACCCGCGCCTCGAGCGGAAAATGGACCGTGGGGGCGTCGCCCGCGTCGTCAAGGTGTTCATCAACATCATCAACATCAACGCCGTCGTCTCACACTGGTTCCCATACGACCGCGTTCGCGTGGTGAACGCCGTTCCTTAAGGACTTCGTCGTCGTCGTCGTCGACGTCCTCCACCTCCTCCTCCTCCTCCTCCTCCTCCTCCGCCTCCCTCGCGGAGACGCATCGCGACGGCGATCTGCTGTCGCTCACGCTCGCGGACGCTCCGCCGTCGCTCTCCTCCGCGCCGCTGCTCCTCCGCGCGTGGTACTTCGAGGTCACGTCGTCGAGCCGCGCGGAGGCGAACGACGCGGAGGACGACGACGACGACGACGACGACGCGGCGCGCGATCGCGACGCCGTCGAGGGCGTCGTTCGCGGCGTCCGATGCGTCCTCGCGAGAGACCCCGCGACGCGCGCGCTGTCGCTCGCGCCCGCGCCGCCGGCATCGCAGCCCGCGCCGCTCGCGCTTAGGAAGTGGGTCCGCGACGCGTTTCCGGCGTGGGCGTCGCTCCTGGAGGAGCTCCGCGACGACGGACGCTACGGACGCGGCGACGCCACGGACTTCGCGACGAGAGTCCATCCGAATCCGACCGGCGACGACGCGATGCCGTGCGCGGTGACGGCGGTCGAGTGGGTGACGTCGTACGACGCGCTGAAAGCGGAGGTGCTGAGAGATCCGTCGTTTTGGCGCGACGGGACGCCGCCGAACGCGCCGCCGGCGACGCCGCGGGAGCAAGCCACGCTCAACGCGGGCGAGGCGCGTCCTATTCGTCACACCGGTCCCCATACGACCGCGTTCGCGTTGTGAACTTCATTCCTTAAGGACTTCGCCGTCGCGCGTCGTGTTTCTTCTCTTCTCTCCGCCCACGCCTCGCGACTCAAACTGACGCGCCCCTGAACTCCGCCCCGACGCGCGTCGCTTCGCGCGGGACGACCGACGCGACGACTCTCAGATTCTCGCGACGCTCGCGGGCGCGCGCGGCGTCGTCATGACGCAGCTCTGGGCGGGCTGGAACGGCGTCGACGAGGCGACGGAGCCGCAGCCGGTGGACGCGCCGTTCGTCGTTCGCGCGCTGCGAGAAGCCGCAGCGGAGTTGTTGTGTGGTGGGCTTTCTACCCAACCTCCTATGGGCAAACACACCGCGGAGTTATCGGCGCCGCGCTCGGGAGACGCGGCCAACGCGAAAAACGAGCTCGCGGCGATCGTGACCCCCATCGCCGGGCAGCCGCATGGCAAGGGTTTGACGCTGTTGCTGTCGTCGAGCGCGTCGCCGTTCCCGGAGCGCGCCGCGCACCTCGCGTCGTTCGGCGCGCAGGCTGCGCTCGTCGCCGGGTCGCCGTACTACCAGCTCCTCGTGGGTCTGGTGCGTTCATAGTCTACAAACGTTTTTCACCCATCGCATCGCCCGGTTTCATCATTCATTTGATCGCGTGGGTCCCTTTCATCAACTGACCGATGAATGAACATTTTTTGAATGGAACGACCCTCAGATTCTCGGGTACGACGCGAAGAACATCGACGCGCACGTGACGGAGAAAGGGGGCAGGTTGACGGCCGCGGTGACGAGGGCGGCGGCGGAGGATTTGGCGGCGGTGTCGCCGGCGGCGGCGACGACGCCGTGGCGCGACGGGTTCGCGGCGCTCGACGTCGAATCGCTCGCGAGCGACGACGCGGTCGCGGTCGCGGTGGCGGAAGCGGACGAGGCGGGCGGCGGCGGGAAGGGCGGACGGAGGGGGCGGAAGAAGAAGAAGGGGCGGCGGGGGAGCGAACGCAGCGTCGAGGACCTGGAGTCGATGTTCGGCGGCAAGGGCGGTCGAAAAAGATAGATCAGATCCACACTCTTATAGAGCGCGCAGTATGTACTGTACGTTGTACTGTATGTATCGGGTTCTATAACATGTCATCGTCGTGTCGAATGCTGTACGTCTAGGCGTTCGTCGTCGTCGTCGTCGTCGTCGCTCACGCGGTCGCCGCGTCGCCCTCGATCGCCTTCGCGATCGCGCGCTCCACAATCTCTCGCACCAGCTCCTCTCGTTCCTCCTCCGCCGGCGTCTTCCACTTGAACTCCGCCCCCGGGGTGACCTCGCCGATGCCTCTGAACGCGTTCGCGGGTTTCAGCTTCATCGTCCCTCGCGCGGGCGTGCCCTCTTCCTCTTCCTCCTCCTCGGCGGTTTTCTTCTCGATCGCGGGCACCAAACCGTGCGTCGTCTCGCCGTCCTCGCCGTCGGCGGCGGGCGGCGCGTTGACCCACGCGTCCGAGAAGATGCCGTGGCCGCCGTGCATCGCGCGCGACGTCGCGCGCGCCTCCGTCGTGGCCTTCTTCGGGTCCGCCTTGGCCGCGATCGCGGCGAATGCGGCGGCTTCCTCGGTCGCGTCGAAGACGTTCCCTCGGAGCGACGCTTTGAGCTGCTCCGAGACCACCTTGCCGCCGCGTTGGACGAAGGACCGTTCTTCCTTCGCCGCCGCGTCTTCTTCGCTCGTCGCGAAGAGGTCCTCGCACGCCTTCGTCGCCGCGTGCTCGCCCACGCCGCAGAGCGCTTTCCCGCGCGGCTTCTTCTTCTTCTCCGCGCTCGCGTCCGAGAAGATGTCGCTGCCCGCGCATTCGCGACGTTTCGCCTCCGCGGCGGCGTCGACGCGCGTCGAGATTGGCGCCGCGTCCTCCGCCACCGCCGCGAGGCCGCCGTGGCCCCTCGCCATCTCCAGCGCGCGCTTCCGCACGTCGCTCATCTCCACCTCCTCCTCCTCGTTCGAAGATACCACCACCTCCTCCGCGGCGGCGTCGTCCCCGAAGATGCCGCCCGCCGTCCCGCGCGACTGCTGCGACATCCGCTCGCTTCGGTGCCGCCGCGGCTTGAGCGCGCTCCCGGAGCCGTCGGCGAAGACGTCTCTCCCCGCGCCGAGGTCGCGCAGCTTCGCGTCCGACACCGCGCGGTGCGCCATGTCCACCGTCGCGCCGTGCTTCGTCTTGGACGGCGAGTTGAGAAGGTCGACGAGGAACGCGTCCGCTTTCGGGACCCAGGACGGGTCTTTAAGCTTAATCGGCGTGCCCGCGGCGAAGACGTCGTGGCCCGCGTTTTGCATCCTCGCGATTTTGCGCGCGTCGGCGTCGTCGCCGTCCGCGGGACCGGGGGACGGGCGCTTCGAGGACCCGCCCCGCGACGCCTCCGCCTCCGCGTCGTCGTCCTCGTCGAGCGCGATGAAGACCGCCTGCGGCTCCGGCTCCGGTTCCGGCGCCGGCGGCGCGCCGAGGGGCGCGCACGCGCCGGCTTCGATGGCCTCTGCGAGACGTTCTTCCAGCGCGTCCTTCCCCCCGCCGGGGTTGAGTCCGCGCTCGCGGAGCGCAATGCGGAGCTCCGGCGCGGTCATGCGCTTCACCTTCTTCGCGAGCGGGATCTCGACGACGTCCTCGATGACCGCGCGCGCGGCGACCGCGGCGGGGACGGGGACGGCGACGGGGGACGCCGCCGCGAAGATGTTCCCAGCCTGCCCGCGCGTCGCGCGGTCTCGAATCGCGGCGGACGCGACGCGCGCGGCGTCCGCGTTCGAGAGGCCTTCCGCGGTGCGCTCCTCCTGCGTCGGCGGCGGAATAGCGCGAGAGGCGTCCGCCGTCGCCTTCGCCGTCGGCGTCGCCGCGGCGAAGATGTCCGACGTGCCCTCCTTGGCGAGGCGCGTGATCTCGGAGATGCCCTTGTCGCCGCCCACGCCCGCGGCGGTGCTCGTCGCGTTTTCCTTCTCGGGGAGATGATGGTGATGCGTCGTCGCGTTCTTGCCGACGACGGGCGCGACGTCCGAGCCCTGGACGGTCGCGAACGGCGCGCGTAACTCGGTGCTGCTCATGACGTGCGTGGCGTGCGCGGTGCGAGGCGCGCGCGCGGTGAGTGCCGCCGCGACGCGACGCGTCGCGTCCGTCTTCTCGGAAGAGGGGAAACAAAAGTTTCGTGACGTGACGGACTCGAAAGAAAAAAACAAAACGCCGACACGGCAGCTGTCGCTCGCGGATTCGAACGCGCCCGCGCGTCGCGCGTCGCACGCCGTCGCCGCCCCCGCTTCGTCCGCGATGAAACTCCCCGAGGACGTCCTCGCGTGGGCGATGAACTCGATCCTGCCGAAAGTGACGGCGCTCGCGCGCGTCTCGTCGCACGCCGTCGCCGCCGGCGCTTCGTCCGCGATGAAACTCCCCGAGGACATCCTCGCGTGGGCGATGAAATCTATTCCGCCGAACGTGACGGCGCTCGCGCTTGTTTTGGGCGCTCGGCTCGACGACGCTCTGGAACTGCTCCCGCGAAGTTTTCGCGATTTCTTCGTGCACGACGCGTGCGGCGTCGTCGTCGCGGGCGTCGTCGCGCTCCTCCTCGCCATCATGTTCTTTCTCATGGGCGTGAAGGTGATCCCGGGGACGCCGCGGTCGCCGGGTACGTCCCCGGCGAAGCGCGCGGTTCGCGCGAAGGCGATCAGAGGCGGCCGCGAGGTCGCGATGAACGGCGGACGAGCGCGGAAGCAATCGGCGCCGAGGAGGCGCGCGCTCGTCGAAGCGGCCGCGCCGGCGCCGGCGCCGGCGGCGGAGAAGCCTGTCATCAGACCGAAACCGAAAACCGCGAAGAAGCCGTCCGCGGCGACGACGACCGCCGCCGCCGCCGCCGCGGAGACCGCGTTCGCGGAGGAGTGCCTGCGGTGGATGAGCGCGCTCCCGGCGAAGCCGAAGGCGGCGTTGGAGCGATCGTTGGCGCGCGCCGAGACGGACGCAGCGAGGCGAAGCGCGTTCGTCGACAGCGCGGAGGCGGACGGCACCAAGGCGAGAGCCGCGAGGGCGGCGGCGCTGCTGGCCGCCGCCGCGAAGTGTTCAACATGAACGACGCGGCGATGACGCGGTGGGTGTTCTTCTAGTGTTCTATCGTTCGCATTATCATTCGTCGCGTCGGTTCGTATTCATTCGCGTCGGTTCGTCTTCGCTCGTCGTCCATCATCTGCGATGCCAGGACGCCGTCACCGCGTCGCGGTCTTCTTTTTCTTTTTCCGGCGACGGCGCGCCGCCGCCGCCGCCGTCTCGCTTCTTCTTCGCGCCGAACATCCGGGAGAACAGCGACGCTTTCTTCGTCCGCGGCTTCACCTCCGTGACGTCGAAACCGTACGCGTCGTCGTCGCGACGGTCGTCATCCGACGCGCTCTCGCGGACTTCGCCGTCGCCGTCGTCGCCGTCGACGTCCACGGAGTCGTCGTCCGCGGAGTCGTCGTCCACGGAGTCGTCCACGCTCTCTTCGCCGCTCTTCGCCTCCTCCTCGCCTTCGCCGTCGTCACCCCCGTCGGACGTCTTCTTCTTCTCGCCCCCCCCCGCGCTCCCCGCGCTGTCGATCCCGTCCACGGCGACGCGCGTCGGCCGCGGCGACGTCGGCTCGTCCAATCCTAACGGCACGCCCAATCCTAACCGTCCCACCGCGCCCAAACCTGGGAGCCGCCGTCCTTGCAGCCCGGTGATCGACTTCAGGACCGACCACACGATGTTCCCTTTCAGGTTGTTGATGAGCTCCCTCCACCGGCCTTGGAACCCCGTGTGCGTGGACGCGTCGAGGAGGAGGCGGACGTTTTTGAACGACCGAGGTTTGCCGTCGTAGGACACCTTGAGGAGGACTTCGTTCACGCGTAACCGATGCACGACGACCGTTTTATGACCGCGGTTCGAGTCCACCGTCGCGTTCGCGTTCGTCGCGGCGGTGGGTGGGAGCGCCGCCTTCGGTTGGTCGCCGCCGAGGGGGGCGGCGGCGTCGTCCGCGCCGCCGCCGAGGAGGAGCCTCCGCGCCTCCGACTCGCTCGCGGGCGACGTCGCCGCCGCCGCCGCCGTCGCCGCGGCGGCTCTGGAGACGTCAACATACCCGCCGCCGCCGCCGCCGCCGCCGCCGCGGTCGAACATCCCGATCCCGAACGACCGCTCGAACGCGTCGTGCCCTTTCGGGTTGATGTACCCGCCCCTGATCCGGTCCTTCTCCGGGAAAGCGTACGATATGATCTTGTCGTAAAGCGACCGCTCGACGTGGAGGTCGAACGGCTGAATCGACACCTCGATCGCGTCCCACACCGGCGCCTCCGGCGGCGACGCCGCGCGCCGCGCGTTCACCTTCACGAGCGGCTTCTTGAGCGACGGCGCGACGCGGCCCATGAGCGGGTTCACGCCGTCGCCGCCCTTCTCGACCGCGCCGTGCGGGTCCCACCGCGCGAGGACGTGTTTCCGGCCGCTCGCGTCGACGCGGACGTCTTTGCTCTTTTTTCGTCCTCTGAGCTTCTTCGCCGCCTTGGCCGCGGCTCTCTCCGCGAGCGCGGCGTCCACCTTCGCGGCGGCCGTCCCCGCGGCTTTCGGCTTCGGCGGCGGGACGTCCAGATCCATCTCTTGGATCACGAGTTTCGTCAGCCCGCTCGTGTCCGCGTGGCGCTCGCGCGAGAGCGACAGATCGACGATGGACGCGTCGAGAAACGTGCGACCGCCCGCGCGGAGGCTCCATCGAAAGACGTCGACGGCGACTGAGAGTTTGATGGCGGGGCGGCGGCGGTTCGCGCGCACGAGCGCCTCCGCGTTCGCGATCGCGACGCCGACTTCGCGCTCCGCGTCGTTCGCCATCGCGGCGAGGCGCGTCACGACCGCCGCGCACGCGCCGGCGTCGATCGAGAGCGCCGCGGCGGCTGAATTGAAAAACGTAAACGCCGCGGAGGCCAACGCGCGCGCGTCGTCGACGTCCATCGCCGCGCTGATCCGCGCCCACCGCGCGCGCTGATACCGCGCCAGAGGCTCCGCGACGACGCCGGACGACGCGCGCTCTTCGCCCGCGACGAGAGACCGACCTTCCGCGGCGAGCAACGCGTCCGCCGCGGCCGACGGCCGAGGCGGCGGGTCGTCCAGCTGCGCGAGAAAAATTGAGCCGACGACGTCCACGAGCGCGGCGTACTGAGGGTCGTTCCATACAAACAATGTTCATCGGTCAGTTGAAAGGGGACGCGGTTAAATGTTGAAACCGATGGATGGGTGAAAAACGTTTGTATAGAACGCACCTGATCCGAGTCGAGCTCCGCCTCGAGCTCGGGCGATCGCAGCGTAAACTCGGACAACGCCTCGAGTCGTTTCTTCGGCGGCGCGGGACCCTCACCGCCGCGGTGGTGGTGGTGCGCGTCGTCGAGGTTTCGGGCCCCCGACGACTTCGACTTCGAGTCGCGCGCCTCCGCCGCGAGCTCGAGGCCCGCGACGGCGGCGGCGGCGGCCCAATCGAAATCGTCCACGACGTCGTCGACGTACCGCCGCTTCTTGTGTTTCTCCGGGATGTGCGTCGTGAAGTCTAACCGCATCTCGCACGGCTTGAAGACCTGACGTAAGAGGTAGCTGCCCTTGCCGGAGAGCATCGTCGTCGTCGTCGTCGTCGTCGCGCCGCCGGAGCCGGATTCGAACTCGTCCGCCGTCGCGGCCGCGGCGCGTTTTTTCCCGCCCGCGCCCGCGCCCGCGCCCGCGCCCGCGCCGTCCGCGGACGCGAAGAGCGCCTCATCGAGCCACTGCACGCCCGCGTTCACGTCCACGTCCGTCGGCGCGACGTGCCCTTGAACGTTCTGAAGCGACACCTCGACGACGCGCCGTCCCCAGTGCGCGGCCGCCTCCGCCGCGGCCGCCTCCGCGGCGGTCGGCGACGACGGCGAAAACGGCGACGACGGCGACGACGGCGGCCGCCGCGCGCGTCGACCGACGACGCGGCCGCTGGACGCCGCGAGCAAGAACCGCGCGGCGGCGTCCTTCCCCTCGAAATTCACCTGCGGCGCGGTGATGTCCATGATGAAGACGATCTCTTCCTCGTCGTCGTCCTCCGCGGCGTGCGGCGGCGCCGGCGGCTCGATCGCCGTCGACGAAGACGTCGACACCGGCGGCACCGGCGGCGGCGCCGGCGGCATCCGTCGCGTCCGTCGCTCCGCGCGTTCCGCCTCCGTGAGCGCGAACGACCCCACGGAGGAAGCGCCGTCGAGCGTGCTGGCCGATCGGCGGTGCCGAGCTTTCGCGGCGGCGACGACCGCGGCGATGCCCTCGCTCGCCGCGCTCGACGCCGGCCGCGACGACGACGGGCCGCGACTCGTCGCCGCCGACGACGCCGGGCCGCCGCTCGCCGTCGACGCGGGGCCGCTCGACGCGGGGCCAGAGTCGCAGCCTTCGTTCGTTCGTTCGTTCGCGTTCGCGGCGAGAAGTAAGGAGAGGACGTCCTCGCCGCCTTCCGCGGGGTCGAGGCCTCGCAGCGCGCGCGGCGACGACGCGTCCTCCGCGATCGGGGAGCCGTCCCACGAGCCGCGGTGATGATGCCGCGTCGTCGCGACGTCTTTTTCGTGCCCAAACGCGGACGGGTCCAAGGGCCATTCTATACAAGCGAATGGCGGGGTGGAGTTGAAAGGCGTCAGTTGAAGTTGAAAGGCATCGAAGGCGGGAATTGAAAGCGAGGGGTGGGCGGAGAGAAACGCCGGGCAAAGTCCTTAAGGATCGGCGTTCACAACGCGAACGGGGTCGTATGGGGACCAGTGTATAGAATGCACCTGAAAACGCGGACGGGTCCAAGAGATCGAAATCGTCGTCGAAGAGACCTTTCCCGAGCGCCGCGGACGACGTCTTCCTGTGCTTCGACGACTTCGGTCCTCCTCCTCCTCCGCCGCCGCCTCCGCCGCCGACGACGATGCTGGACTTGCTCTTCCCGCGCCTGTGCCCGCCGGGGCGGGCCTTCTCCGACGCCGCCGCCCTCTCCGCGGCGGCGAGCGCGTCTTGCGCCGCTCTCTCCTTCGCCTCGGCTGCGATTTTGAGCAAGGCGCCGTGCGAGTGCTTCGGCGTCGTCGGCTTGATCGCCGCCCTGTACGCGTCTCGGACCCATCGCACGAGGGCGTCGCGTCGCGCGGCGGCTTTCAGTAGGCGCGGTTCCTCCACGGTGACGTGCATCCACGACGTCTCTCTCGCGGACGCGTCGCCGTCGGCGGCGACGTCGACGTCCCCGCCGCCGCCGCCGCCGCCGCCGCGCGCGCCTCGGCGGAGCTCGCACGCGAAGAAGTCCGGCGCGTCCACGCGGCGGACGACGCGCACGGACCGCGTCTCGAGCACGAGCGCGGGGTCGGTCGCCATCAAACGCCGGCGGCGGCCGCTCGGGGATTCGCCCTTCACGAGCCGCCCGCGCAGGCCGCCGCCGCCGCCGCCGCCTCCCAACGGCGACGGCGTCCCGCCGCCGCCCACCACGCGCGGCGACCCGCCCCCGCCGCTCCTGCCCCCGTCGAGCATCTCGTAGATCGCCTTGTACCGCTCCGCTTCCTTGTCGAAGTTCCCGGAGCCGAGACCGCCCCACAGCCCGCGCGCGGGGTCGAACCGACCGCTCCCGGGCGTCCGAGGACTCCCGCCACCGCCGCCGCCGCCGCCGCCGCCGCCCGACGACCGGCCGAGCCCCGCCCTGTGCGCGGCGGCCGCGCCAAAGTCCATCTCGCCGTCCGCGGGGGGTAACAACACCCGCGCCTCTCGAAGCGTCACCTCGAGCGTGGAGAGCACCGCGGACGGCGGCGGTTTCTCGTACCGCCGGCGAGGCGACGCGCGACGACGGAACGCGTTCGCAGACGCCGGCGGCGGCGGCGGCGAAAACTTCGCCGCGCAGGCGAAGCCGACGACGTGCGCGGTGAGTCCTTTCGCTTCGTCGTCGAGACTCTCCGTCGGGTGCGACACGCGGACGTCGTCAGCGGTGATCGAGAGATCGATATCGTCGAACACGAGCGGTAACGCCTTTTGTAACGGATGCCGGACTTTCTTCGGGAGCCCGATGTGTCGCAGCTTCCACGCGCGTCGCAACGCGCCGGGGGGTCTCGTGAAATCTTTGACGAACTTTCGAAGCCACCGCAACGCGGCGGGGCCGACGATGATCGTCGGCGTGGACGCGTCGTGCGCGACCGCGGCGGCGGCCGCCGCGGATATCGCGCTCGCGAACCCGGGGGACGACGGCGAGTGGACGTTCTCCTCCGCGATGACGTCGTCCATCGGAGAAGACCGCGCGGCGGCGGCCGCGGCGTCCGTCGCGCGCGCGAGAAAATCGCCGCTGCGCCACTTCACGAGATTCGGCGACGGCGTCCCTCGCGCTGGCGTGGACGAATCGACGCCCGCCACGTCGCCACTTTCCCTCCACGTGGACAACATCTTGTCCTTCGTGGACAACGTCGCGACCGCGGTGAGCCGGCACCCCAAGGAAAACATCGACGACGACGGCTTGAGTTCGACGCCGGTGACGGAGTCGTGCCTGTGGTGGTCCTGCCCGCGGCACCCGTCCTTCCCGCCGATCGTCCGCCAGTCGAACGTCAACGCGATCTCCGCCGCGGGGACGACCGCGAGGTGCACGACCGCGTCCGGGTCGGGCGCGGCCACCGCCGTCGGTCCGTTCGACGTCGTCGTCGTCGACGCCGCCGCCGCCGCCGCCGCCGCCTCGGATCCGTAAAAAACCTCGTCCGCGTCGCACGACACCCCCCCGCGCGCGGCGAGCGTCAGCCGCGCCGCGCGCACCGCGACGTCCCCGGGGGTCGCGTCGATCTCGATCTTCGCCGCGCCGAGCTCCAACCCCGCGGGCCCGCGCGCGCACGCGGCGACGCTCGCGACGCCGCGCGCGTCGAACACGTACGCGAGATTTATCAACGCGAACCTGAGAGTCGTTCCATACGAGCGAATGTCGGGGTGGAGTTCAAAGGCGTCAGACGGAGTTGAAAGGCGTCGAGGGCGGGCGTTGAAAGCGAGGGGTGGGCGGTGAGATGCGCGGGCAAAAGCCCTTAAGGATCGGCGTTCACCACGCCGACGGGGTCGTATGGGGACCAGTGTACAGAACGAACCGCGCGCGTCCGCGCCACGTCGACCGCAGTCGATCCCACCACGGCAGCGACGGCGCGCACGCCGGCAGGCCCGTCTCCGGGTCGAGCGGCCACCCCGCGGCGGCGGCGGCCGCGGCTCTCGCGGCCGCCGCCGCGTGGTACGCCGCGCGGCCGCCGCGACCGGCGGCGGACGGCGGCGGAAAGACGCGCGTCAGCTCGCGGCTCGCCGCGCACGCAGCCGGCTCCGACGCCGTCGCGTAACACCCCCCGACGCCGGTCGCGACGACGTCGATATCCGTGTACGTCTTCAGCGGCGGCCGCGGGAGCGCGCGCGGCGACCGCGCGCCCGTGAACCTGCGCGCGCCGACCCTGATCGGGACCGTAGGGTCGGGCGCGCGCGCGGGGTCGGTCTCGGACGCGATCGCCTGCCTCGCGGCGACGACGACGCCCGAGACGGACACTGAGTCCGCCTTGAACAGCGCGCCGGGCGCGAGCGGCAGGTCCACGGAGACGGACTCGACGCAGACGTCCACGCGCGCGGCGCGCGCGACCTTCAGACGGACGTCGTCGGACCACGGCGCGTCCGCGCGCGTCGCCGCGCGCTCCGCCGCGGACACCGCCGCGCCGCCGCCGCCGCCGCCGCCGCCCATGACGACCGTGAACCGCGCGTCCCCCGTGCTCGCGCGAATCGCCGCCGCGTGCATCGCCGCGGCCGCCGCGCCCGTCTCCCTCGCGCGATCCGGGAAGCTCCCGAGCGCGGCGCGTCGCGTCGCGCGCGCGTACTCGCGAACGCGCGCGTCGTACGCCGCCGCTCTCTCCTCCGTCGGCGCGCGTGGATTCGCCGCGTCCGACGCGCGTTGCGCCGCGAGCGCGGGCCCCAGCGACGCGGCCTTCCCGCGCAGGCACCGCGCGAGCGGGTGGTCGTGCGCTTCCATCGAGAGCGAGCCGATGATCTTGATCGTCAGCTCCGTGACCGGCGACGCGCGGCGTTCGGAGTGTTTCGGATCCGATCCCGGTTCCGGTATCGGCGTCCTCTTCGGAAGAAACGGCCACCCCCCCGCGCGCGCGACCGCGTCCGCGCCCGCTCTTAACTCGACCAGCGCGTGGCCCAGGTCGATCCCCCACGGCAGCACGACGCGCGCGCGCGCGGCGCGCACGCCAATCTTACGACGCGGCGGCGCGTCGGGACCCTCCGGCTCGATCGACGGCAAAATCTTCCCCCCGGGGAGTTTGTCGTCCGACGCGTGTTCGTGGCCGTTGTACGCGACGACGAACGACTCGCACGCGGCGACTTTGAACCCGTTGATCGAGACGCACGGGGTCGAGAGCTCGATCGATCGCGACGCGTCGGGCGTGCGCAGCGACGACGACGCGAGGGAGATGGAGTTTCCGGGGGAGACGTCCGCGTGGATCGCGACGCGGGAGAGGTCCAGCGCGACGACGGATTCAGGGCCGTTCTATACAAGCGAACGTCGGGGTGGAGTTGAAAGGCGTCAGTTGGCGTTGAAAGGCGTCGAGGACGGGGAATGAAAGCGGGGGGTGGGCGCAGAGAGACGCCGGCAAAAGTCCTTAAGAAACGGCGTTCACCACGCGAACGCGGTCGTATGGGAACCAGTGTATAGAACGCGCCTCATTTCGCGGCGGCGGCGGCGACGACGACGACGACGGCGGCGGCTTCGGCTTGGGCGATGTCTCCTTCCCCTCCCGCCGCGCGCGGACGACGCCGACGATCCCCGCGACGGTCCGCTGCACCATGAAGTACGCGTCCGGGTGCCAGTGGATCGAGACGCCGTCCACGGACACCGCGCGCGTCGTCGTCGTCGTCGTCGTCGTCGTCGTCGTGCCGGTTGACGTTCCCACTTCCGCGCCGACGACGCCGCCTTTGCGAACGTCGAAGGCGCCGTTTCGACGA